ACAGCTTCAGAGTCCCAGCAATTCTATAGATCATGGCTTTCCCCTTCCGGTGACTTTTGATTTCGGTTTCCGCAAAATCAAACCGAATGACGGTTTCTCTCTATTATAAGTTATTTGGAGAAATTGAATAAGTTGTAGTATTAAGTAACTTGACTGCGGGAAAAAACATAGAAAATTTGAGTAACCAAAACCTTCCATTAGATGGTTATTTTTAAACACTGTAACAACTAAATCACTGCAATTAAGTAAAAGCATACTACAGAATATTCAAATTAGCTACAAACTGAAAACAATAACAAATTTGTGTTTGTTACAAATCAGAGAACTTTATCAACTTATAAGCTTATAGTTATGTAATAATCAGTATAGGTAAAAGGCTAAAAAATTTAGTCAACTGATTTCTAACAGATTGTGAATAATTTTTTTGTAGTAATTAGTAAATTTATAACGGAATTGTAGTAACATCTTTTGTAACAGACTTGCAATTTTAAAATACAGGCCATAAATCAAATTTAAATCTTGATTAGAAAATGAAGATACAGACTCCTGTGACTATTCAAAATCTGCTAATGAGCTTGGGAATCTAGCTTGTGGGTTCAAAAGCATTTGCATTTTAGGAGACAACCAGAGGCTGAAATGTGAAGGTTTTTGTTAGTGGATCCGAACGACGAGTACGGTGACAGTAAACCGGATTTTTAAATGCAAACTTGTGGACCAAAGAATAACCAAACCCCAACCGCGCAGAGGCGGATGCATATCTATACGAGTTTATAACTTTAGAAAATATAATTTGGCCATCAGGGGATTACAAGAGGTACTCAAACTATAATGAAGAAAACTGTAAAGCTACTTGTCTCAATGACTGTTTTTGTGGAGCAGTGGTGCTGGGAAGAGAACGGTTTATGTTGGAAGAAGAAGTTTCCATTGTCTTACGGCAGTAGAGATCATCCGAATAGTGACAGCTATACTTTTATCAAGGTTCTGAAACGGGTATTAATTTGGATCCCAATTCTAATAATCTAGAACTTCAGTATATCCGATGTGTCAATCTCTTTGGTTTTTTTTTTTAAAAAATAGACCTTGTTTTTTCTCTAATTACAGTTGTGATAAATACATATATATTAACTCTAATGGGTTCTAGTAATAACCAATCTGATTTTCTAAAGTATTAGATGTCTACATTTGTATAGTCCACGGCACAAGTCACACAAATAGTCGCTAAAATCATCATTATAAATCGCAGCTTCTCGTATTGTAACATTCATTGTGTAATTGGTAATTTGATACGTAATTTAGAATCATCTCTTTTCCTTTTGTTTCAAATTTTAATTTTTTTTTTTTGAATTTTTTTGCTAATTTAATTGATTTTATTTTTTAATAATCAGAATATTGATATTTTCATATTATTTTGGTCTACAATAATAATATATCATGCACAGTAGAGAAGTTGTATACGACTTTTGTCAATATAATTTGGCGCGTTTTATTGGTTAAATTAATACGATTAGAAGAACGTCTACGTAATTTCCGTTAAGGGTAAATTTTCGGCACATGTAGGTATTGTTATTTGATCATTTGAAAATCCACCAAGTCCGACGTTAACAAGGCAATCATACATCAACGACAGTTATAAACTACTCCATGTATATTCAAACACTAAACACGTTATTATGAGCTGAGCAGAAAAGCCAACCATCGTTGACCTATGTCTCACATGATGACTGTTATTTTTTATTTTTGTACACGTTTTCATTTTATGATTCTTTATTTTTAATAACCGATTAAAGTATTAGTTGTTGAATAAAGCATTCATAATCATATCATATTCAATTTAATACCGAAGTTATTTTAGTTAAAACTTGGGTATAGCACGGGACTGAAAGAAGTCATAGAAATGGGGAATTCCTATCTACACATCAGTTTGTAATCGCCAAAAACGAAAACACATGGTAGAATTTTTTAATGATATCGAGGATGTATTATATTGGAAGTGCAGCGAAACAGAGGAGAATCAGAAACACGAGATATCGCTCTTTGGCGATACAAAAAGTGACATATACAAATGCGTTTTTGACAATAAAAGCACTTGGAGGCTAACTTGTGTGACTTCATCTGGTCGATCGACATAAAAGAGTATGGTTAACTCACTCAACTCCAAAATATTATATATATATTTACATTTCTATATATATATAATTCACATTTATCAACGAGGGATCGTATGCTCACTTGGAACACAGATTCTAGCTTCACATGTGTCTGCGTCAGTCGAAAATAATTTATTCTTCTCTTCAGATTGGTGATATAGACTTCTCATGTTTGGGTTTGACACTAAACTAATGTATAGGTTCAGATATTTTTAGATTCTTTAAAAAATATTTGGTTTAATTTCCAAACACTGATGCACTTAATTTAATAAGGTTTTGATTAAATAAAATTTACATTCAATTCAAAAAAGATATAGGCTTCTCTCAGTAAAATAAAAACCCTCAAATCTCGATTCTTAACGGTTTAGCAAAACATCAGACAACTTATCTCAAATTCATCCTAAGCTAAATTTCTTTGTTTTTATTTAGTCTTTCAAATATCAATTCATTGTATATGGAAAGAAAAGAATGTTGATCGATCGCCATGGTCATATACTCCTCTTTCCATTCAGCTCTTTAAATTCATTAAAAACAATTTTCAAAATGGGCTATCAACGATTAGAGATTCGAAAGACAAAATATATGAAAAAGGTCATCAAATCTGGTTTGCCACATGAAACTAGATTTTGGATATTTTTTAATAAAATCTCTTAATTATCTCTGAACTCTTTAGAATCTCAAACTCATAAAACATCTTTTCTATTAAAACAGAAGCACTTTTAGTGCTTGCATCCAAACACTCCCAATTTTGTTTTTTTTTTAAATTGTTTAGAAATTGTTTTAAGATTATCTTATTTTGTTGTAATATTATTTTAAAAACATATTTTTTATATAAATTTTATTCCAAAAAGTATATATTAGTTTATATATCTAAATTTTTTTTTAAATATAGATCATATTTAATTTAAATTTCAAACTAATTATTTTTAATTAAATTTAATTCTGAAAAATAGATATTAATTTAAATTACTCTAGACTTCCTTAAATATAAGTTAGATTTAATTCAATATTTAAAATTTAAATAATTTCATAACAACACATATATGATTAACGAATTATTGTTTTTAATCATATTCAATCAAACTAAAATTTCATATATTGAAAACTGATAAATATTAATATTATATTTTGATGGGTTGAGTTATGTATTTTTTTATTATGCTCTTATACGGGCTAGGTTATCAAAATAAAAAATATTTCAAAATTAGTAAATATTTATATTATATAGTAATATAAACAGATTGGTTAGAATTATAGTCTTCTATTGTTCTTTTCGGATTAATGAAATGAGCGAGTTAAAAATATATTTTTATAATAACAATCATTTTTCAGTTAATAGAATGGTCGGGTAAGAAATAATTAAATTTTTTTTTATAATTAAACACGAAAATAAATCTTTCACTTGTTAAAAAAATTATATCTATAAAGAAGACCAGTGGCGGAGCCAAAAATTTCTTTGACTAGAGGCATATAAAAGTATAAATAATTTAATAAATAGGGGCATTAACAGAACACTACTAAATTACACCAAGTTTTGAAAATTGGTTGGGGGCGAATAACCCCATGCTAATGCATGTGGCTCCGCCACTGAAGAAGACATAAATTCTGTTATAATTTTTGATTAAAAAATTCTCGTGCGGATATACGGTGTAAAATCTAGTTAATTATTAAAAAAAATGTTGGATCTAAATAAATTTTCCATCCAGTTAAAAAAAACGTTTGATTAATTGGTTAGACAATGGATTATATATGCTTTGATATTCAGTTAACTGATAAAGTGCCCAGCTAAGTGTAATTTCGGAGGCATCCGATAGGAAAACAAAAAGTTATCCAGATTCAGTATCCGATTTAATAATTTAGAAATACTACTACAAGTTATTAAATACTGGTTTATCAGCTTAAACATCAGACGTAAACGTTTTTTCTATCAGTAACATATCTAATCAAATCTACGTGTGGGCCTAGATAGATGTGCGTGTCATAGATATTGAAGTTTTCTCTATAGACAGGACAACTTTAGGTGCATATACAAATCTTTTCTTTTTGACATACAATAATACAAATCTAAATGCCACTTATGACTCTCGAATGTTTTTAAGCTTATACTCGTATGAGTGTAAGTTAGTGCCGTAGTAATAATATATAGAGTGTATATTCGAAAGAAAATCTATAAAGATTACTCATTCACGTGAATCTGCCCGAAGAAAAGTAGACGACCACGTTATCTATGTCATATGGGAATATTATTATTATATAGGGAATGGGGGATTCGCTTTTTAAAGGAATATTAACGAATATAGCAGCCTAGCAGAGGAATAAATTATATTTTTCAACATTTTAATTATTGGTCTGAATAAGGTCAGATAATCGATTTATAAAGTATATCTAAAAAACAGTTTTATCTCAAATAAAGACAACCAATAAGTGTACTAAATTAATTGATATTCCATGATACAAAATCATGCACATAAATATTAACAAAAATAAAACAAATATTTGTATATATAAAAACAAATATATTTTTACTCGAAAAAACATAATTAATTTGGATGTTTTTAGTACATATGGATTATTGTTAAAAAAAATTATACATATGTTTTTATAAAAATTTAAAATAATAGATGATTTCTGAAAATATTATTAACTAGATCATGAATTTACTAATTATTAGTCTTAAATCATAAATAATTAAATTAGCTTCTTTTTCTCTATTTTACGTGTTTTAGTTGGTTTTGCATGTACATTTGTAAGATAACTCAAATATTCATCATGTAGTTTTATATAATTTGAAAAAATGAAATTCCAGTAATCACGATAAATAATTATTTCTTTTTTTCTTTAAACGTTACTAGAAATAATTATTTTTTTATTATTAATTTATTACGACAGCATATTATTTTCGCCACGTGGCGATACAGCCAATCCATGTAAAAAAGTTGAAAAACCAACGTGTGATTGATTTTACTTTGACTCGTCAGACAAAGACACCAACCTTAGACTCTAACGAACTCACGAACTTGTCCAAATCCAAATCGCCTTCTTCGTTCCAAGAATCAAGAAACTCCATTTCATCAGCTACATTATTAACCTCTGGCGACTCTTTAATATCTCCGGCGCCGGCACCTCCGTAGCTTAAAATACTCTTTAACTCCTCCATAAGCCCAACATTATCGACATTCGTGTACATATCGGAGATCTCTTCGTTGCTAAAGAAATCGGTGAAATCATCGGAGAAAGAACAATTGTCGGATAAACCGGAAGATGTCGACGTATTGTTGATCGGGATCGATGTGAGAGAGGTTGATTTTGCCGCCATTTTATTGAGCAATGTGGAGGTCGAATTCTCGGTTGGAGAATCGATCATTTGTGAATCCACGGCGATGAATGTGGGGTCTCCGATGATAATGCCGGTTAGTAGATCCCGGTTTAAATCGACCGCGTATTTGCTCGCGACTCGGTTAAGAAGCCTTGCAGAACCGGAAGAACGGATCGGTTTATGATTTTCTGGTTTGAGACCGGTTGAATTGATCGGTTTGTGAGTGACTGGATCAAGGCCTTTCTGTTTTAAGCGCTTCTTGAGATTTGTGTTCCAATAATTTTTAATCTCATTGTCAGTTCGTCCCGCCAAATTAGTGGCTATTGCGGCCCACCTTCAACAATCAACACCATATTATAATATCTAATTTTTGGACTATATCTTACGTTGAAAACTAAAATTGAATAGTATTGTTCCAAAAACAAGTTGGATGATTATATATCTGACATAACAGAAACAAACAAAAAAAAAAATTAAGATAATGCGGGTACACAAAACTTCAAAGATCTTGTTTTTACCCAAAAAATAAAAATAAAATGAATATTACAGTTACTTTTCTTCATTATAAAGTTCGCATGGTACGTAAAATTGTGAAGACTGTGTTTGGAATTCTACATCTATAGTAACTAGTAGACAACAGTCTCATCAGTGAAAAGATGATATTAAAATAATCAAAAATTGATCTTTATCAGCCGATTATTTGCAAATTGAAGAATTTAATTGATGTGAAAACATGACTCATTAATTTAGTCAATGTTGATGGTTTTTTTTCTTCCCAAAATGAGAAGATTCGATATATAGTATAGTATTAAAAGTACATAAAGATTGCATATATAGTACTAAACTACTAATTATTTAATAGAAATGTAATAAAACAGGAAAAGATGCTTACTTGTTGCCCTTAAGAGCATGAAGCTTGATAATAGTGTCGTCTTCTTCAGGACTAAACTCTCCTCTCTTAATATCAGGTCTTAAATAATTAGCCCATCTCAATCTACAACTCTTCCCACATCTCTTCAATCCTATATACATATATTGTACACACATTGTAATAAATACATATAATTAAGAGAAAAAAGCCTGTTAATTAATTATTATATAAATTCCTAATAATAAATCCATAAGAAGAAGATAAAAAAGAATTACCAGCTTTCTCAGGGAGAGTACGCCATCCACCTTCACCATGTAATTGAAGATAAGCAATAAGCTTTTGATCTTCTTCAGGAGTCCACGCTCCTTTCTTTACTCCTTCTTCTTTGCAACATGGTGTTCTCACCATCTCTGGTTCTTCTTCTTGATTCTTGATTTTCTAAATTTATTTATGGAAAACCTAATTGAGAAAAAAAAACGCTAGCACCTATCAAAGGATCACTGGAAAGAAAGACTCTTTAATCCATTGTTTTCTTAAGTGAAATTAACGAGAAAAAGAGATGGAAAAAACAGATGACTACGAGAATTTAATAGACCGTTTGATCAAAACCAAAAGACACCTGAAGATTGTACTCACTGAGACACTCTTTTGACGAGGAACACGCGAACGTGTTATCATTATATATGGAGTTTTTAAAACAAGAACAATCAGTGTTTTTTTTTTACTCTCTCTGTCGCACAGATTCTAGTGTATAGAGATGCTCTTATATAGAGAAAAATTACAAGAGAGAGAAAAAGAGACAAATATGATTAAAAATTACTTGATGTAAATAGAAATAATTATCTTTGAAAGAGGAATGGCTGATTACACGTTCTTTAGTTTCTTTACTTAGGCCACTGAGTCATCGTAGGGAAATGCCAGGTGTAATATTATCACTGGCTCAATCGAGCATCTGTCAGAATTCGCGGTAACTTGCATACTAATGGCACGGTTCTGATTCTCCTGTCTGTATTAGTTTGTTTCTTCTGAAAATAAGGAACATTGAGATTTGGGCAAAAGCCTTTTAATTTCTAGGAGATACACAATGGTCAAGAAAGGTGTGCAACTACTATAATTTATTAATTCAATCAATAATTATTCGTATCATTTCTCTTATATTCCCTTCAAATTTATTTAGTTATCATTTTAAAATTATGTATACAAATTAAAAAAACATTAATTGTATTAATTTTTCAATATAAAAATATTATTAATTATCTATTTAAACATAATTCAACCAATAATAAAACAAATTGCATAATAAAAATAATTATTAAAAATAAAAAAGTATTAAAAACTAAAAACAACAATTAATTTAAAACAAATAAATTTTTTTAAAACGATAATTAATAAAAAACGGAAAAAATATATAAGAATACCAATAAATTATTATTTCTCTTATATATAAAATTAAATATTTGAACATTAATAAATATATTGGTTTTAATATTAGTAAAGGGTTAACCATGCATGAAAAAGACGACAGATGTACTACGGTTAGCATATATATTATATGCCTAGATTGGATAATTTGATTTAAAGAGCGCAACAGTTTTTACTTCTTTGCTGATCTTTACTTGTATATAAGCGCATTTATATAAATATGATGAATTACGGTTATCCATTCTGAGATGGATTTCCCGACCCAAGCATGAATTTACGCCGATTATGAATTTTCCTTACAGTAAAAAATAATAATTAATCTGATACAGAATGGTTTGTGTATGAGACAAGGTATGAATAATTTAAAATTTTAAAATTATGAAAGTATATACACTATTGGCAGTCTACCTAGGTACTCATTTAGTTGTCAAATTTATACGAACTTGCTTTGTTATTCGAATTTTTCGTTACACATTTCCAATCTCTATCCACGCACTGTTACCCTCTTAATATCAGAAATTGTCACATCCACATTAATTAAGGAAGAAAATTTTGGAAAACAAAATTATGTGTGAACAAAAAATTTGTAATACTTTATATCGTGACGAAATGTGTACTTTATATTCATTTGATATTCATTAGGACAACACGTTTTTTTCCTAATTTTTTTATGGGTAGAAATAGGAACATGACAAAAAATCGAGAGACACGTACTAACTAAAAATAAAGTATAATATCATAAATTTTATTTATTAGTACTGTTATTTTATTTATAAATTTCACTAGTGAAAAACCGAAGAATGTATCACGAGACATTACATAACAATATCACGTATCGGGATAGTATTTCTTATATGGGATGATGATATTTTGAAAAACAAAACAACAGAAAAATACATTTATCAAAAAAAAAAAAGACTGCATGAATTAAAAAACATACAGTGCCACTATAAGTTACATTCCGCTTTGGATATAAATTCACCTTTGGACTAAGCACACATATATTCTGAATTCAAAAGAAAAGAAAATTAAGGAGACAAAATGATTGATCAATGATCATGGCCGTCGTTGGTAAAATTTAGGCTGTGGGCTTTTTGATGTAGAAATCTGATTATTATTTTCCAAACAGTTTAATGCTAGATATTTGTGGCGAAACTTTTGTTTTCTTTGAATGGCTCGAATAGTTGGTTGAAAAAATAAGAGCTAAAAATAAAAAATTCTCACGTATGAATTAGTATCTTCGGTTATACAAAATATTATATTTTGAATTTGATTATTCCGCACATATGTAAACTATGAGGGCGTAACGTGAAGATTTCATGTGGTATGAGTTGGCCCGCTGCTCATTCCCGATGCAATAGGATGAATCAACCCATTGCAAAGCACAAGATTTGCTGTTGAAGATAAGCTCTGACAAGATTTACAACTCCATCGGTCCATTCACATGTATTTAAAGTTTTCTTGGTTGAATAATTAATATACTTAATCTATGATATGTATAATCTCAAAGTTGAACAACTTGGGTATTCAAATTATAAACAGAAAACATAAAGTTCCGGTTGTTTACTGGATACGGGCATATATACTTTTCTTCTACATAATTTGGATGTAAGAGATCATTATATTAGAGGTGGCGAACTAAATATTGGAAAAAATTTAGAGATAATCTAGTGATTAGTAACTTTGTGAATATTGGAAATCTATAATATATTGAAGGATTATTTTCTCTATAAAGAAAATCTAAGAATAGTCAAGCTTTTTATTCGCTAAAATTTATGCATAAAATTACATAAACGTATAAAGAAGAAAATAAATTATTCAATCAAAAACTCATTTTTCAAAATTGAATAAAACTCTAAAACTAAGTAGGTTATCTATATATAAAAACCTCAAGAAAACATTTTTGAAAAAAAATAACTAATCCCACCACGTCGGGTCCATCCGAAAAGCTAAACCAGGAGCATGAATGGGATATGGTAGACGTCCTTTCGAGGATACCCTCTAGAAACATGTGTTTTTATAATGGAAAACATATTAATTCATATGTTATTTACAACCCCTCCAAGAAACTCATCATCATGAAAATACTTAAATATTTGGTGTCTTATGGAATTTTTTCTTATGATATATTATTGTGATATTTATAAAAGTTTCGAGCAATTGTGGTTTTTTTAATGTTATTTAAGTCAGTATATGTGAATCTGAATGATCTTACATGATTTATAGATTATCTTATAAGAAAATAATGTACTCTCAAAAGTCACTTGGTATTTTGGTCACATGATTTTATTTAAATTAAAATAAACAAGCTCTATGCTATTTATAAGGTAATAAGATAATAAAATTTTAGTAAATCACTAATATGTAAATATATAGTCTCAATAATACCATAAAAATCAATGTATATATATAGACTTTATATAAATAAAACTAAAACAATATACTAAAATATTATTTTAGTTTATTTATTTTTATTTAATATGAAGCTTGTCTATTATTATTTTTATTGCTTCAAAAAAATTATGGCATTGTATTGTCAAATTGCATCTAAAACTGCATATATCAACGCAAACACGTATGTTTGACCAAAAAAAAGGAGATGAAAACTCAGTTTTTTAGTAAACACCAAAGAGGAGACAAAAGCCAAATTTATTTAGTTTAATCAATATAAAAGAATGTGAAAGCAAAGGTTTTTCTCATTTAAAATAAAATATCATTTTAGAAAATTATGGACTAAAACTTTAAATTAATAAAATATGAAATCCCGATATTGTTAATTTGTAGACTTGTTACAATATGTTCCTTATATATCACGAAAGGTCCTAAAATATGTTATGTAGAATTTATGATCAGTTATAGAAGCTAGTTTCTCAAGTTAAATATGTAATGTAAGTGATTATAAGAGTGGGTTTGCTTTACCACAGGTCATAATCTTTCTTTTTGGGTTCTTTTTTCTGCGTCCGTCAAATTCCGTATATACTCGGACAAAATGGGATCGAATTTGGTGGCTCGTGTTTAAAGATTTCGATTAAAAAACAAATAGCGATACATTTCTGATTAATATGTATTGTATAAAAAGGTGATGAGTGATGACTCATGATGTTGCAACAGCAAAAATTCTTTGATAAAAGTCAAAACACCTGAAAATGAAAACTGGACCAAATTGTTTTTTCCTTTAAGGAAACTAAACCAAAAATTTAATTCGATTGAGACGATTTTATTTTATGATCAGAAAACCCAAAATAGTTTAAATCGACTCTTATCATGATCTTTTATTCCATGTGTGCTCATATTTCACTCATTTCCTCTATATCTTAAACCAGAACCAGCACGGGACTAAAGAAAGGAGCAACAGTGGAAGTCCATAGTTTCTAAAGACGAATCGTAGTTTCATGAATAGGGAAAAAGGGACCTTAAAGGAATTCCATAGACCATAGATGAGAACACATGTCTCATCTCGAATCCATATTATAGTGGTCCAATGAATATGCATGCGATTCTGATTACTACTGAATTTAAATTTAGTTATCCCAAGAAAAGCAAATGATAATTTATCAAATAAATATCAAAACGGAAATGGAGGTAGATCCTGATATTCGGCAGCTTGCATGAGATGCCAAACAAATGAGGCGAAACATTTACAACACATATTATTTAATCAAGTGTTTGGTAAAATAATCGAATATGTAAAACACACTTTACAAACATGATTGCGCAAATCACATTTGGTCGTGAATCATGTGCTTGACTGTGGACCCCTCTTACCTGAACAATCCCGTGCACTTATTATTGAGCGTGTGGTCCAATCCCAATAAAATCATACATATTTTAAGTATTTAAAATAAGTATCACTTAAACGAGGCTAACGAAAATATTTTTCCAATTTCCGCACACAATTTATTTATAATTAATTAAAACATTTATTTTCATACATCATTAATCTAAGAAACGTCGTAATTTTTAGACAAGTAATTCGTGCAGATTTGGCTAACTGAACAGCTATTTGTTTTGTTTATCATTTGATTTCCATGAAAATGTAATGGCAGCTAGAGGCATTCATATTGGATGTCTTCAATATATTTTTGTCTATGGTTTTTTCTAGTATTGATAGCTATGTGCTGAGTTGGTACGATTGGTGGAATTAACCGGTGTTAGAATTAATAACGCATCTCCACAAAACATGATATTACTTAAGTTCAGTGTCCTAACTTGTTGAACGGTTTCTCAGAGAGCTACAACTTATGTTTTGAAAGGGCTTGCAACCGGGTCTATTCAAGATGACATTTGCTTGTCCTGGTTATCAGAAGAATCCAACCAGCTCTGTTCTCCTATGAAAACCAAGATCCATCTAAAAAGCAACAATGACTAAAAACCAAGATCCATTCTAACTTGTCCTGCTTAACTAATTAGGTAAAACTTCATGAACTGTTGCTAGAGTTTGATATGTCTTGTTCTGCATATACCAAAGGGAGTCACTACTATCTCCATTGGTTGTCACTTGACAAAGCAGCTTCAGACCATAAACGATGATCCATTAATGTCTTGTTAATCACATCCGAGATAGACTATATTTTTTTCATCTAATATTAAATTATATTCAAAAGCAAAAAAATAACTGTTTTCATACTTTTCTGAATTTTTTATTTCTGAAAACAGAGAATTTTTAGCTTATCTAGTAGAGAACCAAATTTGCAATCCATCTTCATATCTCCTATCTCCATTGCTTCTAATTATGCAGAGCTGATTCCTCACATTTTTGTCTATAAGATAGACCATACTCTGTTGGGGAATAACAGGTCATTCTTCATTTCCCATATTCTCTAGCCAATAAAAGAAAACAAAGAACTCTGACTAGACGAATTCTTGTTAAGATGCAATTGGGAAGCAACATTATCAATCACATTATTAAATTTTAGTTATGCTCCAGCTGGATTATAATGCGGAGGGGAAAGCTCCCAAATTAATTTATTTAACAATTCTGTATTGGAAGAGCATATAATTAATTTAATAAAACAAAGTAACAAACACTATATTGTATATATATATATATATATATACAAAGCGTGTTGCAGTGATCGGTGTTTTTCTCTGGGTTAAATTGAATAGAAATTTAACTGCTAAGAAAATATCAAATCAATAATAGACTAATCATCATGAATTCATGATAATAAAAATAATCGCTTTTTCAAATCAGTGGATCAAAGTTTCTGTTTACTTTTAAAACATAAAATAGTACACCGTCTCAATTTGGTAAATGTAAAAGAAGTGTAGATAATTCACATTATGCACCACATGTATGAATTTTTAAAAGTATGCACCCGAATCAACAACATAGTTGATTTATCTATCAAATAAAAAACACAACACCACCTTACACCAAATGAAATTCAGATTTATCTCACAGGATCTGTTCCCAAGTCATCTTAGATGAAAAGAAAGACTTTAAATCGTCATAGCAGTGCCACCAGAGATAACGATCAGGCCAGCCAAGGCCCAAGGGAGAGGACAAAAGGGATGATCTAACTCTTTGGATCATGTTCGAATTCCACAGGTACGACGGGACGTGTCCGACAATTTAGCATTACGACACATTCCCAACACCCGTGTACTGTGAATTTTTCTTGATATGATGAAAGAAGAGAAAGTCGGAAAATAAAAAGCTTACATGATTGTTAGTTAATAAAGTTTAATTAATACATTTATTAATGTTAAAAGGTACATTTATCAAACTTTAAAGTACCAATGTAAAAGTTGTCGTTTTAGAGAATTTTGTTTATTTTAAATTAGTTGTTGTTTTCAGTTTTCAATGCAATATTTATTAGTTTTTTTTTAAAAATTATTTTTATTATACAATTTGTTTTATTATTGGTTGAATTATGTTTAAATAGATAATTAATGATGTTTTTATATTGAAAAACTAAAACAATTAATATTTTCTTAATCTGTGTGCATAACCTTAAAACGACAACTAAATAAATCCGGAGGGAGTATTACTTTTATACGATAGTTTTGAAAAAAGAAGAAAAAATAGCATTTCATACAGATATAAAATGTAAATAAATCAAATTACAACAATTCTTCATGAATGAAATCGTACTTAAAGAGTATATCAAAAGTTTTTACTAAAAACTACCATTATGCGCGGGTCCATCGATCTTGTCGGAAAATCTCGTCCAAGTCAATTTCTACCCAACTGTCCACAAGTGTCTCACTCTCTGTTGACGAAAAAAGCCATTCTTCTCATTTCGGGACAAACAGACAGACAACAGATCTGTGATTTAGATTATGTTTGAAAGTTTTCTTGGGTTTTTAGCCGTTAAGGCTTCACACCCTTTTTAGGTTGAGGCGTTGACGACTACGTGCAAAGAAGCTTATACGTCTAATGGGCTTATTATTCTCTTACTCGGAGGAATGGGCTTCACATACAGGCCTATTTATATTCACACGACGAATTCAAGAATCCTTTCTAGGTGAAAAACTCATTTCTTACCATAAATGGCATCATATCTCTAGCTAGCTACCGTTCCATGCTTTACGCCGTCTTCTTGACACACGAAAATTGAATTAATAAATTTACAAATGAAACTGTAAAAGGGGAAAAAAAAAAAAAAAACAGAAGAAAAAATGAATTTTTTGAGGCAGTGTTTATTAACTATGATAGCATTTACTACCCAATTATTACAATTCAAAAAAAAAAACGTTATATACTTTTATTCCAATAATATTAAATGCATTCATGGGTTACACATTGTAACCCCTTCCCTAATTCATGGCAATCTATGTCTTGTCTCCCTATTATTTTCAAATTTCAAATCATTCTTCTCCCTCATAATAAATCCCTCACTATTTCTTCTCTCCCTTCTTAACTTTTTTTCTTCGAAAAGCCGAATCACAGGCACACAAAAAATACAGACTGCTATTTTCTCGGGAAAAGATCCAAGCAAAATTATCTTCCAGAGAAAAAAACATAACAGCCATGGCTTCACAATGGACAATACCAAAGCTTGTCACTTGGAGAGTCAAAGATTGGGCTTCCTGTTTCTTGGCTTGCAAGATTCCTCTAGGTCTACCTCAATTATCTTATTGCTATTTTCTGAAACTATTGCTTAGATTATTTTACTGATTAGTTATAACAGACGTAGATGAAGATGGAGTTAACAATAGTGGAAACTCGACGAACAACAATAATTTATTGTTCAAGAGGACAAAGAGGAAGATGAAGAGTAAGAAGAAGATATCAGAGAGGAAACTCAGTCTAAGCCCACCAGGGTCACGTCATCATCTTCATCTAAGAAGCAGCAGCGTTTCTCCGACGTCGGCGTCTCAACACCGGCGGTTGAGCTGGCCACAGCCACCGGTTTTAGACGAAGCTGGATTCATTGTCTTCTGCTTCGACCGCGAAGACGGAGGCTTCGATGTTGTGAAAGAGGAGAAAAAAGAGGTGGAATTGTCGCCGGAAAAGTCACCGAGGACGGTGAATCGTAAGGTTCGTTTTCGAGAAATCCAAAATCCTTTTAAAAAGTTTTTAAAACTTCATCGTGCTAGAGGGCCTGTAAATGGTGCATTCCAAGTTCCAACAGTGTTCTGGTTTAAACCTTATTTTTGTATAGAAGAATTTTCAGATATGTAATAAAATATAATTTGAGGTCTTTATTCTAACATAGACAAAAGTTGCACAACACCTATAAATAATTTTGAGCCGCTTCTGAAAAACTTGGCCTTAAAGATTTTGACTTCTATATTAATTTTTTCATTAAGAAACAGCTTATTTATGGAGATCAAGGGGTAGGAAAAACAGAGAAGAATAACTCCCCCGAGATTAAAGAACAAGATCAGGACGATAAGACTACATGCCAAGCAACTGAAGATGTCTCTTGTGATGTTCATGAGGTATTTGTCTTTTAAGGTGTTTCAAGTTTCAGAACTTAAGAAATTGTTATTTTATATATTTATATACTTTCGGCTGTTGTCGAAGAACGAGGAAGAAGAAGAAGAGACTAACGCCTCTGATAAATCTAGCGGGTCTAATCACTCAGATGAAGGAAGGGGATCTTTTGCATTTCCAATGTGAGTTTCAATAGCAACAAAAGGATTAGCTTTTATATTGTTTGCCTTGTTTAAAAACTAGGGTCTCTGATAATTTGGGATTTAAAATGATGCAGATTGGGAGTTGAGTGGATGGGGAGCCCTGTTCGGATGCCTAATTCAGACGACTTGTCTCCCAAGAAACAAAAGCCGATTGCATTAGGGTTCCAGTGCTGTAGATTCTGAAAATGAGAAACACTCTAGATTCTAGAAGCTTATGAGATTTTTTGTACTACTCTGTTTCTGAGTAAAGTAACACTTTGAAAGGACAGATAATCAACAATCTCGATTTAGACAAGAACTAAAACGAAGAAACGATTTCTTGATGTCTTGATGGCTACAAATATAAATAAATGTTCTAAAACTTGAATGTATTTTAGTGCCAAAGGATTAGGTTACTGCAAGAATAAATACTCTTCGTCTTATGTTTCCTTTGCCGTTGTCAAAGCTGCAACACATACACTCTTGCTTCAACTATTTCCCTCATTTCGGTTTCATAAATTGTGAAGATGATCAAATTCATATGGGATGGCCTTAATTTACGATCCTAATCGAATTTCTGAGAATCAGTTTTTCGCCATTCCTTCAGATAACCGTGCAACAAATCTCCTTTCAAAGCGTCAAGAGAATCAGTCAAGTCTCTGAATATCAAGTCCTCAAAAAACAGAAACTAATCATTAAAAATACAGTTTTAGTAAACATGAAAAAATGTTGAAGATGGACTAAATATTCCTTCTGGATATACAGATTTACCAAATTTCAACAACATAAAGCTAGTCCATACTCTACCCAAAACGGAAATCTTATCAAATTCTTGCATTTTATGGCACTAAAGAGATGAAAATAAATTAAATAGGACCAGAACTAATATGGGGTCTTATTGACAAAGACAATAGTAATATAGGGTCCTAAAGAGCAATAATTCCCATCTTACACCAAACGCCGTCGTTTTAATAAGCAATGCAATGCCTTAAAACCCCACCGGTAAACGGTTCGGTAGTGAAGAAACTCCGACGAAACAATGGCAGCGTTAAGCCACCGCATACGTAGCTTCACGCGGCGCTTCTCCTCCACCCGGAACACTCAAAGAAGCGGCGGAGCCACCAAGATACCCACACTCTACGGAAGCCCAGAGATAGAATCGAATTCCACAACCCTCCAGCTCCTCTCGTGGGGACGAGGCGCGTCGGGTCAGCTCGGCGGCGGAATCGAGGAGATTCGAATGTATCCGTCTCCGGTCGCTAACCTTCTCCTTCGCTCCGATCAATCCTTCTCTCTGGCCCAAACGCCTGGAAGAATCGACGCCGATCCACCGAAAAACGGGTCGGGTTTTCGGGTTGGAATCTCTTGCGGGTTGTTCCATTCGGGTTTGACGATCGACGGAGATCTGTGGATTTGGGGAAAAGGAGACGGCGGGAGGCTAGGTTTTGGCCAAGAGAATTCAGTCTTCGTCCCCAACTTAAACCCGCTTTTCGAAGAGCATTCGATTCGTTGTGTCGCTCTCGGTGGTTTGCATTCGCTGGCTTTAACCCATAAAGGAGATGTTTTCACTTGGTAAGCTAGCTTCGAAATTCGCTTAAACATCAAATTCGAATCATTTTTAATAACGTTTCTCCATTTTTTCAAAAACTGTTAAATCTCGGAATCATTGTTGTTGGAACTTTGATTGATTGTCTGCATAATGTGATGGTTGCATAAATTAAAAATGAAGTTGCCAGGGGTTATGGCGGTTTTGGTGCGCTTGGACATTCGGTTTACACCAGAGAACTCGTCCCTCGACGTGTTGACGGCTCTTGGGATTGTAAAATCTCTGCCATTGCAACCAGTGGAACACACACTGCTGCTATTACTGAATCAGGTTCCACATGCTTTCTGTTCTTGCTATACATGTCCCGATGTCATATGTATATGCAACTTCAAGAACTTAGTTTTATGTTTTTGAACAAGCTGATATTGTGATAGCAGTAACTAGTATTTGCTCTGTTTTAACTCTTGATCGAGCAATGATTTGTTCTTGGTTTTAGGAGAGCTATATATGTGGGGTAGAGAGGAAGGAGACGGTAGGTTAGGGCTCGGGCCAGGCCGAGGACCAAATGAAGGTGGTGGGCTTAGTGTTCCCTCAAAGGTCAAAGCTTTAACAGTTCCCGTAGCCTCTGTCTCATGTGGTGGTTTCTTCACAATGGCTCTTACACAAGAGGGACAACTATGGAACTGGGGAGGTAAAAGATCATTCTACCCTTACCTTCTACCATTGTTAGCGTAGAAAGAATTTCATTGGATTTTTATGTTTCAGCAAATTCCAATTATGAACTCGGCCGTGGTGATAACTTGGGAGGTTGGGAACCAATACCAGTTCCCAGTTTAGAAGGCGTTCGTATTTCCCAGATTGCGTGTGGTGGTTATCACTCTCTTTCATTAACCGGTAAACAATCTTCTGCGAAGTGAACAGTTCTCTTTTTCCTACAGTTTTGAGTTGAAATTTGCTTGGTGTGACAACAGAGGAAGGTAAAGTACTCTCGTGGGGCCATGGTGGCCATGGCCAATTGGGTAATTCTTCGCTACGAAACCAGAAAATTCCTACAGAAATCGAAGCATTTGCAGACAAAAAGATCGTCTTCATCGCTTGTGGAGGTTCCTCTTCTGCAGCGATAACAGGTAGAATACAGCTTTTTGTTATGTTCATTTGACATCATACATAACTCAGAAACTATAAACACGGGATTGCTTTTTGACAGATGAAGGTAAACTCTGGATGTGGGGTAACGCTAAAGATTTCCAACTAGGAGTTCCAGGAGTCCCGGAGATCCAAACTTCTCCAGTCGAAGTCAACTTCTTAACTGAAGAAGAAGATGAGCTAGAATCGCACAAGGTTGTCTCAGTCTCCATTGGTGCTTCTCATGCGTTGTGTCTGGTCTCAAGATCACACTAATAAACACTTTGATAGACCATAAAGAAAACAGAAAAAAAAAAAAACAGTGACACCGTACATTAAGGTTCAGCTCAAATGTTGTTTTGGCTTACGCATTTGAAATGGAAACGCTAATGTTATCAAAACACAGTTTTGAGTATGCTTCTATGGGTATGATATACATATAAACGAACAAGATCTTCACATATGACAAAGAAAGAAAAATGAACAAACAAGATTGACACAACAGTTTTCTGAACCGGAGTAAATCTGATTCTTGGACGTGGAGCCATCAAGTTGAGCAACAACCTACCTTCTTAACCGCAGAGACGTCGTCTTTAGACCCAACATTGATGGTCTGTCCTTTGGGAAGAGCTGTCGGATCATCTCCAAGATCAAGCGCTTTACGGCTAACCACACGGTAAATCTGAGAAAGCACTTCGGTGAAAGCATTCTCGACATTCAACGATTCAAGAGCTGATGTCTCCATGAAGAAAGTGTTCTCTCTCTCCGCGAAAGCCTTGGCATCTTCGGTTGAAACAGCTCGTAGGTGACGGAGATCTGCTTTGTTCCCAACGAACATGATGACGATATTGGAATCTGTGTGATCTCTAAGCTCCTTTAACCATCTTTCGACATTCTCAAAGGTCACATGCCTTGTGACATCATAGCAAGCAACGCTCCTACAGCTCCTCGGTAATATGCACTTGTGATTGCTCGATATCTTCAAACACACACAGAAATTATATTAACCAACAAAATTAGTCCCTTTTTTATCATTAACAAGGTAATGTGCATCGGAATCAATGGAATTCCTCAGATTCAACGACAAACTTAAGTAGACTCTACCACCTATTTTCACCATCCACCATCAAAATCTTATTTGGCAATACCAATAAGAGAATCGTACGGAATCAGAAACAAAGAAACAGAGAGGCTTATGAAGAAATCTCAAACCGATCCCCGATTCAAGGAGCTTGAAGGGAGATGTATTTATATATACCTCTCTTGGCCAGCGGTATCCCAAATCTGGGCTTTGACGATCTTATCATCGACATGGATGCTACGGGTGGCGAATTCGACGCCGATCGTGGATTTGGATTCGAGGCTGAACTCATTGCGCGTGAATCGAGAAAGGAGGTTGGATTTTCCGACACCGGAGTCTCCTATCAACACCACCTTGAAGAGGTAATCGTAGTCGTCGTCGGCTCTGTACGCCGCCATTGTGAGGATTTTTCGATTGTAGAATCTCTCTTTGGAAACTATTGGATCGGAGATTTCTTGAAAATAAAGCGCGTATCGAGCAAGGGGAAGAAGAGACGCAAAAAAAAAGAGAGATTCAAATTTCCAGGGGAAACACTGATGTCATAAAAAAAAAAAAAAATTCCAGGGGAAACACATTAACCAAAGAAAATCGCGGAGATCCGGATCCGTATCGAGTCTGGGCCTTATCTGGATCCGGGTAGGGGTTTATTACCACCTTTATTATTTGAGCTCAAATATGTAATTCGGTTTGAAAATTAGTTAGCTTTAAAAATTTAAAAAGTTTGTTTGTTTTTCCTTACGTTAGATCGTACTATTTTTTATTTTTTATTTGGGTCAAAGATCGTAATATCTTAAAAGCTCAATGCGGAAATGATAAATGATTTTCTGCTTAAAGATGGAGATGGTATATATATCAGCAAATTTTGAGAAAAGGGCATAGATATACACATTACAGTTTCACATTTAATATAAACATAAAAAGAATTTGAAGTGTCATATCAAAATTGAACATACTCAGTACTTAAGAATGATAACAAAGCTCTATAAACTAGTGTTCTGATATTTGTCAAGTTATTAAGTTACTATTTATTGTATTGTTCATGCATTTTTTTAAATATACTTATATGTTTCTGCACAATGAGTATGTAAACTCTCATTTAAATTAATAAAGAAATATGTTACAAAGAAGAAGAAAAATAAACTCACGACATTAAAGTTTAAAAGGAAAACAAATTAAACACAGTTGATCATCACTAGCATAATTCCACCAGACAAGTTAAGCTTATAGTGAGCAGCAGCTTATCTTTATATATCCCTAATAAACACTACTCGACTCCCCCGCTTCTGAGAGAGCTTTTCACTATTTGTTCCATCATTTTTGTTAAGTAACAATCCACTAAAACTTGTGACTTGTGTTACCATCATAGATATAGGAGTGGATCAACACCGGTATGTTTAACACCTGTATCATTTGGTTTTACCGATCTGCACCACTATCTTTATTTTGTTTCTTTCTTCTTTTTCTCTCTCATGGCTCCAATTTGTTATACGACTGTGGTGCAATATTTTGTCCAGTTTAATTTCTAAGGGACAATCCACAATATTTACCGTCAAAACATTATTCTCGTAATTTTTATGATAAACTTTGATTCCACAAACTTTTTTTTTTTTCTTTTTCAAAAAGGCTAATTTTGTCCAGAAAAAAAAAATTCTGTAATCAAAAACTTGAATCACTCGAGGCAAATGACCAGAGCGAATTAACTTAGTCCACTGTGCTTGGACTTTCCCTACTCTCTTTTTTTTCGTGGTTAAGTGATGAATGTATTTGTGTTTTGTGATTTCTTTGATATCTAAAAATAAAAATAAGTTAACTGAAGACTGAAGGAATTATGTTTCGAGATTACAAATGAGATCAGTAGTGGCAGGAGGAAGATTCAAATTAATGTTAGCAAATAAACGAACTAAATTTATCTAACCGAAATACAGTAAAACCTCTATAAATTAATAATGTTGGGACTGCAATATTCTATTAATTTATTGAGTTATTAATTTATCGATATAAAAATCAGCTCAAAAAACTAATTTGAGACTTGAAAAATATATTAATTTATCGAGGTATTAATTTATCGAATATTAATTTATAGAGGTTATACTGTAGTGTGAAGATGGACAAGAGCTGATTGGTATAACGGTCGAATCTTCTATGCCACAAAGACTTGAGTAATGCGTTGGAACGTTCACATAATGAGAGAAGAATGTAGTGTAGTGTAATACTAAATGAACTGACAAAAACTATTTTTAGAGTGTAAGTATCCTCTCATATTGTCAAACAAGTCGATCAATGAAAACACAAATACAATAAGATTAGAGAAACGAAATGATTAGGGAACATGGTTGAGTCATACACCAACCCGCAGACAATCCCAAACTCTCCCAACCGCCCAACCAAACTTTCCCGTGTGTGATTTGTATGAGATTTTCTTAACTTAAGCACATGCCATATTGGACCTACTCTCCCCTCAAGTGATTTCCCTACAATGACTACTATCACCTACCTAATATGGACCCCTCATCATCATCACCATTGATTCGCGGTGTCACCATTCCGATCACACGGCGTATACGCGCGTTTAAGAATTTTCACTGCTCTAACGTCACACCATTCGGTTTGATTTATGTAACACAGAGGATCCGTACTCTTTCGCATTTTCTCGGCTAAGATCTTTCAAGGAAGTCTTCTACGAGCGAGCGAGCGAGCGATTGGAGTTGGAGAAAACGACGAACCGACCAATGACATGCGTACATCAGCCATTCACGTTACGACACGTGAAGTGGGACCTGCTTTGGCCACGTGGAATGCATGTCGCGCATGAGTCTCGTCGCGCATGAGTCTCGTCACTAACACGTGGGTCCCATGCGCAAATCGCCCGTCGTCTATTTGCTTAAGCACTACTGTTTTTACGCGACGGCACGGCTCTCTCGTTTTTCCGTACAATTCCCCTAAAACTTTTTTATTCGCCATTAAGAAAATGTCGTATATCCCATTCAAAAAAATTATTGTTCTTTAGGTTTTTTTTTTACTCTTGCATCAACAAACCTAAGATTACTCTTTCGAGTTAATTAATTGGTGATAGTGCTATAATAGTAAATCACGTAATTCTCATTTTTCAGTTATCTAGTGTAAGCTGTGATGTGGAATATATAGTTGTTTTAATTCGATTATAAAATTCGATCATAATTTTCAGAAGATAAGGTATAGTAGGACATCGAGTTTCCAATTTGTTTATTCAAAGACCTAACACTGCTTAATGAGGAGCTACACATCGAACATGGTCACACTCTTAACGACTAATAATAATTCAACAAAAAAACCCATAACCGAAGACGAAGCAGAAGACAAGTTTTTGTATGTCCAATCAATATATAAGTTTATTAGACACATCAATGAAAAAACATCCCAGAAAATTAAAATCTTATCAAATATACAACGATAAGTAAACCGAAACCAAATTAAAACCATGCCACATAAAATTTCACTCTTGGGATATTCCAAAAACTAAGAAACAAGAGCTAAATTTTATATTGGGGAAAAAATTTACAAGCAGTCATATATTATATAATAAATCCCGTTTTCAACCCATAAAAATAAAATAAAATAAAACACTTCATCAAACTTTACCTTATGTTGTATAAAATATTTTTTTTGGGGTTAAGAAGAAGAAGGAGAAGAAGCTGTGAGAATTAAGGAAGGTAGAGACCATTCTGATCTTGGTCAGACGACGTCCATTGACTTTGACTCCAGTATGCATGATCAACGGTACTGGTTAGATCAAAGAGTGTTTGATCTCCTCCGCCACTTCCCCAATCCAACGGTTCAAATCCCATATTCGGATCAACCTGATCCGTTCGATCCCCAAACTGCTGCTGCACAGTATCACCTTCCAACTTCAGATGATCAGCTATGCACTGTTGATTTACGGAATTGCCCCCAAATCCAAACGGAGTCGTTTCAATCGACGGCGCAGCAGTAAAACCGCCGATTTCGGAGAAAACTCCACCGTCCGATGAACCCTGTCCGATCAACGTCGACCATTCGATCCCGTTTCCGTACAGTTTCAGATTAGGCATATCAGTACCCGTAAAACCCGAAGACGCAGCCTTCACGGCGGCGGCGGTTGCGGCGGCGGTTGCGGCGACGGCGGCGACGTTGGAGTTAGAGGCGGTTAGAGAAGAGCTCTCGCTGCTACTGGATTTCTCCTCGACGTCTTGCGTCGTTGGTTTTTCGTCGGACGGCGGCGACGGCGACGACGGATGCTGCTTAGACTTAGATCGTTTGGCTTTCCGGCAGCCGCCTCCGACGGGGACGTTACGGAGGACGCCGCCTTTGGTCCAGTAACGACGACAGTTCTTGCAAAAGTGTCGAGGCTGAGAGAGATTGTAATTGTTGTAGTAACAGAACTTTGTGTTAAGAGAATTGCAACGAGGACACTTGAGAGATTGGTGATGGTTTAGGATGTTGTTCTGATGCGCTCTCATCCTCCGATCTCCGCCTCCTCCGCCGCTTATTCCTCCACCGAAAAACCTCCCTGTACTTCCTCCTCCTCCGACGCCTCCGGTCATCGAGTAATCATGAATATCTTGCATTTCCAAGAGAGGATAAGGAAAATTCTTGTGTGAGGAAGAATTAGAAATTGGGAAGTTAGAGTGGAGATGGAGAAGGAAAGAGAGAGAGAGAGAAGAGGGAAGTAGTAAGCATGGGAAAGACTTCTGAAACTCTGACACAGCATATCTTTCATATGTCTGAACAGGCAGTTTCTCTTCAAACTACGATTCTACCCCTATGATATTTTGTATTTTACAATCCCTTTGCGTGGCTGTATTCATATAGGTTTGCTTCGCGTCCAAAAAAAATTGGCCCCATCAATTACATGTATAATAATATCTTTCCCATTGAAACGACCTTTGTTGTATTTCGGTTTTGAATTTTTATTTATACATACAAAAGAGTCGCATCAAAGGTCCAATGATTGATAAATTAGTGCTTATATATCTCTTATTTTCACATCAAATTTAATATAAAGAATCCCAAAAAAGAGTTTTGAAAATGTTGATGAATTATGTATGCATATTCTTAGTATACATATTAGATTTTTTTAGTTCTTTTTTTTTGGTTATGGAGAACATATATTATTACTTAAAAAATAGACTCTATGTTAACTTGTCATTGGTACGAATATAATGAGATAATGTCATTAAATAAAATGATTTAACATCAATGTATTTTCCAGAAAACTAAAAAAAAACCTGCAAAACAGTTTCTCTATGCTTTTTTAGAAAGTATTGTTTTAAAATTATTCTTTTGTTTTACAAAAATTTATTTTCTTCAATGCAGGTTTTAAACGAAGTTTTCATTTATTCAAGTTCGGTTTTAAAAATTTTGAATTATTATCTAATTAGTAATATACTGTATGAAATACGAGTACATTTGTAAATGGAGAGAATAATAAATCTTTCAAATCTAAATTTACTTATTAGTATCTGATAGTTACCGAGATGTTAATTTGAAATAGGTTGACTGTTTGACTACGTATATATTATACAAATTGTACTAGATACTATCCTCGTACCGAGTCCGAGACATTAGTCCACGAGATAGCTAGGTATCACCGAACTACGTTGCCTGAACATGCATGCTAGAATCGTTTCTGATGACACAAATCCAAGATGAGTTGTAATTAATCAAATACGCATGGAATTTTACTTTGCGTGTGAAATTGAAACATAACATAAATATTTATTTCCGCGTGAAGCTTCCTTTGTAATTTAAGTTACGGTTTAGCTTTTGATGAATTTCTTGCATTTTTGTCAGAGACTTTTGTATTGGAAATTTAATGGAGGCAATGGAAAAAAAGTGAAATCCGTTGCTTCATTTACAAGAAAAAAACGACATCTAACATATGTTGTATGAATCGTCTAACAGTTGTTGTTGTTGTATGTTTTTTAGGTTTGTTTGACGTTTGAACATTGCCACTATACAACTAATACTTATCGCTTTCGGACGTACAAATATTTCAATGTTGAATAGTGTGGTTCTAACAATTGTTAAAGTGGTATAACAGTTCGACATGCGACGGTGCTAAACGTTTCACCAAATTTTTTAGTTCAAAACCTTGATTACTATTAAACCAAAAAAAAAAAAAACCTTGATTACTATGACGTGTAAGGTTTATATAATTAACTCATTGAAGTCTAGTCGTAATTAACAAGCCTATAGATTTAGATCTTTCTTTTTTCGTTGCATAACAAATTTCCATAATACTAGTGGGAATAATCTAGACGATTGATAAGGCTAAGAGGACACGTGGAGGGTCGAGAAAGGGAAGAGTTGATGTCCACATAAATTGGGTTGTCGACTTGTCGACCACCCCGCTTTATCTGCTGATTCAAGAGCTCTGTGGCCTGTTCCAGTGGTTCCTATTCTGCCACGTCAACGTATTCCTCTAAGAATAATAAACTATATTTGGGTATGAGAATGTAATGTATGTGTACAAATCTGGTACTTGTAATCGCTATTATTTATTTGCCGGGTTGTTCCCATTTAAGTAATCGCAACTACTTTCTATGTAATTTCTCCATATTAATGAATAGTAGCTGTTAAGAAAAAAGAGTAATTGCAACTGCTTTTGTATATTATAAATTTTATTGTGGTTACTAACTTTGCGATTTTTTATGCCCCAGTAATCGCAAGTACAGTCCTTGGTTTTAATTGCGATTAACATTAATTTTTTTTCCTTTTACATTCTAAAGCTTTTAGATTTTCGGTTCATAATTTTATGGATTTTAGACTATACGCCAGTCTTCATCTTAGTGTTAGTTTCATAAAACGTAAGTAGATACATAAACCCAAATGCCGTACCGTATTATATGATCAAACATGCGCATATTACAAACGCAAAAAGCAAACACAATATGATACAAAAATACTCTCATACTGTAGTTATTAAATTTTTAAACTATGAAAATTATTGGTTTTAGCCATATATGCATACTTATTCAACTAAGTTAGAGGATAAACTATGTACATCATTTCTTACAGATTTAGCTATGGAGAGATTGTGAATTGAAATCCATATGAATTGAAATCCATATCCAGCGTTCACATTATTACTGAATTTGATTCTACCTTCGGTTGGAATAACTCCTGGTTTCATAATATGAACACTTGGATGATGTACAAATATTTTCAGAAATTATGAAACTGACCAGTATACTAGTGGAAAGAGCAATTAGGACCACTTAAGTGGGTAAGGAAATGTCGGGTGCAAAATGCAAACTGCAAACACGACAATAGTGACATGTAATTCAGTGCTTATCGCTCATATGTCACATATGCTGTTAGTTTTGTTATTATTAACGTTCGCGATGCAAGAAAGTGATGAGCAATTTAGCATTAATGACCTACTGACTCGTAGCGTTTATACTGTTATTAAAAATGTACTTGTAATGTTCAATTATATTAGATCACTGAATAATTCATAATAAAATCGTTGTACATCCTTCTATAGTGTAATGCATGAACCTTGTTCATCACACATGCGTTTTGATACGACGTGGCTATATATAATTATCACAAACATTATTGTTGTATTCACAATACTCACACGAACTTCGGATATTATACTATACATACATATGCGTGAAAATCCATGTGCACAGACTCACAGTGCACACACATACACGCATCTAGTATTTTTCAATGACGGATGTTTGAAGAATCTATTGAAATTAATTTACATTCATCAGTCCGTTCTAATCAGTTTGACCTATTTATAGTCAATGGTTTTTGAAACGTTTCATCTCTGGATTGTGAGGCAAGAATGCGAGTCATTTTATGCTATATTATAAATGGTTGGCGATTTTTAATATTGGTTTAGTTTGGTAGAAATACTTCTAGTCCAGTGCTTTATGAAGTTCGACTCCTAGAAAATATAATTTAATATACATTAATAAAAGTAAATTTATCGATACATTTAGAAATATGAAATTCGACTCCTAAGAAATATGATTTAATGTATATTAATAAAATTAAATTTATCAAAAAAATATCATGATGCAAATATTATCATTTGTCATAGTTCATGGTATACATGATGTAAATAGAACCGTATAATTTTGTAAATGTATTGAATTATCTTCTATAGAATCATTTTTTATAATTTATAATAGATAATAATTTAGAGGAATTCCTTAGATCACAAAATACAAAAAAAAAACTAGGAAATTAATTTGAATAGAAAAACTAGAAAATCAAATCTTCCCAAAACGTATACGGATAGGGTGACCCATGGGGACAGTATCCCATAGGTGCATACTATTGGTACACAGGTGTCCTTCGCTACTATGCTAGTAATTTCACAATCCATACATGATACATATCCCAACAAATACATATATATATAATATATACTGACATACATATACATAATTAGATAGAGAGCTGCTTTTTTTTTGTCTTGTCGTCGATAGAGAGCTACTTTTTCATCCTATCTATACAAAAAATTCCAGATTTGATACGAGCATATAGAAAATTTTGGGGTATATTGTTAAGCATTGAAAGCTCTTAATAAAGTTCTATTAAAATATGTAAAAATGGAAATATCAATAAAATACTATTTTTGGGTAAAGTGATACACAACACTCCAATACATATGAAGTGTTTGCTAAAACGACGGGGCGTGTCAGTGAGTTGAGTGGAAAGGTCACCATCGAGATCTCAATTCTCAAGGTCCAGTCGTTGGTGGTCGGTTTAGATTGGAACGTCTTCTAAAGGCCCATGGGCCCCATCTCGTTACACCATCATCCCATCTGTCACGTGATTATTGGGCCCACAAGGCCCATCTCCTGTCAACATCTCACAGCTCTCATCTTTCATACTTCCATTTATTATACATAACACACACATACTGACATACATACATACAATACAAATACTTTTTTTTTTTTTTTTTGGTGAGCGTCTATATATAAATGGCTGAATAACAGATTCTGACATGTTTGATTAAGCTAATTTTATGGAATAGTTTTCACTATTAAAGGGGACGTTTTTGTTGTTAATATAGAAATGTAATTTACACGCGGATAGCTGAAAATCAATGATGATTGATTGAGAACTTTTAATACTCTCTTAAGATGGGCTTCATTTTGAATTTCTTTTTTTTGTACTACATAGTATCCTTTCCAGTTGATTTCTGATTCACTAAACCCACTTGCAAATTACAACTACCATTAAATTATATTTTATGATTTTTAATCTTCTTAAGTTAGGTAGATTTTACCTTTTCTGTGTGTGATATATCGGAAGTGATTGAAGATTTTATAATTCTGCAAGATTTGTATTTGATCTTGCAAGATTTGAAAATCATCAAAGATTGAAAATTTTATGGTTCTGCAAAATTATTAGTCACACATATCTATGATTTTGCACATATAACAGTACAAAATAAAAATAATCTTGTACTTTATATTTTTTCTCAATTTAATAAAATTGACTTTTAGCGTTTATGTATATTCTGTTATCATAATCTTAAAATCTATTTTACCTTTTATGGGTATAGACTTAAGAATACTAATTGTTGATTGTCGAAGTTATGTCGGTTATACCTTCAATGAATGAAAAAACATCTCTTGTACATAGTTTGTACACATCTAAACTAGTTTTTTTATTTCCTTCTAATCATTCATCATAAAAAATGAAAATGATCAGATCCTCATTTTTTAGTCTCCTACTTCAATCTATTAAATTACCTTTTGTAATATATTAATCTACTTTTTATTTCAAATAATAATTTAATTTTGATATTAGAAAAAAACTTACTAAGATTTGTAAACCTTCTAAGTTTTAACTCATATGTCCTAATCAATTGTGCAACAATTATATAAAACTATCGGCTAATCTCTGAATATTAATGCCTTTTATAGAGTTAGAGTCTTAAAGAACCGTATTTCACTTTTTTGACAAATGATCATGATAAATGAGATGAGAACTTTTTTTCAGGTCAAATTAAAAAGACCGGCCTTACTTACCTTACTTAAAAGCATTATACATAAGGCCCAACTCGAGTGTTAACATTTTACTCCAATATGAAACAAATTGTTACATTTGATTGGGATGTCTCAGAAATATATAGTTACCAATGAAAGAAAAAAAAAGAATCTTAATCACCTGAAAGAATCGCTTAATTTCTATCTTGTAACGTCATCTATATTACTCCACTAATCATTTGTAATCTCATATGGTAAGTCAGAAACTGACCTAATAATAATTCAGCACTGCAATTATTTATTATTTTTCTTGACTTAAAAAATCATTTTTTAACTTTCGAAAATTTATCGAAATAATTTTGGAAGTAGAAAAAAGTCAAAAACCCCGAAAAAAATTGTCGACAAAAAAAATTAATTACACAGGTCAAACACTTAAATTTACTCAATTAATAGACCAAAAAAAAGTTGAAAAAAATCGAGATAGAACGAACCACAATTGATTGAGGTTTTTTTTCAAATTTCCAACGTGAGACGTATGAGTATGACGAGCGAGATTGCGACATCTCCGGCGATTCCGCCTCCGCCGGAGAAACACTCCGAGCATCAGCCACTGCCGCAGAAACCAGTAAACTCTGCTCCCATTTCCGCCGTACCTCCCTCCTCGCCACAAGCTACGGTCAGTACCCTCAATCTCTCTCTCTCTCTCTCTCTCTCTCTCTCACTGAGGAATTTGAACGATCTGTAAAATCCGTTGTATTGCAGACGGAGGTTGTCGCTAATAGCAATGGCGTAGTATCAGACCAAGTGATCGATGAAATCGAAGAACCATCCTATTTCAAGTAACTTTGCTCTCATGATTTGATTTCTGTCTTTTGGGCTTTGATGCATTGTTTCTACTTCAGTGAACCTTTAATTGGAAAAAAAAGAGAACCTTTGATTGAATGTTCTGAAAAAAAACCTAAATTCGCGAATGCAATATTTGATTCAATCGTTTTCGTTTTAGATACCTCGATAGCAAAGGGTATGCTGAAAAGTACCGAAAGTACGAATCTGACTTTAAGCAGATGCTCCTGGCAAAGTATTTCTCTGGGAGAGATCCCAATGGAGGTGAGTTCAATTGCTTCATATTGTTCTTTGGTCGAATTTCATGAAATTTGATCTATTGTGTGTGTGTTTTTTATAGCGAATTTGTTTGAGGAGAGAACAACAATAGATGGTGAAACCATTATGTCAAGCAAGTAAGCATCAAAGAGATGTTTTTTCGTTCTTTTTTTGGATTTTGTCATAAGCTTCAGGGTGTGTTGTAATTTTGGTTGGATAAAACTCTTATTTTTGGGTATAATTGGTCAAAACTTTCAGGTGGCCTTGCACGCGTTTCTATGCAGACCCGGATATTTCATATCCAGATCCAGTACAATGCCTTGATGAAGAAGAACAAGAACAAGAAGAACAAGAAGAAGAAGAAGAGATTGTAGATTCAGCTACTGCAGAGATAACCCCTGGTGAAATCTCCAATGGAGGTATTGTCTTAGAGAAGAAGAATAGTTGTTGAAGAAGAATAGTTGTTGACGTTTAGTTTTTTTTTTCTGGTTTTCGGTGTTGACAATGTTGATTGAACCTTTTGCTTAAGTTGATTTGCTTCATAGACCAAGAATGTGATACACAATTTCGATGGAGCTAATTGTGAAACCAATAGATTTAAATCATATCTACTGCATTGTCGTTATCTATTATATACATATATGCAAGTAATTGCTAGTGCAGTATTCACATTACATTTATGTCTCAATCATAGTACTACTGGCTTAGCACACCAAGAACTTGAAGACTGGAACGTATAACTTTTTTTTTTACTTACCAAAGAAATCGCTGGTCCGGTTCGATGTTTCACCTCTGAGATGATTCACATTGATGCTGCCATCTCCATTTCTCATGGGTATTAGCATTTCTGCCATTAGTAATTGAAAGTATGAGACTTTCTCCTTCAGCTGTGAGTTCTCTTGCATGACCTGGTGGTTGCTTTCCAACAAATTGATGACTTTCTCAGACAAGTGATGATTCAACATCATGAGCTGTTCCACTTGTTGCTGCAGCTCTTCGATCTGCCTCTTCTTGCGCATACGTGACCTCCTTGCAGATTCTCGGTTAGAGACCATTCTTCTTGCCCTTCTATCATCTGGATCGAGACCCTCGTTATGGTAAATGTTTTCTCCATTTGGGTCTAAGTGAGAGCGATTGTTGTTGCTGCGGGACGACAAGTTTGGTGATACGGACTGCAACTGGACGTGGAAGTCAGTGTTTGGTAGGAATGCAGAGTTGAAATGATCGTCTTGTGGCGGCATTCCTTCAAGAATGTCGAAACAATGAGAGCGATGGACACTGGGAGGCTCCATGTAAGGTTTTTGACGTCTGATCATCAAAATTGTTTCTCTCTGATGCAGGAAAAAGAGAGAGCGAGAGAGAGTTAGAGAAAGAAGAGATATTGCTTAGCAAAAAAAAAAAAAAAAAAAGAGAAAGATGATAAATAAGATTTGTGTAGGCTTAAACTTAAGATGTCGGATGCTATTTAATGACACACAAATTTACTTGCATGAAGACAACTGTGTTTACATTTTTGGGGGTTTGTCTTTAACGTTTGAAACTCTCCACTAACAACCCTCTAGTGATGCTTTTTGACAAAATCTCTTTTTTTAGCACATTTGTCAAGGTTTAGTATCTTTTATGGGTTCTTGTTTCTTAATATACATTTCTTTTTTCATGTCCGTTTATCTTTATTTGCCAATTGCCATGGGGTTACCATATTCTTACCATAAATAAAGAGGCGTAGTTTTCGAATGATGACGCGTTCACGGTTTTTTTTTCTTCTAAAAATGTCATTTGTGAAATAGTTAATGCCTTTGGTACGTTTTGAGATGAGTCGTTTAATCACCCATGCGATCATATTCTTTATCATGTTTAAAAAATTTCCAAACAGATAAACATAATGATGGGAAATAATCTATAGGAAAAAAGTCATTTTGATCATTCAAAATAAAAAAAAGCTGTATCTACTAGTTTCGTGCCTTAGGGCCGGAGAATTAAATATTTTTTTTGGGCCAATTTTTCAGAGTTGAAGTTAGTCCAAGTGGTTTGTGAATATGTAAAAACATGTTTGGTTAAAGATTTACCTGGGTTTGACTCTTCCCAAACGTGTATATGTACATTTATACCTTTTAGTTTTTTCGAATTGTTGTCCTCTTTGTTTCTTGTTTCAATTCATTTCATATGTTTTGTTTCCCTTTTTTTTTGACAAATATTTGAGATCCAAGAAACTTTTTAAAATGTTTTCATCATATGCGGATCCAACAATCTTTGTGTAATCAGTATTTTACCATTAGGACTTTCACGGTGAAATGGAATCGGTTGATGCTAACTTGCACGTATTTAGCTATTTTCACTCACAATATTTACCATTTTTTTTCCCACACCTATTCGTCAATTTAGAAAATCCTAGGACTAGTACAATTTCTTTAAAAGTATAGAAAAAGAAATTGCGAAACGACTCATATTGATGTACCATTAGCGTAAACTAATCAAAGTGGTCTACCTACTTAAACAAAGATAATGCGAATTCTGTAAAGTTATTATCTTCTTTCCATCTTTGTAATTCGATGTAAAACTGCGAATCATATAAGAAGAAAAGAATGCCGATAGTAAACACAAACTACTATAAAGTCAAAAGACATTATTTAATGCATTGATTCCGACCGAGATTAAGGAATAAACTAGACTTTCAAGGCTAACTAAAGCAGAAACCAAACACATTAAAATGAGATAATGATGCTTAACAGCTTTGAAAAAGTGTTTATCAAAATGTAATTAGCGTTACGGAGAGGCAATGTCTTGTTTCCAGAAACGGACAATGAGCCTCTTTTCTGCAAGTTTCGTCTGAACCAACCTGAACCCATTGAAGCTTTTATCCACCTCATGTTTAGGTACAATCTTCAATACATATTACACTCGTTTGATTTATAGCAAAAGAATCTCCAGATGATCAAATGACAGAACACAGAATGTTCTAAACAAAACATTATGATCTACTGAAAAATTGCATGTTATGTTCTTATATGTAAAGTTGGCCTTGTAAAAGTTACAAATAATGGCAATTATTGGACGACACAGGACTCGCATGAGTCAAATAGAGAGGAAAACAAAACTATATCTCATCGAACGTGTGGCGGTACTTCACGACTTCACGTGAAACGTTTTCCGATTTATTCTAAACAGAAATATCTAGATGCTTAAAATTTCGTCGAAATCAGAAAGTAATTTTATTTTTTGAAACATTAAATAGTGATTATTTATCTTTTCAGAAAAGGTTTAACAATAATATAGCAACGGATGGTCTTGGCGGACGACCAAAGTATTTTCATAGCGGAATAGGTGCTAAGCCAAGAGATTGATTTGGTAATAGAGGAAAAAAGTGGGTGATGTCTATTTTTTTAGTTTCATATTATTTTTAAAATAGCTATGTCATTTTTCCTATGTAGCTATATCATTTTTTCTAGTGTTAGTATAATAATTTATATATTAAAAATTTAAAAAATGTTTTCAGAATACATAAATTTTAAAGTACGAGAAGCATCACGTGGAGATGTCTTTGGAAAGTAAAGCCCAAATTTGAATTTCTATATATAAATAAATAAAAAGTCTCATTTGGATGTTATAAAAAAAAGGCTCATTTTTTCACAGGCACATGAGGTTTTTAGTATCCCCAAACGACAGCGTAAAAACCAAGAGCTTACGGTCGGTTTTCCACATTAGTTGGCCGGTGTTGGTTTAATCCTCTTTTCCGGTACTACTGTCACTCATACAAAAAATTCCATATTATTATTGAATAATAATGAAAGAAAGGTATGCATTCCAATTTCCAGATATATATATATATATATATGTTTTACGATCTAAACCTATTCTACCAATACTCTCGTTTAAAACATTCAGCGCTTAAATCTGGTTTACGATAAATAATCCAAACCAAAACCTCTCTGATGTTTTCGGTTTGGTACAAAAACCAATCCGGTCTACTTGGAAGTTGAAAACTGCTTGGAGTCTTTGACTAATCACGTTGCAACACCACTTTCTAGGCTACTACGGTTATTTTCATTAGATACGATTGTGTTTTGTGTATGCATATGTGTCATATAATCACATAAGATATAATATATAAATGTAGTATATCTATTGTACTAACTTTACAATCTGTCATTTAGAAGTATATATATATACGTACAAAAAAATTAAACCTAATCATAGGTTAACTACCTATGTACAAATTTTTAATCATATGGGTTTTCATGTTTTATTATTAAGTTGGTCGACATTTCTGTACATGGTCAGTCCGAAACTCGTAACAAAACACAAATTTGTGGGTGTGTAAAAGAAATTATACTATTTGCGCATATTAATAAATTATAGAATAAATCTATATTTACTATTACGGAAATAAAATTTCAACAGTGTTTATTACTAAAATAAACAAATAAGACAATATATATAATATGAAACACATGAGTTCCCAAAACCAAAGCTTTGAACAACATTGGACTTGGCACCTTTCGTTGTTTTGTATCTTTATTTAGACAATCCCCAAGCAAAAACAACATTCAAATCGGTTAAACGCATTTGCCCCCTTGTTTTCTTTATTACTGTTTGTAAACTACCATGTAAATTTTATAAGTAAAAGAAAGATAGGAAAGGTTATTGGAATACTAGCTTTGACCTTGAGCTCTTTTTCTTATTCTTGGACTTTTTGTCTCTCTTTATAGTCTCCCCTCTCTTCTCCCTCATATACATAATTCTCCTCTTTATCTTGTTCACCCACAGAAAAACACACACACGCGGACAGCTATACAAAGGAAAGAAAAAAAGGAACAAGAAATGGTGGCCATGAATATGAGGGTTTTTTGCTATCTTCTAATATTTTTCATCTTGCAATTATATGCTAAAGTCTCCAACGCAAACTTAAATAGACAAGGTATATATGTATGGGCATTTGTCATATGAGTACCTTGATTATTTGAAAGTATAATTGATTTAAGGTTTATAATTACGCTCATCAAAATAAATTTCTCTATAGCTCCACTGACGGCAAATAATGGTGGTCTTGGAGCAAGCACTAGTACTCCAATTGACAACAAGGTACGTAGTATAGTAAACGATTCTCAATCCATAACTTTCTTTTCTAAGAAATAGAAATTAGACATCGAGCTTTAAGATATAAGTTCCATTCGATATTGATTAAATATATATATGTATTATTAGGCTATTGATAATGTAAGCGAAAACCGAAAGACGTTGAAGCATGGAACTGTGAACGTTGAGGGAAATGAAAAGAATGGTTTAGAGATAGAGAGCAAAGAAACAGTGAGGAAAGAAAAGAACATGACGAGACTCACCAAAACGGTGAGTTTAACGGCTGATTATAGTGCCCCTGGTCATCATCCTCCTAGGCATAATTAATTGGAATGCTTATCATATATACTTTTTATTTTCTGTTACATGAAATACGAGCCTCTCTTTCGCAAAGAGGCTTCAATTTTGGTGATCACTACTCCGACTGATATTAAAAAACATATTATACATGTATTTACTATACAGATCATGGTAGGGCCGGTAGTCGTAGCATGAAATTTTTTTCCAGGTAGTAGTTTTGTATGTATTCAAGAGAGACGTTTTTGGTTATTGATGTCAATGCATACATGTTCCTTTAACGTTTATCGAAAAAGAAAAAAAAATATATTCAAGGAATTTCCCAATTCCCTTGAACGAGAGAGCAGAACGGGTCAAGTAGATTTCAGTCCCTTTCTTGTCGCCAATGCTCGAACTGGGAAAAAGAATACAGTTGTTCAAAAAGCCATATTCTTTTGTTGTTAAAAAATGTATAAATAAACTGTGAAAGTAATTTTTTAAAAAATAATAACGGCTATCTTGGCGGTCGAAAGTAATTAATACCGCGCCTGGATTAAAAGAACCAAGTTCCATAAAGTAACTACTTTGCACTACTCTATTCATCCATGAGGAAACAAGTTGGCAACTAAAATGGAAATTAAGATAATACATTGACACAATTGTTACTATGTACTAATGATCATGAATTCTGCCAACACAACACTACATGAAGCATATACTCAGTTACTAAAGTGTCGAAAACTAATGCATGTGCGCTCATCTGTTAGAAAGGGATAGAGAAGACAAGAAACTCGCTGACATAACTATTTCTTCATATATAGACAAATCATGTAGATTAGGTTACTTTTGTTTTAGAATTTTGGCGATGATAACTCGGAACAGGCGGTGAAGAAGAGTAGAGTCCGATATTGATCCATACGAACAAGAGGTTAGCATTTGTCTTCTAATTCTTTTTCTGGTTAAGATTAGGATTTAGATTAGCTTCGTTTTTTTAAAAAGTCTTGGTGCAATCGATAATAGAGTTTGGATCTTTTACTTTGGTTATATGCTTGATTTGTTTGGAACATCTTTCAAGATGAAGAACATGAAGATGTAGTTGTTGAAAATAAGGAATCAGATGCTGAGGTAAAACAAACAAGAATATGAAGAACCAAAGACTAGTTTAGGAGTTAAAATTTAATTTATTCTGAAAATTTTCAGGACGCAGCAGTTGAACAAGAATAAGAAGAATTAGTTAAAAATTAATTTGTTCAGAGGAACAGAAGGTTGATGAAAATGTAGCTGAAGCAATCCAAGATGAAGTAGTTGTTGTTAACAGTGATAAAAATGCATTTGTTGCCGTATTTGAAGATGAAGAAATCTCGAGGTACACTACTTTTTCAAGAAGAAGCAAACGGTGACTATGTATTTTTATTTATTTATTTGTTATGAAAGTCTAAATTTAATAACTAACCATGTCTAAGTGTTAGTTGCAAAAAGTAAATAAAAATTCTAAAAAATTCTAAAAATTTATTTGTTTAGCTTGTTTGGAAAAGTGTGATGAACATTAAAATTGTTTTTGGTAACATCTATATTATATTAATCAAAATCATATAGGGTATATTTATATGGTCTTTTTAATAACAATGATGGAAATAAACATATCACGAAGATTTTGAATGCTTTGGCAGAGACGCAACCCACAACAACAGATAACTGGTCTACCAAAATTTTGTAGATGTCATGGGTTACTCCAGCCAGGCAAAAAGTGAGATGAAAAGCTGTGATGAACTTCTCAGTTTTTCTTTGTTCTTTTGTTTAAGTTCCATAAGATCATCCGACAGTAAACCTGAAGAAAATTGTCAAAGACAAGGCTACTGAACATCAAATATTTATATTCAAAATTTATGCACAATAATTTTTTGTTTTATTTTAAAAAGTGACTCTCATAATGTAAAAAAAATCAAATCAGTGATTTGGTAAACTGTTTTTTTTTATCCTAGTCAGTGTGAGATCTAAGTAAGATTTTATACTTTTATATTGTTGTCAGACTTGTACCGCGTGTACATATATGCCTGGTCGACTAGATTATCATGTATGTTATGATTTAATTTAATTAATCAAAAAGTAAATATCTTAAGTACTCATGTGAAATAAAAAAACTCCTTGTCCAACCAAAAAAAAAAACACCTTATGCTACCCCACTTGATATCACTAATTTATACGACTGAAATTATGCACAACTCACCTACCTGTGCGAACATACACGTGCTGCTAAGAAATTATAAATTATAAAATGTAAAATGAACCATTTATATAGAAATAAACGTGTTATAAGAGTCTCATTCTCAAAATTTATCAAACGAAAAATCCTTATCATTCTATCTCTTCTATTTTTTAATTTTATTATAATTTTAATATGAAAGACTCATTGAAAAACTCATAACAAAAATGCTAGAACACAAAAGTGGCTAGACTAATACAGAATAATCATCTATATATGCATGATATGGGTTATTAAACCCTTTTAAATTTTAATTAATATAAACTGATTAATAAAAATGTTTACTGAAAAATCTCATTCTATTAGACTAATTACAAATATCCCAAGTCTGTATTAACTCTAAGAGCTTCTTGCCATCTTCACAGAGCTTAGCATATGTGATATGTCACCTACCTGGATGTGCATACCACGTGATTTGTATGTACTCTTTTACTAATTCTAACAGTTAAGATATGGATCATTTACATTTATAAAAGCATCACGTTCGTACTCCAATTTTTTTTACAAAATTATGATTACATTTTTTTTTGTTAAAGAGAAAAAGGGAGTTGATGATTTTCGAGCTCTCGTTAGTGGGTTAAAATTAATTATTGACCTTGTATTTATATATGGATTAAAAATTATTGTAATTATACTTATATTTTATAATTTATATAAATGTATAGAGTTGTATATTTAGTTATAAATGTTATGAAACTATATAAAAAAAGATATAATTATTTTGAGAAGATATTAAACATAAAATAAACAGTCGAATTGCAAGTTTGAGTACTCATCGTATCCCTTTACAAATTACAACAGAGTGTTAAATTTTTTAATCTGATTATCAAGCGCTAGAACGTTATATTTATAACACCTTATAACATTAGCCTTTTCTTTAACATCTATATCAACTAGCCTTTTTCAAAAAAAAAAACAAAAAACTCACGATAGTAAAAATGTATTTAACAAAACAAAAATGATAACAAAAACTTGGCAAGTTTAAGCCATCTTTCCATTAAATAAAGTAATAGTTCTAATCATATATGAAAGAGTTTAAAATTCCATAAAAAGATTTTCTACCTATAAATATACATATATTTTATTGTACATGTTCTCCATCTCATCGCAAAACAATTCCCTCACTATCTCATTTCTGTCCTTCTTCTCTCGTACGTACTCCATCGTTATGGCTTCATCACTTCTGACATCTCCCGGAATGATCCCAACCACCGGATCCGCCGTCGTTCTCCGGTCAGTGTTACCTTTTGGATTTTCCTTGCCCTCTCTCCGCCTGACTCGTCCGTACAACAAGTCATCCTTGTTTATCTCATGTTGCTCCCCTGTGTCCGAAAAGCCGGCGACTAGTGCTATTGACCTCAAACCCGTCGTGGAACGGTGGCCGGAGTACATACCGCATAAGCTTCCGGATAAGAACTATGTGCGTGTATTCGACACGACGCTCCGTGACGGCGAACAAGCTCCCGGTGGTGCCCTTACTCCACCGCAGAAGCTAGAGATTGCCCGACAGCTCGCTAAACTCCGAGTAGACGTCATGGAAGTTGGTTTCCCAGGATCCTCTGAGGAAGAGTTCGAAACCGTCAGGACCATCGCCAAGACCGTGGGGAACGAGGTTTTTTCTCTATTTCCTTCGTTTTATAGTTAACCTTTCTGTTTAGTTTTGGGAAATTCGATAAAATTAGAACGAATATTAATATGGTTATTGTGGAAAGAATACGTACACACAAATGGAGAATTTGTCCAAACGTTTTACCATTAATGGACTATATAGATAGTTAATGATGTAACCAACTATCTTGTGTTTTGGTAAGGTGGATGAGGAAACAGGTTACGTTCCAGTGATATGTGCCATCGCAAGAAGCAAAGAAAGAGACATCGAGGCGGCTTGGGAGGCTGTGAAGTACGCGAAGAGGCCGAAGATACTCATATTCACATCTACTAGTGACATACACATGAAATATAAGTTGAAAAAGACTAAAGAAGAAGTCATCGAGATGGCCGCGAGTAGTATTAGGTTTGCTAAGAGCTTAGGCTTCATTGACGTCCAACTTGGTTGCGAAGATGGCGGCAGGTCCAAATCTTTAAACCCTAATATATCTCGGTTGTTTGATTGCGCCCGTATAGGGTTTTATAATTGGCGAGAATATTTTATATAAGAACGACTGAAAAAAGAATTTTAAATGTAATGTTTTCAACCAACTTATGGACTTTGTGACCTTTAGACATTTTTTCGAACATTTCTATAGTGTTTGATGATATAAAATTAAGCAGGTCGGAGAAGGAGTTTCTATGCAAGATTCTAGGAGAAGCGATCAAAGCGGGTGCAACCGCGGTGAACGTGGCGGATACGGTAGGGATCAACATGCCGGAAGAATACGGAGAACTTGTGAGATACCTCAAAGCAAACACTCCTGGGATTGATGATATTCTCTTCAGCGTTCATTGTCACAACGACCTTGGTGTTGCTACCGCCAATACAATCGCCGTACTTTTTTTTGAACTCTCCCTTTTTTCATTTGTTTACTTATATCTATTCAAAATACATACAGAACACTGAGTATACATAATCTATATATAGGGTGTATGTGCGGGAGCACGACAAGTAGAAGTAACGGTCAATGGAATAGGTGAAAGAAGTGGAAATGCACCGCTTGAAGAGGTAATATCTGATAAGAATTCCACATGAAAAAGGAACATAAAATATTTTATAAAGGATATGAATTAATATTTTAGTTTTTTTTTTTACTGCCAATTAGTTTAGAACTAAAAAAATCATGATATATAACATAATCGTAGTTATTACCAACATGGATATTTATTTGGTATGTAGGTCGTGATGGCATTGAAATGTCGAGGAGCATATGTGATGGATGGTGTTTACACAAGAATAGACACGCGCCAAATTATGGCTACTAGCAAGATGGTAAAACAAATTAGCGAAAAGATCATGCTAGTTTTTCAGTTTTTTTTTTAGTTTTTTAATAATTGACTAATAGATGTAAATTCTTGAGCAGGTCCAAGAATATACAGGCTTGTATGTTCAGCCACATAAGCCTATAGTTGGAGCCAACTGTTTTGTTCATGAGAGCGGCGTTCACCAGGTTCCATATATTTATATCTAAATATGACATACAAAAATAAATATGAGAATGATTTGTATTTAATGATGATTGTTCAAACATTTTGCAGGATGGAATATTGAAAAACCGGAGTACATATGAGATTTTATCACCAGAAGATGTTGGGGTTGTAAAATCTCAAAATTCCGGCATTGTTCTTGGAAAGCTTAGGTAAATTATTCCATTAAGTGATGATTTTCGATAGTTGAAACTACGGATCACAATTTTATTTTGTCTTATTTGTTTCTTTTTTTACATCGTCATATTTATTTATTTATTTGAACAACATTGGAATATGCAGTGGACGCCATGCTGTGAAAGATCGGTTAAAAGAGGTATTTCATTATAGTTTCGTAATTTCTTTAATCGCTAGTAAAACATTGATCATATATATATACCAACAGATTACACTTTTTTAGAGAATGATTTGGCATTCGATATACTTACGTGTTTATTCTCAGTTGGGATATGAGCTCGATGATGAGAAATTGAACGACATCTTCTCACGATTCAGGGATTTAACAAAGCAGAAAAAGGTTTTTTCCCATTGTCCATCTTCTCGTTCACACATGTGTTTGATATATGATAGAAGAATGTAAAAATACGAATTGATTATAAAATCTCACACTTGAATGGTTTCAAAATTTGTTAATTTGTTCCAGAGAATCACGGATGCTGATCTCAAGGCATTAGTAACTTGTGGTGATGAAATCTCGTCAGAGATATTAAACGGCGCCAACGGTAAAGAGACTAGCGGCTATGTACCCGTCCCTCAGATTTCCTCTGTGGTTTAAATGAGTGAACAAGTTTAATGTTTGTGCACCAATGTAATATCAAGTACCATTTGATATACATTTGTTGTTGTAATGAATAAAAATACCATTACGATGAAGTGTTTCCATGTATAAAAAAGTATAAAAAGTGTTTGACAATTGGAATTAGTTAGTCTGATCGGTGATTTTTTCAGTGGGTTGATATATAGTATATGAAATATATAAATTTGAAAAATTAACAAAATAAATTTGAATAAAATTTTAGTAATAGTTTGAATACTTTATTATAATTTTTTATAGGAATTTTACTTTAAAATATCTCTTAAATTGTTTAAATACCAGTATTAATAAAAAATAAATTCATGACGTTAATTTAACATGAATTTTGTCGTCCAAAATATATTCTCTTTAGTTATCTAAAAAATACGAAAATATTATAAACATATATGTAAATCCTAAATGATAAACGACAAATTTTAGTTTATGTTCCACATTGTTCCTTTTTAATTTCGGAGAGGAACAGTGTATGTATAATGCTGGGGGACAATTTGCTTATGAATGATAAAAAAATTGATAAACAAAGCATTCCTCCCTAATTTTTTTTTTTTTTAAATTGTCTCCAATTGAAGCTGAAATCATTATTACCAATTGTTTATAATCAACATCTTCGTTTCTACCATCAATTGCTGTCGCCAAACGACTGTTAGCAATTTAAACGATTGTCTTTGTACCAATAAAAGGCTAAAAGCTATAGTAACATATATATAAAAAAAACTTATTTAGTTACTTGCACTTTTTCATTTCTCATCATGTATTAAATAAAAATAATGAATTTCAAGAAAACAGAATTAAGCAAGTAAAGTCAACCAATCAGAGTTGCAAATAACCACGTGCTCTTGATGGTGAGGAACTTATCCGATCAGAGTAGTGGACAACGAGGCTGGTTACTATAGAGTATATATTTAACTAATTACAAATATCTCAATTAAGTCTGTGTTTAATTAATTAATTAAGACCTACTATATGTAAAATAAGACAAATTACATATATCCCAATTAAGTCTGTGTTTAATTAATTAATTAAGACCTAGCTAGTAGCTACTATATATATAAGACAAATTATTACAAATATCCCAATTGAGTCTTTGTTAATTTACTCTAATTAATCAAGAGCTCGCTTCGTCACAGAGATTAGCATATGTGATTATATCACCTACGGTAGGTGACCAACCTGGAGATGCACACCACGTGGTATGTATGTCATCTCTTACTGATCATTACTAACAATTCAGATATCGATTATTATTATTATTTTAATACAACTATCTTCTTTTGTACTCCCAGTTGTTTTTGAACAATTATTATAATAACGAGTTATATATCATTGTGCTTGTGCTTATAAATGAATTAAAATCTGTTGTGATTAAACTTACGTTTTTGTTTTTTAGCTTAAACTTATATAATTACCACACTAATCTAGATCCTCCAAATCAAAATAAAAATAAAAAACCACTCTCCTTCTGACATATTCCGGTATGATCCTCACCATAGGTTCCAATGTGGTCGTACAGTCAGTCTCACCATTTGGATCTTCCTTGCCCTCTCCCCGCTTGACCCGTCCGTACAAAAACCCGTCCATGTTCACCTTATGTTGCTCCTCTGTGTCCAAAAAGGTTGGGGCTGGTGCTATTGACCCCAAACCGGTCGTGGACCGGTGGCCGGAGTACATTCCGAACAAACTCCCCGACAAGAACTATGTGCGTATATTAGACACGACGCTCCGTGACGGCGAACAGGCTCCCGGTGCAGCCCTTACTCCACCGCAGAAGTTAGAGATTGCTCGGCAGCTCGCTAAACTCCGAGTAGACATCATGGAAGTTGGTTTCCCAGGATCCTCTCAAGAAGAGTTTGAAACCGTCAAAACTATCGCCAAGACCGTAGGAAACGAGGTTGTTTCCCTATTTCCTTCATCTTATAGTATACATTTTTTTTTTCAATGTTCAAAGTTAAAAAACCTTGTCGTTTGGGGGACATCTATAGAACTATTAACATAGTTTTGACGCAAAGAATACAAGCACATAACCCTTGTTTCAAACTATATACATATCAAACACAAATGGGAGTATTTCTAGTTAGCCAAAGAAAAAAAAAATGAAGTATTTTGTTGCAAATTGTACCATGTTAATATTTAATGATGTATTGTTGTTTTTTTCTTAGGTGGATGAGGAAACAGGTTACGTCCCAGTAATTTGCGCCCTCGCACGATGCAAACATAAAGACATAGAGGCGGTCTGGGAGGCGGTGAAGTACGCGAAGAGGCCTTCGATACTCATATTCATATCTACTAGTGACATTCACATCAAATATAAGTTGAAAAAGACTAAAGAAGAAGTCATCGAGATGGCTGCTAGTAGTATTAGGTTTGCTAGGAGCTTAGGCTTCAATGACATCCAAATTGGTTGCGAAGATGCCGGCAGGTCCATATCTTACCCCAAAACCTTTCTATATCTCCTCGATTGTTTTTCTTGCGTCCGTTTGGTCACGTCACACAATATATTTGTCAGTAATGACATGTTTGACTTTACGTTTGTATTTTTGTTTGACGAGAATCTCTATTACTTTTTATTTTTTTTTGACGTCCTCTAAAAAAGGTGTCACTTTCATGTTAATGTTAGTCAATTACAGATATATCTTTAATGAATAAAGTAGACTTTGGCTATATTTAAAAAAAAAAAAATTAAATATCTAAGATTTATACTTTGTCTTACAGCAATCTCAGATTATACATGTAAATAAAAACACAAATTTATCAAACAGTTATGTGATAATCTATAGCGTTTTTTTAGCTGTTGTTGGATAATGTTAAGGATTATTGTGACTAATGACCTCTCCATATTCTCATCATGTCATATATAGATTCTTATACTACTAGTGTGTGATTAAAACTAAGCAGGTCGGACAAGGATTTTCTATGCAAGATTCTAGAAGAAGCGATAAAAGCGGGTGCAACCACGATGAACATTGCGGACACGGTAGGGATCAAAATGCCGGAAGAAATCGGAGAGCTTGTGAGGTACCTCAAAACAAACACTCCTGGAATCGATGATGTTGTCTTCAGCGTTCATTGTCACAACGATCTTGGTGTTGCCACTGCCAACGCAATTGCGGTACCTTTTTTTTTTTTTTTAACTCTCCTTTATTTCGTTTATTTACAAATATCTATTGAATATACAAATAGAACAATGAATTTACATGATCTATATAGGGTGTATGTGCGGGAGCAAGACAAGTTGACGTAACGGTCAACGGAATAGGCGAAAGAAGTGGAAATGCGCCACTTGAAGAGGTAAGATCATGATCATCATCACCAAGGCCCCCTTAAACTATTTGTAAGTATTGGAGTTGGTTTAGTTGAATTAGTTTCCTTTAGTTGGTTTACAACATTTTTACAGCTGAGAAAGAGTAAATCGATCTTAACCAATCTGTATAACTAATTTAGTGTTGAACCAGCTAAAGGAAACTAGTTCAACAAAACCAACTCCAATAGTAAGTAGGCCTAATAGTAAGACATGTATAATCATCAATTCATCATCAATTCATCATCAAAATGAGTATTTCTTTGTTATGTGTAGGTCGTGATGGCTTTGAAATGTCGAGGAGCATACGTGATGGATGGCGTTTACACAAGAATAGACACACGCCAAATTATGGCTACCAGCAAGATGGTAACTTTTTATGTATACATATGGAGAAACGATCATGCTAGATTTTTTTTTGGTTGGCCTTTATAATAATTGACTATAATAGATGTAAATTCTTGAGCAGGTCCAAGAATATACAGGCTTGTATGTTCAGCCACATAAGCCTATAGTTGGAGCCAACTGTTTTGTTCATGAGAGCGGTGTTCACCAGGTTCCATATATTTAAATAATCTAAGTATGATATAAGATAGTTAAATAAGAGCTAGATTTGGTTAATATGATGATTATTGTTGAAACATTTATGCAGGATGGAATATTGAAAAACCGGAGTACATATGAGATCTTATCACCAGAAGATATTGGGGTTGTCAAATCTCAAAATTCCGGAATTGTTCTTGGAAAGCTTAGGTAATTTGTCCGTTAAATGATATTTTCTTGGTTTTAATTAAAATTACGTACGAACTTGAACCATTATTAACTTCATTTGAAAAATATGGAAAAATGTAGTGGACGACATGCGGTGAAAGATCGGCTGAAAGAGGTAACCTTTGTGATTTAGTAATTTCTTTATTCTTTTCGTTATACAATGATCATACATGCATGTATTATCAAATAAGAGATCAATTTTCTATTAATATTCTATTCATCTTTTGGGTTAAATTTGTTTATTTTATTTACCATTCTCAGTTGGGATATGAAATCGACGATGAAAAATTGAACGACATCTTCTCACAGTACAGGGATTTAACCAAGACGAAAAAGGTTTTTTTCTTCCATTTTCTATTTTGTTTATAATGATAAAAGGGCCCTATTTTGTATATTCTCGTGCACATATATATGCGTTGTGATTTAACTTAGATATATTTCATTATTATATGATAGAAGAATACAAAATATATAATAATCAAATTGATTATAAAATGTCACGCTTAATTGGTTTCATTTTTGTTCAGAGAATCACGGATGCTGATCTCAAGACATTAGTAACCTGTGGTGATGAAATCTCGTCAGAGAAATTAAACGGCGCTAGCGGTAAAGAGACTAACGGCTATGTACCAGTACCACTCCCTCAGATTTCCTCATAAGTCACCAACTTGGAAAGATCAGAGCTATTTTTGTTCTACTTTTAGAAAGTCAGAATTATGGCAAAGTTCTGTGTTCATCTTTATTTTTTATTTTTAATTAATTTGCTTTGTTTTCATCTTAGGTTATTTATTACAACATTACAACATATCCGGCAGATTTAGCAATTCAGATTCGCATGATTACCCGTATAATACAATTTGTATGTGATGCAGAAAATAAGCTGTTTGTATTGATATATACAAGTATATATTTGAATAAACTCATAGTTGATAAAATATGATATACAAAATGTACTGTTTTGAAAAAAAAAAGGAATAACATTACAATTTTCTAAATAAATAATAATGTTAAAATTTAAGAATTAAGAAGCATGTTACACGTGCCACAGAAGTGCGTGGATCTAGACATATGGAGTCAACAGTAAATGAAGGCAAAGTCAAGGGGCTTAATTCAACACCGTCCAAAGCCTCTCACGTAAATAAACAAATTAGTTAGTGGGAAACCACGTCCGAACGTAGTGCGGTAGTGCCAATGTGGTTATCACGTAATTTTGCGAAGGTTAAGGGTTAAACATTTGCCACGTATCCCTTTATTTGGCATAAACTATAAAGTATAAACTAACCTTTCACACGTCACAATAACCGTTTTTGGGTACTTTTACGGCGTTTTAGAGTCCGTTACAACTCACACGTGCGGTCCTCCGCTAGCAGTTATTCGAGTCTCTATTAGAATTTCTTACATTTACTGTATTTTTATTTTTAAGATGTTGATTACTCAAATCCTTAATGAGCAGCAGGCAAAAAAAAAAACTTATAGATAAAAACATTTCATTTTTTTGTTTTACGCAAGAATGAGTCATTCAAAGATTTTCTGCTTTTCAATTAGTTTTTAGAAATATACAAAGTTTGATTTACGGATTATTTTATTACATGAATATTTACACATTTTCATACCTATATCTTAAATTAATAATAGCTAAAGTGTCGTAAGTTGAAACAAACAATCTTTTTATATATATCAGAAGTCGCTACAAGTTTAATAATAATCACATTTTATCACATTTTGGGTAAACAAGTTCAATAATTCCTTTTCTTCCTCGTATAGACACGTATTTAATGTATATCACACTCGAGACATTCGTTTTCTCCACAAACACACTTTTCTCTTCCCTTATTTCTCCGGCCAAAATAACCGCCGCTTAAACAATGCTCCGGCTAAGCAACGCAGCCGTAATAACAACGAACGCAATACTCGCATTGATCGGCCTCGCCACATTATGCTTCTCTGTCTACGTCTTCATTGAAGGGCCATCACAGTGTCAACGCTTCATTCAAAATCCTCTCATCGTAACAGCGACTCTCCTCTTCTTCATCTCCTCCTTAGGCCTCATCGCCGCTCTCTACAGTAGCCACGTCATCATCACGCTTTACCTCTTCTTCCTCTTCCTCTCTATTCTTGTCCTCCTCGTCCTCTCCATCTTCATCTTCCTCGTCACCAATCCTTTCGCCGGAAAAGCGTTTTCCGGCAAGGGAATAGGTAATGCCAAGACCGGTGATCTCCAGAACTGGATCGGGAACCATTTCCTTCAAGGCAAGAATTGGGAAGGGATCAAAAGATGCATGTCCGATTCTAGTATTTGTAGGTTTGGTCCACGTGACGTTGACTTTGACGCCAAACATCTCTCGTATGTAAAGGTATGTTTTGATCATGATACATTGCAGCCTTTTACCGACCAAAAAAATGTGTTAAAATTTGTCTATATAGTATATGCCATGGATCTTCTTCATCGCATTAATTATTCGAACTCTTTTAGTTAATGGAATTGGTGGAATTTTAACAATACTGAATTAAGTCAAGAGACTTGAAGTATTTTTCAGGCTATGGATATAAAAAATCTAAAAAAATGTTTTTCTATTTTATACAAATATAAATCTGTCATGGTGGATAACAAGAGACCTTTTTTTTTCTTTTGTGTTCAGTTCGGATGTTGTCGACCTCCCGTAGAATGTGGCTTCGAATCAAAGAATGCCACGTGGTGGACAGTTCCGGCAACGTCGACGGGAGCGATCAAAGGGGACTGTAAAACGTGGAGTAACACGCAGAGCCAATTGTGTTATGCGTGCGAGTCGTGCAAGATTGGAGTATTCAAAGGGATAAGAAAAAGATGGAGGATTCTCCTCGTCTTCAACCTCCTTCTTATCCTTCTCGTCGTTCTTCTTTACTCATGTGGCTGCTGTGTCAGAAACAACAATCGGGTTCCATGGAAGCGCCGCTTCTTCTAAAAACTTCTTCCATTATTATTAATTTATTATAATATTTTTTATTATCGAAATACTTACTTCATGTTTGATGTTTCTTGAACATGAATGTTGGTTTGCATTTCGGTTTGGCTATATTGATATATGAATGCATTGATGGAAAAAAATAGTAAGAGAGAAACCTTAAAGTTACCTTCAAAAATATATGATCTTGTGAATGCCTAATAGGCTAATACCAATACACATTACCGACGATTGACAAATTCCACTATTTTTTTTTTTCCGAAGCCGAGAGATTCTGTTCAAGTCTTTGGGAAAAATAACAAAAAAAAAGTGTCTGAAAAAAACAGAGGACTTATTTGAGGAAAGTACAAGAAAGAAACAAAAAAGCATAAGCAACCAGTGATGTTAAGAGCTCGAGCGTCCATGTCGGGTGAATGAGAAACGTCGGGATCATGGGAATGATTAGCGAACCACAGAACCACCCGGCCGTTAAAGCACCAATTCTGCAATCATAATATAATCACCAAACCAATCATTAAAAGTTGATCTTTAAGTTTTTCGTTTCAAATAATTCAATAGCACCAAGATTTTACCCGATTAAGCAAGCTCTCCCCAAGCTCTTTGTCTTCTCATTCAGGAAATATATGCAAGCAGCCAATGATACCGCCACCTACAACCAAAATTTTCAGAAACCATATATGTGGACAGAATAAGAAGAGAAACTCGTCGATTTTATCTATGGATCGACTAGATAATCCTATGCTAAGATGTCCAGTGTATATTAGCTGATCATATTCTATATTCGATTCTCTCTAAAAGATTTTGTAAGGTCATTGGAAAACCTGAAACGCAGGACCGCCTTCTGCTGAGTTCATGATACTCCAACCACCCATGAAAGCAAAGAGGAACAGTCTTCTGAAAATAGTGTCCATAGGAGGCATTTCAACAAAATCGAGAAGGGTTTTGAGCCACGGAGGAGATTCCTCAACTTTCTTCTTCAACCTTGTTTTCAAATTGATCTTAGTCTTCTTCCTTTTGATAAAACTAGACATTAGAAGCTTCTCAAAGGCGGCTTCTATAGATTCTTCGCTTCTCTCATGTCCAGCATACTGCTCTAATAGAAAGTTACGGGACGCCCAGATTTCTTCCTCAGAAGCATATGGACTAATTCCTAGACGTTTATACGGGTCCCAAACTCTGGTCCGGGGAAACGTTGGGACGTTGCCTACATAAATTCATTCGATTATGTGACAAAGTTGAGAAAGAGTATATATATAGATAACAGTTTCTAATCACCTAGACTGTTACCATACATCTCTGAAAAAAATGAGCCTTATTTATGTGAGCCAGTGATATGAACAGTAAAGTGAGACACATTCACAAAGATGATGAAAACAAAGGTAAACACTAGCCACCATCTCCCTATGCTTCTTCTTTGAGAGAAAATGTTCTTAAATAATCCTTACATACTCCAAATATTCATTCAAATTATTCCAACAAGATATGAAAATTTGGATAAATACGTCTGTTTCCTAATCGAAACTGACTAAATTGAGAATGGGTTTTACAAGTTGAGCGAGAAGAAGATAATACCTCCATAAGGAGAATCAACGGCGCACCTAAGGCTTTTGAAGCTTCTCGAAACATTCCGAAATGGTAACAGTGACTTATTGGGCTTCCGTACGAGAGAACTGCAATCAGAAACAACAACACGATACAGAAGCTCTTAAGACTCAATTCCTGAACATACAAGCAAACCCTAAAATTCCAAATAAGTTTACGGGTTAAACCCGAGTTCCGCCTACGACTAGGGCAAATACGCAAAGAAAATCCCAAATTGATTGTCACGAGCAAATTCAAAATCCCTAAGAAAGAAGGCGAAATGAAGGAAGACGAAGGGAAAGAGATATTACAGCTTCGATGGAGCGATAAACGAAGAAGGTACTATAGAACCAGAGAGAAGAAGAGACGACGACATGGTTGCTCCGTCGGACTAACCGACGCCGTTTGGTTCAGTTTAGCGTTCTCTCCCCTGAAGATGAACTCTGGCTACGTTTTTGCGCTATATACCCGAACTTAATTAATGAAGAAAGAAAAAAAAAAGACGAAAGATAAGCGTATCATGTTTGCTATCTTGCGCTGTTCACCTAGATTACAGAATCATCCCCTCGTTTTACATACTTTACGCTCAAGTCCATGTATTTAATCATATCTTCGAATATCACCCCTGATTCCTAAATAGGAAACTTGAATTTCTGTGACCAATAGCGTGTAGTGCTATCTTGTGCCGCTTCGCATTTTACGTTCATGTCCATATACTTAGTAATATCTTCGAGTATCACCCCTAATTACCAAATAAGAAATATGAAACCTCGTGATTGGTCACAGAAGTTCGATTCCACAGGCTACACAACATCTTTATTTATTTATTTACGTGAACTGAGAATTATTTATTGATACAGAGATGGATGTGGATTGTACAACAAAAGACCAAATGTTCTTGTGTGAATGACAAACAACATTTGGTGTTGGAGAGCAATTGTCTCATAGCTTCGAGTTTAGACCGTTCTGAGAAAGCCGTTGCCTTAGAACTCTTCTCATAACCTTATTTGTAGCCGTCCTCGGTAAAGAAGGCAGAGTTACAACAGATGATACCTGCAGAGGAAACACAAATAACATAGCTAGCTTGCTCTTAAAACACACTAGTTCGTATGAGCTTTTTCTTGTGTTGTGTTGTGTTTTGGTTATACCTTGAACAATGGATTAAGTTTCTTTTGTATCTCAGAGTTGAAGGACTTTTTCAAGAGGCTCAAGTCGTGATTCGGTAACTCTGGGCTCTTGAACACAACAGCGATTACTAGCTGCTCAGGACCGCCACTGGGAGGTGGAACACCGATGGCTGCTGTCTCCAGAACACTGTCATCAACGGAGTTACAGACTCGTTCGATCTCAATAGAACCAACCTGCAAAAAAAATCAACAGAAAATATGACGATTATGGTCATTAATGGGGATGATGTTTCAATATTACATAAGAATCTGTACATTAGTTAAGGCTACCTTTATGCCACCAAGATTCATTGTGTCATCAGCACGTCCATGAGCACGGTAGTATCCTTTTGAAGTCCGTTCAAATAAATCCCCGTGTCTTCTTAAAATCTGTCAAAAGGCATCCAAGCCACACAGACTCAAAACAACCAATGAAAACCTCTGTACAGATGTGGCAAGAGTTGGATTACCTGTCCTTGGAAGGTGGGCATTCCTTTGAAGTAAACTTTGTAGTGATTTCCGTTCAGGAGAGTGCTAGAAGCTCCAAACATGTGAGGACATAGAGCCAATTCGCCTACTCCTGATGCGCTTGGAGGCTGGAATGAGTAAGAAAAACAAACGACCACACTATAATTCAATCATTGATACCGTAAAACCTTTCAGAAGAAACACATCTATGATACCATATAGTTACTTACAAGAGGATTGCCATCTTCACCGAGAATGAAAAGTTTGCAACCCATGGCAGCGGTGCTAAAAGCAGCCAGAGACTGAGGCTGAAGCAAAGAACCTGTGATAAAACTGCCTCCAATCTCAGTTCCGCCACAATACTCGATTACGGGTTTGTAATGAGCCCTCCCCATCAGCCATAGATACTCGTCTACATTCGAAGCTTCACCAGTGGAACCAAAGCAACTATGAAGAAGTAGCAAAAAATACATTACTAATACTTTTATACAAATCATCTTTAGTTTAAACGATAACAAAAGGTGTTCATTAAACACATATTTTCATAATATGAAGAAGCGACATTTGTCTAATCTAACATAAATAGATTAGTTTCTGAAAAAAATAGGTGGTGGCATGAAAACATTATAACTAAATTACATTCAGTTTCTCAAAACATCAAAGTTCCACGCCAACAAAAAACAGGCTTAACAAAATTCAGAGGATGAACTTTGGGTATTACCGGATTCGTGACCAATCATAGCCAGAAGTAGAGTTCGAGTTTTGCCATGTCCGAACAATGCTTGGTATCACGCCTAGCACTGTTACCTCGGCATCCTAACCCCAGCATATAAAGATGTAGTAAATTCAAGGCTGACCAAATCCAAGACTCAACCATGCAATGAAATAATTATTTCTTTAGATTTTCTCTGTTAAACCCCATGAGACAAGGATGCATAATTACAAGGGTTTACCTGCACAAACTTGGCAAAGGCAGGACCAAGAGGTGATCCATTGTATAATGCCATGCAAGCCCCATTTATTAAAGAAGCATAAACGAGCCACGGACCCATCATCCACCCAAGGTTGGTCGGCCACGCAATAACATCTTCTCGATGAACATCCAAGTGGCACCAGGCATCAGCAGCTGATTTCAGAGGAGAAATGTTGGTCCATGGAATAGCCTTTGGCTCACCTACACCAGAAAACCAAAACTTAGTGTTTCAACACCCATCACATCCTCATCTACATGCCATGATGCCGTTTGTTTGCATTGTTTTACCGGTGGTTCCTGATGAAAAAAGGATGTTCGCGTAAGCTCCCGCTGGTTTCTCTACAGCAATATATTCCACGCCTCTGAAATAACAGTTACCATATGTATGTGTGTGTATGTCCATATATAGCATAGATATATATCATTCAAATGCCCCGAGATTTGGAATAGCAAGCTCTACGTGTTTTATAAAATTTCCATCTAAATACATTTCAAGACTGTTTAACACAACTGAAAAATTAGAATAGACGTTTTGATTCAAAAACTTCAGTTGTCACATTAGAGTTAGACCATGATCATGATGTATGGATTCGGATGGCTGTTATTTTCAGTGTTCCAAACACTTCTTGTAATTTTAACCATTGCAGTAATGTGATGCAGTTGTTTTCAATTTCTAATCGGAGTACTGTATACACTGACTGTACCTCAAATTTCTTGCCTTCCCCAGAAAGTCGTTCCAAGACAAATCATTCTCGCGCAGGTTCATTCTGATGCTAGAGCCTCTCGCTGGGATAACAATTGCCATCGGTGCTTCAGCATCAACCACTCTTCTGCAGAATGGAATAGATAATGTGAGACCAATGCTACAGCTGCCATGAAAAAATCAACCTTGATAAATTACAAGAATTTCACCTATAGAGCGGAATACTTTTATCACCACGAAAGATCACATCCTGGAAACAAGAAAACGAAACGAAATGAATAATTAGGCAACTGAAGGGGGAAAAAGGGATATAAGTCATTTGATATACTGGTTTTTTTATACAGTAACCATTACAATAAATTCAACAAAAGTGACTTTGAACTACGCCCAAAAAAATCCACAAATCAGCTCAGAACCGTTCAGAATTTGGCCACAACTTGAACTATATTTCAAGGCAAAAGCCGTCAGTTCACCACAAAAAAACCGTCACATCACACCTAAAATAAGTTAAGCGCAAAGTTTAAACCTTCATTTTCCATCCACCAAAAAATCACGAGAAATTTACCTGAGTAAATATGGCTTTTGCTTTTGAAATTTTAAGCCGTGTTGATATTTCACGGGGAGAGAAACTGTCAGCTATCGAAACAACAATGTGGCCTGCTAAGACAATGGCAAGGTATATGACCACAGACTCAACGTTCATTGGCATATCAACCGCGATTGCTGACTCTTCCTCCAAATCCAAGGCGCTAAGAGCATGTGCAGCTAACCTACACATGAAATAACAATACTTTGCTTGGTTTTGATATGAAACACAACAACACTTAGAAAAATGATACCAGCAAAGGAATAACCTCATTAGCGTTCTTCACCAAAAAGAAACTATATCAAAAAAAAGTTTTAATTTTCTAAAAAAGGCCAAAAGGATAAGAATTCATACCAGACCTGAGCTCGTAACTCCAGAAGTGTCATGGTGTTCACAGGAAGATCATCGCTTCCTTCGTCACGCCATCGGATCACAATGTCGTCGGATCTTCTCTTGAAACCATTGGTCAAACAATTTCTTGCAGGATTCAGGTATGCTCCAGGAAGCCAATTACCTCCAGGATTATCTCCAGATGTATCCTTTTCTAGAATGCACTTTGGAGGTATCGAAAACAATACGTTTAACTCATCCAGAACTGTTCTCCAATACACCTAACAAAAGAAACAATAGGAGAATAGAATCACAAACAAAAAATCAAAAAAAAAAAAAAAATTCCAATGTTATTACCTCAGGATTTGAGACGGAGAATTTCTGAAAACTCGAGAAACTCGAAATCGGATTCTTGTAATTATCACCTAAGAACTCTTTGCCACGCCTTTCTAGCAACTTGCCAACGTTAGTTAAAGAAGCAACCTTCCTAAGTACATACAAAGAAACAGCAACGATTAACACAAGCAATATATAAACATTCCAAAAATAGTCAAAAGAAAGAATCAAACGGAGAAGATCACACACGGGTCGGGTATCCAAGCGGGCGGGTCGGGTCCGAAATCCTTGTAGCAACCATAATACATCATCTGGTGAAAAGAGAAAGGGAGGTTAGGGTGAAGGATCCGCCGAGAAATCTGAGTCCAGGTCTCCGGAGACGTGGCAGAGCCGTAATTACGGATAATCTCTCCGAGATCTCTGAGAAGCTTCTCCGCGACATCACCGGAAATCCCTAGAGCTTCGATATCAGAAATCGTGATGGAATCTAGGGATTTGTACGCCATTGTTGTCTATAGAAACCAAACAAGAGAATGAATTTGAAGAGAGTGGACAAGTAAAGTGGGAAACTTCTCCACGTAATATAAAGAGAGCTCGTGATTGCCACGTGTCAATCTATTCCTGATATCTGACAATCTTTCCACGTCTGATTATCATCTTCTCGTTTGGGAGTTACTTTTTTAATGATTTTTTATGTATCTTGGTGTTGGTTTCAGTCTATGTACATTCTATAGTTGCATTATATAGTTGCATTATATGACACTTTTTTTTTATCCCTTTCCACTTTTGATCGTCTTATATATTAGATATTACCTTTTATGATGATGGTTATGTATCAATGTATTGATTTCCGTCTAAATTCAGTTTCAAACTTTGTACTTAATGAATCAGTAGAGTGTAAGATGTTTAAAGATTATCAGACAGACACAGACCTACATACAAGATGGTCCAAATATGATCAGCTTTGCATCTATGTGAAATTACAACTTATAATCTGAATTTTCAGCTTTATCCCAAAATTATTCCTACCTAACCTACCTACCAACCAACTATAGGCCAAACCATCCCGGTTTATTTGATCACATTTTTTTGTTCTCGAATTTTTCAGACTTGCTTTAGATTGATCTTCAGGTTTCAAAGGCTCTAGCTAGCTATTACTTTAGTTCGATTTCATCTTCGTTGGGTTCACTTCCAAATCATCAATGTGAAAGAGAAATAATAATTCGGAAAATCATATCAAAAGATCTCTCAGAATTGAGAGATAAAAAGGAATAGAAAAGCAACACTTTTTTTAGCTATAATATTGTTATATGATGATCCTCTTGCATCAGTCGGAGCCAGGAAGGAACTTGGTCCCGGATCTGGTACCGAAGCTTCTAGAAGCTGCCGGGATAATCCGAGATGGAGACAAGACCTGAGCGAACGAGAAGTTGTAAGAATCAGTGCCTAACCGGCTCTGCAACCATCCTCTGCCACCGGAGAATCCATCCGTCACAATCCAGCAATTCTTAAACCCGAGTATCTTTAACGTTTTCGCCACTATTTTAGCTGAATCCGAGTACCTACGAGACAGAAAAAAGAAAGAGACCAATAAAGATAAAAAATCTTTTTGGTTTTTTTTTAAAAGATTCACAAAGTCTTGTAAAAGAGCAATTAAATTAAACTCACGAGTCCATGATGATGATATTTGAGCCTTTGTTGATTTTTTTGAGGTAAGAAATCTTTAATGCTGCAATTTCTGCTTCAACTCTTTTTGAGTTCCTGACGATTCCTTTTACTTTGTTCGGTAGTTCTTCTAATCTGATATAATGAGAAGAAAAAAGAGTTTTCTGTTTCTTTCTATTTTTTTCCAGGCAAAGAAGAAGACACACACACACACATAGATAAGATCAAAAGTAAAACAAAACAAACACTTACGGAATGGCGATCATACGGTTCTTAGCATTTGAAGGGAGACGAGGAATCCCAGCTTTTTCCTTGTCTTTCTCTGATCTTATATCCACCATTAAGTAGTTCTTGGCACAGAGAAGATCAAGCGTTTGAGCCGGCGAGAGATCACCTTCAAAACAGCAAACCACAAACACAGAGTAATTCTCAATCAGTTCCCAAGTTTTTGTTAACTTGAATTAGACTCTGGATGCAATATAGATCACCAGTACATTTGTGACATTTTCACCACAAAAAGAAGTCTATCAACAAAAACTTTCTATGTTGTTCTCAAAGATGATGATATGTTTGAGTTTCAGGCTAAGAAATTGAGGGTACCTTTGTAACCACGAAAGTTGAAAGATATGGCAGACCAAACAGGAGGAAGGAGAAGGTAAGCAATAAACGCCGCTCCAGCAGCAACAACAATGACACTAGGATCAGCCGAAGAAATCGTCTCCATGGTCGATGAAGCAATCGGCTTAGCATCTTCAATCGCCTTTGTTGTCTGTTGTGCCACATCTGTTACTGTCTACATCCATACAAAAAACCCACAACTTATTCAATGTCCCTCAAAACCTAAAAATTTCCGAGGTCTAATGTAATAAAACTCTGACCTTTGCAGCATTATAGACAGGCTCTGCATCAATACCAGAGCTTTGCATTGCTTCTTGAGCTTTCTTTGAAGCCTCTGAGAAAGCAGGAGAAGCAAGCTTTAAAGCCTCTTCACCGGCTTGCTTTGCGATGGGCAAAGCAGTGTCCAAGGCTGGTTTAAGAGCATCTCCTACCACTTGAAAAACACGCTGCGTTGCGTCGAAAACACTCGAACCAGTTTCTTGAACCTGGTTGATTGTTTTCTCCACCTGTTAAAAGACAACGATTTCGTCAACGAAAGGTTACGAAAAGAGTGAAGAGGGGAAGGAAAAGAAGTGAGATAATTACTTCAGTGAGAGAGGAGACGATTTGGTCCTTGGCAATGGAAACAGCAGCTTTGGCTTCATGAGGAGGAGATGCGAAGAGAGATAACAGAGAGATTGAGGTTGATGTTGGAAGTGCGACAGAGATTTGTCTCTCTCTCTTTTTACAAGACGAAGAAGAAGAAGAAGAAGAAAGAATAGTGAGTTTTGCAGTTACTGAGGACTTCATTGCCATCTCCGCCATAGCCATGGTTTCTCTGCCACCCTTTCACAAATTGATGTGACAAGAGTAAAAAAGACAAAGAAGCTATGGTGATTCTCCTCTATGTTGTCTGCAAACTGTTCTTCAGCCTTACTCTTTTGGTGAAGATTATAAATACATTTAGGAAAAAAAACACTGGAGATTGAGCTTATGGTTATGATTGAGCGTCTCTTGAAAAAAACGATCAAAGAAAGGAGGATTTGAATGATGGTCTCTGATTGGTCAGAAAAATCCTACGTGGCAGTTTATTGTGCAAGCTGAGCCACTCATTGCCGATCCAAAGCAGAATCGTTGCTTTTGCGTTTGAATATATTGCAATTGCAACAACAGGACTAAAATCAGAGAATATTTAAAACCATGGGTCCAATTGGCAACCATTATTTTAACAAAGAGAGTAGAGTATCGTAAACGGTTAAAAACAAGACGAGTAGAAATAATAGCGGTTAAAGCGGCAAGAGCCGTGAAAGAGAAAGCTGTCATCGATCGATAACCGAGGAAGTGGTTCAGTCTCCAACCGTCAAATTGTGTTGATACCAATTAAAAACATAATCTTATATGAACCAAAACCAAAAAAAAAAAAGACTTCAAAGATTGACCGGTTTTGGTTTAGGTCCCTTCTTCTCCTTTGGTTAGCATGGTGAACAAATGGATTAACCAAAACCACACTTCTACAACCTTCTATTCTATTCATAATAAATTGCCCATGATTAAAGGAAGATGAGCAAAAACACACCAGTTCATTAGCTCCATATCATTTACAAATCTATTTCCCAATTATGTATAGTGGCACCATAATTAGACCTTAAAACAAACTAGTTCACATATTAGCTATAACAATTTGTTATATAATTCACCATCTAAACACTTAGAAAAAGATCTACCAAATCCATGTGAAGAAACTCAAACACGGATTTCGATGACGCTTATTCATGAAATTCACCAATACGCTATTAAGTTCATGTTTGTTAAATCACCAGCCTAGGTAGTGATATCATATCAATAGTAATGTCACCATCATCACATATTCTATATAAGAACGAAGTGAATAACACCATTTTCTCATGTTTTACCACCCTCCAGTAAGGGGAATCTAAGAAAGAGCACAAGTCTTTGATCCTGAAGAACAAGATTCTCCTTTTATTACCTAATTTGAGAATGGAATCTTGTTACCATTTGAAGTTTACTCCAAGGAATTTTAAAACCCACGAGCTCAGGAATCCATTCACTTTCACCAGATTCCTTCACCTTTTTGGAAAAAAAAAAAGAACACAAATGACAAACAAAAAGTGTCTTTTTCTACACATAATGCCATTATATAGAGAGAGGAAAGTTTCGGGAGTGAATATGATTCTTCTTATGAACATCCACTCTCATAAATAGTAATGCTCCAATGCAGAAACTAATACGAAAGGAAAAAGAAGTAGCATGGCTCTCAAGACTGATATTAATCACTGAATATCACCACTTGGATCCTGATTATGCTCTGAAGTGTGCAGTGTACCCGATTCCATATACGTACAAAGAGAGTGGTATTCTATGTGGATATCTGATCACAAGACAAGAATAAACAAAAGGGAGAAAACTTGGATGTCAAAAACAAGGATTATAATCCAGTAATGCAATGTCCTGTTAAACTAGCGGTTTAAAGCACACATTGTATCAAGAAAACCAAATACCACAGCAAAACTTGAGAGGGAATCCATAACAACATAGCCATGGCCCATGGTCAGGCAAAAGAAACAGGAACGAAACTTGAGGCAAGGGTCTAATAAAGTATCCATGGCTCAACGAAATCCCTTGCTAGATGAAGACAGTAGTCTACATGAAACTCAAACCTTGATTACATGAAAACCAAAAGACAAACTGCATCATCATTAGATTCAGGAACATCGTTCAAGAAAACAGATCAAGAAAAAAAGCTACTACAAACTGTCAGTGTATAGAGGAAAGGAAATATATAAAAAAACTGAATTGTAACCGAAGTTTTCATCAACAGAACCACATGGTAGGATTTGGCGTAGATACTAGTCAACTATGAACACATGATTGGAAGTACAGCTACAAACAAAAACAAAATGATTGATCTTTTATCCTTAAAAAAAAAAAAAAACTAAACCAAACCTTTCAAAGAGACAAGAATCATCCATCTCTACTATCTTTAATTACCACCAATCACAGTCCAAGAACAAAAGTCCTTAATTTTTTTTTTCTTAGACAAGAATTTACTTGATTTCTTCTTCTTTCACTTACACCTAAGAACCTCAAGAAATAATAATACTTTCAATCAAATTTGGGATAAATTTCAAATATTTGGTTTAGCAACAGACTAAACTTTCCCAATCCAAAAGTATCTTAACAAAAAAAAAAAAAAAAAGAGGCGACAAATGAGGAAGGAGAAGCGCTGGATGCAGAGGTTTATCGATCGATTCATGCTTTCGATGTAAAGTGTCCAACATCGAAAGAAAATTTCTCAGGAATTGATCGATGAACCGCTGCCTCCAGCGACTTCAACTATCATCATATTCGTCAAAGAAAGTAAATAGGACTCGAGCAAATTAGAATAATTCACAGATCTGAAAAAATCGGTGCTGAACACAAATTAATCATTGATGGAAGCTGGATCTCAAAAGTAGATAAATTTACAGAGAGAGAGGTAGATGCAGAGTAATATCTACGAGCTTGTATTATATATAGAGAGGCGTGGCTACATACACAGATGCATGTGAGAATCTGAGAGTTTCAAATATCAGTAAAAAAGTAGACTCAACGAAATTGAAAATGAAGAGGAATCTGATGACTCACCGTTTTTTCTTCTTTTTGCCGTACATAATTTTCTCATCTTTTGTCCTTTTGGTCAACAAATTGGAGTCCTTGATTGAAGAAAAAACAAAATTATTCTTCTTTTATGTCAACCTTTTCAACTTTTTTTTTCATTCTATTTTCTAGTCTTGAATGGTTTTGTTTTTTAAATTAGCAACTATAAATTTTGGTTTTGTAAGAAAAAAACAAAAATTCAAATGACAAAACACTTGGTATTGTTGTAGCAAATCCTAGGAAACAGGCCACTGATAAATCCAAATCTTTTAATCTTGTTCTCTTATTCTTTTTTTGGTATTTTGGTAAGAAAAAAAAAATCGATTGCAAATGTTGAGATCGTCATTTGAAATTTAATACTAGTTTTATGTAATTTTAAAATATTTCTGAATCCACTTGATGAATTATCTAGTATGAATCTAATATGTTTTGGGTTCGAATATTGTTCTAATCATTGACATTACTATGGATTGAAACGTAACATTTGTGAATGAATTAATCCCTGGAATTAATAATAATACAGAGTTACAGACTCCACTTGAATGTCTAAATTACTCGCTCCAATAAACCCCCTTCCCTATGCTTAAACCCTAAAAACAAAATCTTGGTGTTGCGAATACCTACGGCTTTCACCATCTCCCCTTCCTTCTGCAATCAAACGGATCTCAAATGTTTGCTGCTTCGATGAGAACACTAATCTCGCCATCTCTTGCGCCTTTCTCTCTTCATCTCCCTAAACCTGCTCTCTTCTCTAGTCTTCTTCGCGTCTCCCGTTATCCTCTCACCGATTCCGCCTTCGCGCTCAGCAGATTCCCCGTCGATTCGCATCGCTCTACGGTTTCCAGCAGAGAGTTAAAGACGGATGCGGCATCCAAGTCGTTCTCCTCCTTCTCCGCTCCCGGAGAGATACACGTCGTCGTCGGTCCTATGTTCTCCGGTAAAACCACGACGCTTCTCCGCCGTATGCTCGCGGAGAGGGAAATGGGGAAAAAGATAGCGATTATCAAATCGGATAAAGACACAAGGTACTGTGTTGAGTCGATAGTGAGCCACGACGGAGAGAAATTCCCTTGCTGGGCTATTCCGGATTTAGCGTCTTTCAGAGAGAGATTCGGATTGGACGCGTATGAGAATCAATTGGATGTGATTGGGATCGACGAAGCTCAGTTCTTCGGAGACCTGTACGAGTTTTGCCGCGAAGCTGCTGATAAGGAGGGCAAAACGGTAATTGTAGCTGGATTGGACGGGGATTATCTGAGGAGGAGGTTCGGGTCGGTGCTGGATATAATTCCGATTGCGGATACGGTGACGAAGCTGACGTCACGGTGTGAGGTGTGCGGGAAGAGAGCTTCGTTTACGCTGAGGAAGACGGAGGAGAGAGAGACGGAACTGATCGGAGGAGCCGAAGTGTATATGCCGGTGTGTCGGAGTCACTATGTGAGCGGTCAAGGCGTTTTGGAGACCGCTCGTGCCGTTTTAGGTTCTTCCCAACAAAACGCAGCGCAACGCACGATGTAGCAACATGTCTCTCCCCTCCATTTGAATAGGCGTTTTGTTAATTCAAACCCTCTAGAAGAAATTTTATTTTGGCTTTAGAATAGCAAGAAAATATGTTTAATAAAGGGTTTTTATTAGATCAGTTATTAGCTCTGGTTTTCAAATTTTCATGTACTACTAATTTATTTTTCCCGGTCAAAAATGTATAACTATTTAATCAGTGAAACCTATGTCCCATTTCGATTATATGGAGCTCTCATACAACCTAAAATCTTATTCGAACATCATCAAACACTAAAATCTTAGCGACATCTCCAAACACAAAAGTGTTTGAACCTCTCTCTTCATTGTGATCTGCATAGAGATTTAGACAAATAATGCTTTTTAGTCTCGTCGCCTCCGCTTCTCCCGCTTTGACTCTTTCCGTTCTTCGTCAGCGCTGTACCGCGAAGAAGATGAATTCTTGTAATGCTTTGTATGCTTCTTGTGGCTACTTCTCTTCTCTCTAGAAGATTCTCTCCGCTTTCTTCTTAATCTATGCTTGTGGTAGTCGCTGGACGAATCGCTCTCTGAATCGTTCTTTCTATGCCTATCCTTCTTGGAACGTTTTCTCCTCCTCCGCTCATCTCCTGAAGAGTCACTCGAAGATAGATCGTTTCCGCCACTCCACTTTCCTGGCGACTTCTCTCTCTTTTTTTCACTCTTTTCTTCTCCAGACCCGAGGGTGAGGCTGCTCGTCTTCTCCTCCGGTTTCTCTTTCAATCCAGGTCTTTTCTCAGAAGATGCATCGGGTTTGCCTTTGGACTTGTTATCTTCTTCCATTGGCTTGGTTCCTTCCGGGTAGGTGACATCAGCAGGTACTTCAAAACCTAGTTCTTTCCCTAGAGATTCTAGAAAATCACCAGCTATCAGTCGGTTTAATGTTGTTGCAGCCGCTTCATTCTTCTTTTCTTGACCCTCTTGTCTCTTTCCATTCATAGGTTGTTCTTCATCATCATCTTCAGAATCATCAGAGAATATGGCCTACAAAGTGAACATGGCCGAGAAAATTTTTAATCGACTGAAAATATTAACGTGAGTTAGCATAAATTTTCGCAGACAAAAGACACCATCTGTACCTTGTAAAGATCAACAGGTCTCTCAACATTCTCCACTTCTACCTCGACTTCAGGTTCTTCTACTGATGTCTCTTTCTTAGGTTCTTGTAACTCAGACACTTGACGTGCGGAAAGGCTTGCTCCCGATCCAGATGCAGCTTTCACTGTATCCGGCAAGAATATGAGAGAATCCATTTTGTTTCTCGCTCGCGGAGCAGTTGCCGGCTGTAAAATTGAATGGCAAATGTAGAGATTGTTGAATCAAGCATTAACACGTCAGCAAGAACAGGACACTGAATACAATGGTCCCGTGTATTATGACAAAAATAACCAAAAGATATCAAGTAGAAAGTATTGTTCCCATCCTCTTTTTTTTTTTCCTTCTCAACATGCACATTATTCACTGTAAACATATCTTATCTTATCTGAGCAAAATTGCAACTAATGTGATTAAGGTTACGATTATGCAAACTTTTATTAACAAGTGCGTTCCAGAACAAGACATTATAGGACAATCTATTTTCTAGTGTTCAACGAATGTAAGCTTTTACAATGACAATCAGAAAGGAGAAACAAAGAACCATTTATTTACCTTTCCCATGAACGGATCAGGGAGATCGAATCGTTTGCACAAAAGAGGTGCAGGACGCCATTGGAACTCTTCTCTTTTAGGGTATGTCTTACTCGTTTTCATGTCTACCACTCCAGTGTCTTTAATTTGCTGTAAAAAAAAAAAAATAGTTTTACATATGAGCATAGACTGCCGGTGAACAGAAGAACTGCAATGAAAATTTTGTAGACAAACCTCTGTTCCACCAGAAGTAAACTGCAGCCCTCCTGCAAGGAAGTCGATGGGCAGTTCAGTAGCCCGTCTGACCTCCTTATAAGCTTTCCCTTTCTCAATTGCTTCAGCTGCAGCCTCAAAGTCCAGCCTCTCTTGAGCACGAGCTGATTCCGACATGCTGTTAACTCTGTTGGAGTCTGTTGTACGTAACCCTCCTTTGTATTTCTCCTTGAGAAACTGCTCAAATCTTTCTTGTTTTGCCATGTCATCTTTGAAGGGCTTGACAGCATCTGCTGCCTCTTGCTATGTCAAGGAGAAAAAGAGTCAAGAATGTCAGTGCAAGGGAAAGAAAGGCAGATCACTTCCTTTAAACACATCTACCAAGTGTAATCCGGCTAAAATTCTAATAAAGGTGTAAAGTTGTGTACTTACAGATGAAGCTGATTTGGTGAATGTGTCAGAGAGATTGGTCGGGAATTGGAAGGACCCTCCAGAAGAAGCAGAAGCTTCAGTTTCTTTCAAACTTTTAGGCAATGGCCTTTCCCCTAATAAGCTGCCACGCGTTTCTGCAGTCATTTTCTGCACGCTTGCAGAGACCTTAACATCTAATTGCAGCTTACTTTGATCACTGCGCTTTTGTTGCTCCTCCCACAGCCTTCTTACATAGTAGTCATGACCGTTACCTCCCCGAAGAAAATCAAACAACTGATTAGATTCGTTCTTCTCTCTAGAAAGATCCTCGTATAGTTTCCCACAACGGGAAACAAAAGTTGCAAATCCATCAATCAAAAGTTTCAGACTATTATCTTCAGGGGGAGGAACATCTGGAGGAGCAGAAGCAGTTGGCTTGCTTTCAGCCTCCAGAGGACCAGGAAACTTGTGCCGGGCCACAAAGTCCTTTGGGATTTTCGGAGGATCAAATCTAGTACAATATTGAAAAAAATGACATGAATTAGAGTATTATGCAGATAAAAGTGAAAAGTCAGAAAAGTCTGCGAGCAAGCTCTACTGGACGTGCAATGTGTGATAAACTCTGATAACTTTGAGTTTAAAATTAGTTTGTTATACCTATCTACACTGTAGTCAGTATTCGAAGCCGCTCCAAAACCTGGCAGAACGTTATGCTCTCTTGAGGTTAGCCTCAGTCTACTGTCATTGCTCGGTCTTGCTGGCTGTTCATCTTCTATAGCATAAGTCTGATCAAAGTCATAACCTGAAAAAAATGAAAAAACCTTGGTATTGCAGAATATCCTGAAACAGGCGATTGATGAATTCAAAACTAACACTTCAACGCATCAAGGAGATTTTTGCACCATTTACCAATATTATTATATTCCAAAAGTAAATTACTTTGAAAGACAATGGTTTGCTTCCCCGAGAATCAGAGAAACAGTTTAAACTCAACAAACATGTATGCTTAAATTATCGAAGAACAACCATAATTATGGAAATGGCCATCCTCTCTTACCAGCATAGACATCTTCATCCTCGACATCAAGCTCCTCAAGTGCCCCAATGCCAAAACCAGGAGCAATCTTTCCTGCTGATTGTTCAACTCATATTAGCAAGTAGTTTGCACGCAGCAATAATACTAAGATAAATCTGGCATAGAGACACACGATAGAGCATAAACGTGTCTTTACGCAAAGTTGAGGAAAAAGACAAATGGTGAATCAAGATCTTACATTTGGGTCCGAAAAGACTTTCCTTCATTGACAAAGGTTTTCTAAAGCCAGCCTCCTTACTGGCAGACAAGCGCGATCTTTTCTTTTCTACATTTCAGAAAATTAAAATGCAAGTTAGTGACCAAGAATGCTCTGACAGCAGAAACACATCATAAAAGTCAAAACTAGATACCTCTAAATTCAGGAGCATGCTTAAAAGGATCAAATCCCAAACCATGCAGGTCCTGCTTTGGATTGAGAACATATACCTGCAACAGATAATGAAGGAAAAAATAATATCATCTCAATCAATATATCTGAGGATACTATCTACAGAATCTGCAGCAGACTGGAAGCAATATTCACAGTCATCTATTTATTCTGATACCAAAATTTAAATAGAAAAGTTCAAGAAAAAATATGAATAATAGATGTGTGACACCAGTAGCAATTACAATCAACAACATAAAGCTAGTTTGCATAGGAGAAACTAGAAAGTTCACTCACAGGAGTGGATTCAGAAAATTTTATATCTTCATTAAACTGTGGATCCAGAGAAGTGTCCACTTCATTCTCCAAAACGAGTGAGTCCGAACTTTCCTTCGTGTTCTCATCAGCAGAGAAGGCTAAGAATGCTTTTCTAGCTTCCCTACGAGCATCTGCACCGACGACAGTATCAAAGAGACACACACGTTAAAAGCATGGATTAATAAACTCAAAATATATTAGGAGTAAAGTCAAAGGAAAAAAAAAAAGAGTAGCTTGCTGTGAATTTCCAAAATAAAAAGAAGTACCCAGTGCCCATTGGTGCACAAACGAAATTTATGGATTAGTGCATGTTAAACAAGTTTCAAACCTGAACTAGCACGCACATCCATTATTGAATGACCACGCCGCCATCCCATCTTTAGCAAAAGTTTGACCCCTGCAATAAAAGAAAGAAGCATATGTGTGAGATCAAGATTAGTTTACTTAATGCATTGGAGAAAATTAAATAGGAGAACGTAAGGGAGGTTTTGAAAATTTCTAAAGAAGCTTTTCGCAACTAACCAATTGACTCCGAAACTGGAGCAACAAGTTCGTCATGCACTGGCCCAGGAATGGCTGATGGCCTGTGAGACAGAAAAAAATTGTTACAACGAAAGAAAATATATATGAAAAAGAACTTCATGGCCAACTCAAATGAAGAAAAAGAACCTTAAGTTATAGAAACTTCTTAACGAAATTAGACCATCACGCAATGTGTAAAACATTTTTACTCATGCCTAAGCAAAACGAAGCAACCCTGAAAAAAACAGCCTAAACATAGCCCCAAAGAAACTTCGAAATGATTGCAATGTGTAGTAGATAGATTAATAAGAATGAATGGGAAATCCGATCTACACTTGAATTCTGATCAGGCTGCAACAATGCATGAAAAGCATTAAGGAATATGACACAAAAGTATACAGAGACCTTTCATGCTGTTCTTTCTCAGCTTGCTTGCGAGAATGTTCGGCTGCTGTAAAACCAAATGTGTCAAATTGTGAGCTCGCAGACAATGATTGGCCCTCCAGTTCCTGAAATGCAAAAGAATTTAGAGTGACTCAACATCGTTCCAAAATCCAAATATTGGACATCTTCCACAGATAAATATGAATTTACCCACTGGCCATGTTACCACTGAGAAGTGTTACGGAAAGATTATGCAGTATGCGGTAATCAAACTTTGACGAGCCTAAACCCTAATGAGCTGAAATAAAGCTTTAAATAATCTAAAAAGTTGAAGAATATGAAACGTACCGCCCTTTCATCTTCATCTAGAAAGTCTGAAACACTTTGCTTTCTCGCTCCAGCTCTGTTCTTCCTTGATGACGTAAATGACTGTGGAGCCCAGCCTGAAATTCAACTTGGATTGTAAACAGAAAGTACAGATGAAAATCTAAAAAAAAATCAAAGTAATTTAAACTTTACCCTCTTTTGACCCCACTGTATTGTAATACCCAGCAGAATATCCACCAGTAAATGCTCCATGGAACCTTCTCCGGCCTTCTTCATCAGTCACCTGAGTATGTAAGACTTTGGATGTTAGCAGCTTTTCATATAAGATAACTATATACAAATAGACGCTATTTCCAGTAATACAAATCATGGTGGAAAGCATCTGCATTAGGAACCTGGACAAGGAATTGTAAGCAGTACTATGCATCCATTTTTAAGGAGAAAATTGTGAACATAGATTGCTTCGATAAATTTGCATCTACAATCTAGACACCAAGGAACATGCCAACATTTATCAAAATTGCATATATCAATATACCTTCAAGGCAACGCCTATATGCAAATGATCAATCTAATTACTATCCATAGATACATTATTGAGCGAGAAAAAATACACCAAATAACAAAATCTCGGATAAACATGATTCTCGGTACTAAACCAGCTCTAAGAGAGACATTCACATCGATTTCTTGCTAAAGTTAATTCCCATATACTGATAATTTTTTTAAGCTCCCACTACTCCAATTTCTCAACCGTGAAGGAAAGAGCTGAAATCGGAAGGGCTCAAAGAGACCACTCGGCAAAAAAAACTAATTTAAGCTCTCTACAGTAAGCTGAAAATCACAGAACAAAACACGCCGGAAAAATATTGCAATGTTCATGGCAGACGCGATTCTCGCGATGTTTGATTTCTCTATGCATCCACAACTAAAGAGACGAACTAGAAGAAATCAAAGACACACCTCTTGCTTCCAAGCAGGCAGAGTTCTTAGGTTGCCTGAAGCCCCAGCGACTGCTTTCTTCTTCCGGCTCCCGATTTCTTCCTCGCGCTCTATTGGTGTCCCGTGAAAGACGAAATCCTCCTCGTCTGAACCCATTCTCTTCACCACCGAAGAAATCAACAATCCGAGGTTCCTAATTGAGTAATAACCGAGTTCCCGGAGCGGAATCAGAGCCGAGAAGGATGAAAAGGAGACATGGGCTTAATTCGGGTCGACTTTCGGCCCATTTGATTTCTTTACCTTTATTTTTATATAAATTTCTCATTTCTTTTTAAGGGATTAAAATTATCATCACGCGCCATCTGTAGCGTTTGGAAAAAGTGGGTTTCACGCGCTTTTGCGTCTTCCGCCTGCCCTAATCGACTCTGTTAGAGAAGGCGAAGGAGAGAGAAATTCCTCCGATAAGATTCCGTACAATCCGATCGGCCGCCTCCTGATCTCGCCGCGACTCGGTTGACTCGTCTGCTCTCGAGCTTGGATCTTGTTTGTTCAAGCTACGAACCCTGTTGACTCTACGGTGAGTTGATGAGGGCTCCCAGTTGATGATTCATATATCTCTATTTTTTCCATTTTTCATCGCTGCTCCATCTTCGTTTCGTGATTGCACCATATGTGGATCTTCTTTTACGATTACGGTACCCGTAATCTGATTAATTTTGTAGATTAAACGATGGATCCAATGGATATAGTTGGCAAATCCAAGGAAGACGCTTCGCTTCCGAAAGGTTGGTTTTCAAATCGTTCATTTTCGATCCACTGACCATTAATCATTACCCATTTGTTCTTTAATGGGTTGTATTGGTGATTTCCGACGCCTTTTAGAATTTGGAATTAAGTTATCGATGTTTTTGAATCCACTGTTATGGATCATATAATTTGTGAATCTAGCTCGATACATACGTGCAGGTTGTATTGAAAACTGCGTCGAGGGTTACGGAATTTATGACCATCATGTTAATCCCAATTTGTTTTGTTGCTAATAATACGATTCTTCTGTTAATTTTTCAGCTACGATGACTAAAATCATAAAGGAGATGTTACCCCCAGATGTCCGTGTTGCTAGAGATGCTCAAGATCTTCTGATTGAGTGTTGTGTAGGTAAAGATCATAGATTCCCTCTGTTTCTCTACTTCTCCTAGTTAACCGATATGTGAGATTTTCACTTGCTCCGTATCTGGAAATCACTCGAGTTCTTGTCTTCTTGGTTTTCTTACCGTGTTTTAATTTTAGACATTTGTATTGCAGAGTTTATAAATCTTGTTTCTTCGGAATCAAATGACGTTTGTAACAAAGAGGACAAACGGACGATTGCCCCTGAACATGTTCTCAAGGCACTACAGGTTTTACATTTTGACATTCTTATCCATGTGACCGTTACCAAACAAAAAGACGCCCTTTCTTATAAGAAAATACATAATCTTATTCCTAAGGATATGAGTATCTGTTTTCAAAACTCGTTATTTTGCTGTGAACAGGTTCTTGGTTTTGGAGAATACATTGAGGAAGTCTATGCTGCGTATGAGCAACATAAGTACGAAACCATGGTAATAACCCTCTGCTTCTCATACTCTTTAGGACCGAGAAGAAGAAGATGGAACCTTGGACATTAATTGTCTCCTACTTTTGCAACTCTTTAGCAGGACACACAGAGGAGCGTGAAATGGAACAGTGGAGCTCAAATGACTGAGGAAGAAGCAGCAGCTGAGCAACAACGTATGTTTGCAGAAGCACGTGCAAGAATGAATGGAGGTGTTCCGGTTCCTCAACCTGAACATCCAGAAACCGATCAGAGAAGTCTACAAAGCTAATTGAAACTGTAATGATAAGCTTTCTTTGAATCGATAGGCAAAAAAAAAAAAAAAGCATCCTTTTAACCTTCCCTTGTAAGTGCAAATGCGCATGTCCTCTGTTTATATGCTCTTAGTATAATCTAAGTTAGTGTTTTATGATCTAAAAACACTTGATGATTCAGATGTAATTAGTAATTATTTCCTGTTTTGTGTTACACTTCTGTCGTAAGAAAACATGGTGGGTCAGGTCTACATCAAAGCCTCCGATTCAATGAGTTTACAGAGGGAGTTTGATTAAAATTCCTAATGTTTGTAGATTGGGTGGTTTTAGTGATTTAGTGTAATTGTACCATTAATATAAACCAATATTTGTATACTTTGCATGGATTCTTGTGTTCAGTGATTTAGTTAACGCGGTTGCTTATATTATCCAACAAGTGACTCAGTTACACTTGTGAATCGATTGATTCTTATTTCTCTCAAAATCTTTTACCTTTTTAATTCATAACTTCTTCCATACTAATTGTCGGCGACGTCTTGTGAAATTTTTACAGGCGACATTTTTGGTAAACCTATTGCATAAATATGGTCGATTATTGTGTACATACGAGGTGAAGAGCTTACTTTTTGCCAAATACACATATTGTTCATTTTCTTGATGAAGACGAAAGAAATACTAAGGAAAATGTCATGTGATTATGGTTTTATCAGTGACGTCAATTGAATGATGAGAATATAAATACACTATTTCGATTGTTGATATATAGAAGAGTACATCTATTAACTTTTGTATTAACATACAGTCTTGCTCAATTATTTGTATGTTCGTATGTTTTGTCTTTTTACATTTACGAATTCAACATAAGTTACGACTTTCTTACTATAAAATAAAATAATAAAAACTGATGGATGATGACATCATTGAAGCATACAAAAAGCGTAAAGAGGTGAATCGGGTGAGGGAGAAGTCGTAGAAGGGCAAGGTACTTAGTTACTAGCTAGGACCATCAACCCCCGGAGTGACGTGTCAGTTCGCAGGTCTCTGTTTACTCTGCACCCGACAACAACGAGAATCGTTACAGGCCTAGATCATATCTCCATTTATGACGTCAATAATCAAAACTATATTATTTAACTTTTTACTCTTTTCTAACATTATCATACAATTTGTATTATAGGACCGTTTTATACAACGATACATTCATACAAGACAAAGCCTGTCGAATGTTGTATGGCACGTCACACCAATCTTTATTTGAAGAATATTTCGTACTGAATCGATACTGTATTAACAATTATATAAGATTCATCCATCATTCATGAATAGTTGAATACATTAAACTTTCCAGTATAAGTCCATACAAAATAATATTAGGCATAAACACTTGAACCACGATAACTGATGAAATTCATCTGCTATGGCTTTCAGTCCCAGAAAATTATGGGACAAATTAAACAAGTCTCGAACTTCTTGACGCAGGAAAAAAAAAGGAATTGGGATGAAAAATTCGTTCTTAATAAACTTAAGAAACAACCAAAGCACATATATTTCGATTAATCTCGAGTCTTGTTACAATGGTTGTATTATGTTGACAGATTTCAACTCAGTTTTTTTGTACAGTAAGTGTAGATACTGTCATTAATTAAGCGATTGACACTTAAATTTTGGTCCATGAAAATTCATGCACAGCGCTTCTAGTTAGTTAACATATATACCTAAACAACATGCATGGTTTAAGTTCGGGGTGGTGTTGATATCTAATCCATTCATTTCAAAATCTGGTTGAAAACATCTTTCAAATCTTCAATATGACTAGAGAGGTTGATATGTAGAATATAGATTTGTTATAAAGAAGGATCTGATAAGTGTACTAAACACTTTTTTACCGTATAAAGATTGAAGTCAAACAAAAAAAGGAGGAGTCAAAACAAAATAAGGCTCTTTGTGATTACCCCACAACGAAAATGAAACAACACACACACTTTGTCTCCAGATTCCTTTCTTTTGTCATTTCTCGTGTTTCTCCCAAAGTATTCAACAAAAACACAATCCTAGTTATTCTCTAATATCTCAAAAGCCAAATAATACAACAAAAGAGTATTAAATATAAACAAAGATCCACATTCACGGCAGCACAATTTTCTTAAAATATAGCACTAATGGCAATGCAATTATATGTCTACTCTACATTACATGTTTTATAGATGAGCTAGGCCTACGTTCTTATAATTCACATTCATCAGAGAAACAAAGAGTCTAAGATGAAAAATGATCATGAACATCATTAAGTAGACCTGAAGAGACAATTAGAGAAACAAAAATCAGTTTTAATCTTTACCTCTTCGGTGGATGATTTTTTTCATATATTATTCTCTTTGGAGCCAAAATTAATCCCGAGTCGAATCAATTGACACCTATACTGAACTAAAAAAGCAAAAGACAAATCTACACACAATGAAACTATTATATTTCTCCAAATCAAAAGAAGAACTATTATGTTTCTCTTTCTTTTTCTCCTTTGTTTTCCAAAATCATCTACAAAGATGAGTTGGTAGGGTCCAGTCACAGTTGATTCTCTGTCAATGTATTATCTTCTCTCTCACCAACACACTCACAACGACAAGAGAGAGATAGAGAAAAGAGTGAAGAGAGAGAGAATTGTAGTCACCAAATAGACCAAACCCTGAAGTTAAATTCACACCAGCTACTTTGGTCATTACCACATCCATAAACACACACTCTCTCTCTTTGCCTCTCTCTCTCTCTCCTCTTCTCAAAGCTTTCAACTTCCTTCAATGGCGAAAGGAAATTCACATGACTTCACCTCCAAGAGACACAATAGTTTCCACTGGACACGAAAAGTCGGTTCAGATGAAAACGACGACGTTTCTTCCAATAACCCACTTCCTGACAACACTAAACCCGTTTCCAAACACAATCCTTCCTCTTCCTCTTCCTCTTCCTCTACTGTAATCACTCCAAAAAGGAAACTACAATCCTTCGCCGTTTCTCGTCTCCGGTCAGTCATCGCTTCTCTCAGCAGAGCCCGACCCGGTAACAACTCCGGACTCGGGTCACGGGTCGTGGGTACACTTTTCGGATCCCGTCGCGGACACGTGCATTTCTCTATCCAGAAAGATCCAACTTCCCCTCCGGCGTTTCTAATCGAACTCGCTACTCCGATCAGTGGTTTAGTCAAGGAGATGGCTTCGGGACTCGTCAGAATCGCTCTGGAATGCGATAAGGCCAAGGAGGAAGAAAAAGAAGAAGGAGAAAACGGAAATCGCCGTCACGGCGGAGGAGATAAGACGAAGACGGTGATTCCACGGCGGTTGGTGGAGGAGCCGATTTGGAGGACATATTGCAACGGCAAAAAGTGTGGGTTCGCGACGAGGAGAGACTGTGGTGAGAAGGAGAAAAAGGTCTTGAAGGCGCTCGAGATGGTTTCCATGGGCGCCGGAGTTTTACCGGACACGGAGGAGACATTCGCCGGCGGCGGCGGCGGTGGCGGTGGAGATATAATGTATATGAGGGCGAAATTCGAGCGAATCGTTGGGTCGCGTGATTCTGAAGCTTTCTATATGATGAATCCTGATAGTAATGGAGCTCCTGAGCTCAGTATCTATCTACTCAGAATCTAATGAAGAAGATGATCCTACCAAAAGCTTCTACTTCAAAAAGAAGGTTTAACGGTTAAGGAAAAATTTTCCGGTTTAATTACTTAAATAGTTGGTTAAGTGGTTCTTTCGGGAATTAAAGTAGCGATGTCTAATACTCAAATATTCGTATTTGAATCGAAAACGACATATCTGTTATTGCAAGTCGGATTAGATGTGAATGTAATCGATCGATCGATAATGTGTTAGAGCAGGTTTTTGTTTTTTGGGGGGGTGGGTTTAGAAGTTTTAAAATTTGGTATATGATTTGGACCGGAGGACTTGTAAATGTATAAATTTCGTTTTTTAATGCCTAATCTTTTGTTTTTCTTCAAATGTTTATGCTATAATGGGGGCACCGAGCCTGTGGAATCATAATGATTAAAGTCTCGATTTGTTTCACATTCCATTAGTATCCTGGTCACTAAATTATGCTTTAAAGTGTAATAAAACCATCATTGATTTTCTCTGATCCAAGAATAATAATAATAGACTGAATTGTATGGACCATTTGGAGTTTTGGACCATACATTGTAAAGAGTACGCGTATCGACTATAATGACGCATTATACTTAGAGATTTTGATATTCCGGTATGTGGGTCAATCTATTAAATTTCCATAATTCGGTAACAACTAGCTTACACACACTGATATATTAGTTATAAAATATCGATTTTTTCCTTAAACTAAAAAGGAATATAAAGCTTGAGATACACTGTAATAAGATTCATCAATTACTTTGGGTGTTGAGAACTTGAGATTGTCTTCCATGCTATTATGCAATTAGGTGATTATAGTATTTACAACCAAATTACAAGTATAATCTTTAAAGGGCATTCTCGTCATTCATATAGAATCAGACGACGTACAATGTTTTACTGGTGTCGTATGTCTTTTCCCTAGTTTCAAGGCTTTACCTTTTTTGGTTATATCAAACTCTATATAGTATTTAAATACCGGGAGCCTCTGTTTCTTTTTATTTTCATGGTATATATATTTTTTTTTTTGTCAACTTATTTTCATGGTATATTAATATTCCAAAATCTTTTGTAAATTAAGGAAACAGTAATTCATAATTCGGAAACAGAAGAGTTAAGCAAATAAATGTGAAAATAATAAATAATCCTACTAGATAATTGTTTCCATAATAAACTTTGTCTTTCCCCAGAAAAAGCAGGCGCTTGAACATTCACAAAGCCCAGATCCGATTAAGATTACACTGCACGATACTCAAGGGACGTGTCTTCTTTTTTTTTTCTTTTTCTTTTATTAGCGTTAAAGAACATGTTTACTAATAAGAAGAAGAATAGAATTTCTTCATGAGAATTTGCAAAAGAGACAAAAGCTGGTGCCTACAACAATTAAGTTTATAAGAAAAAGAGAAGGAACAAAAAAGCATGTTGAGTCGTTGATTGCTTTATATCCTTATGCAGTTAATATACGAAATTTGACTACAGTTACAAGCCATCTCTTTCTTTTTACTATTATCTTTAAGAAAAGTTAGTGTTTAGCAGTGTTATTTAGTATAATTTGAGATATTTTTACTGTTTGTTTTACATATGTATAAATGACACTGAGTGTTATTTTTAGAACAAATGTGTCATGGTTATATCGAGTGTTCGACTGTCTTAAGAATTTATCCCATTAGTCATTACTATTATACTTAGGTAGGGTGTTAATTCTTTTGAATTTGTTTACATCTTGACTGATATTACCAATTATTAGCTAGTTTTCAATTTTGACACATGTTTGAATACCTTAAGCTTCGGCTTCTATTGCCTAACTAATTACTATATAGAAGGGCATGGTTTGAAACATGGCAAAAGATGCATGGTTTGAAACATGACAAAAGATGCAAACCTCACTTCGCATACATCACATCTATTAATTTTTGGATATAAAACACAATTCTGACGAAATTTTGGTAGGAACAAAATGTTATTTTCAGCACTCTCTTATCGTTTTTATAACTATTTTCATGAGGTTTTGACCGTTTTGTAGTCGCGTTGCAGTAACAAATATATTATACTCTACTAGTAAGTACCACATGCCAATTCATGGAACATTGTTTCAAGATATAGAGCCATACCACTTGTATGACATGCCATGTAGACTCGAATGAGTATTCTTCACAAGAACCTTGAATTGGTTTGTCTTCAAGCAAAACTTGAGGACACGCGAGTGAAGACTTTGCAACTGAGTCAAAGTTGTACTCTCCCTCTAATGCCATCACAATCTTTCCTTATGCAAACTCCATCAGCTGAGAGAACATTGGTGATAACATATTAAATGAGGTCGAATCCAAGTGTAGATTGTGTAGATTATGTAGCGCAACACTTGGCTAAAAAACCAGCCAAATCAAGTAGTGTATTCAAAATTTTAGTTTTCAATTTTTACTAGGATTTAATTATAAACACATTACATTAAGTTGCAGTGACATACCGGAAAAATATAATTACATAAAAGAAAAGAAATAAAGAATAGATATTGTGATATAACAAATAAATAGTTTATGCTTTTATGGTTTGTAATAAAGGATTGTAGACTATAATATTTCTATCGAATAGATTTGATGCAACTTTCATGCATCACCTGATCAAAATTTGTGCACACAGTCAATATTTTTTTGGATTCATGGTGTTTAAAAATGGTTCATATGGTTTATGGTTTGATTTTAATATTGGAGAAAAAGACTTACATGTTAAAAGAGCATATTAAACATTTAGTTCTACAGTATTCGCCTTATGAATATGGTTTGGAAAAAAATTCATGTGCTTAAAACAAACCACCTTTTATGCTTTTGAATCTATATACGGCTTATTGATGAAAAACCAGTGATCTTCTTAAATTTGGGTTATGATTGAGCCAATAGTAATCACTCTCGGACGTATCCATTTATGGTATAAACTTTCTCCTTCAATGCGTTAAATATTACTTTAACATCTTAGGCTCCTAACTATGGTTAATCTAAATATCACTTGAAAACACCTTAGACTCCTAAAGTCCTTATTATGATTAAAAATACTTTTAATTTGAAGATTGGAAACTTCTCAAAATTAATAAATCTTATGCCATGAACCAGATTTGAATTGGTGACACAAAGATTAATGGATCTCACACGATGTATTTAACTATTATTTATTATGGTCTTCTGATTACGGCTCACTATTCGCTAAAGTCTGATAAAAATACACCTAACCGTCCGGTTTGGTAGTACAATTTCGTTTTCACATTATCCGATTTGTGGGATAACTCTATATTCCACATTTTCGTATAACTGAAATTTGATTCTCTAGAAAACCGAGCAACCAGATTCATATATAGATAAATCAAAGTCAAAATCCAAGTCATTCATTAACCAACATAAAAACTACTTAAAGTTAAAGTTAAACTAAACCAGATCGGTTCTCAAAACCAGACAAGCTAATAAAAACATAAAAATTATGTTAGTAATTTGGGTACAAGGGAATCATTCATGAGAGCGACCGTCTTTTTACTAAAGAGCAATATTAGAGATTTGGAACTTATAAAGGTTGTAGAAAAGGTAAGTGAGATTTACTGTTTTATATTTTCTGATGGAAACTTAGGTACTCATCTTCATCTTCTTGGCATTCGTATGCATTATTCCTTCATTCACCTCATATCCATCTGGATCCCATGTCCTCCTCTGAGTCAGTGTTCCATGGATAATTTTTCTCTCATTTTGTGTATCTTCTTCTTCCTCATAGTCTTTGAATCCTATTGTTTGCCTTATCCATTGCAGCAAAGTTCCTGATTGCCATCACTGTCATATCCACTGCTTGTTATCACTAATTTATTTTTAGATTATGTATTTAATCATTAAGGAGTAAGACACTTGTATTTTTCTAAAGAAGATAAGATTTTATAATTCTGATTCTAAAGAAGATAAGATTTTATAATTCCGAAGGATTATAGCAAATTATATATGAGTAGAGAATTGAGTCATTGATTTTGATTAGAGTAGTAAAATTGACTTCTATTGAAATTTAGTGTGATTTTGGTTTTTGAAAAAATATTCATGTTTTTAGAAAATCTAAAATTAGTGGAATAGTTTAATTTAATTTTTATATTTTTTTATCAATGTTAATGTGTCATAAAGAAGAAAAATCTGATGTGTTAAGCTCTTGTGAGATATACCGAATTTTTATAAAATAGATATTTCATGTCCATCAATTCAAAGTTAAATCATGATATTTTTTTTTTGTGCAAATGAAAATTATTTATAAGCTTCAACCAAAAAAAAATATTTATAAGCTGGAATCGTGGGTAAACTTAATTTTGAATTTTGCAAATTTTGCAAAATTATCCTTTAGTCGAGAGCAAAAGCGATGGCCGAAAACAACTAGTTCAATGGTTTCAAACCGGAGGTTAAACAGATAACCACAAAACATCAACGACATCATTTTTATTAAACTATAATTCAAATAGTCCACAAATAACCAAATACTGTGTTTTCTTCCCCAATTGTAATGTTTTTTTGTCTATATTTTTTTTTATTATCCCACATTCCCACCCCCATTGACGGCTATGAAATAGAAAAGAGAGACATCTAAATGAAGTAATGAGTAATTCTACTTTTGCTTTAGATAAAGAGCCGGCTTTAGCCGTTTTTTACCCTTTTTCTGTTCTTTAGCTATTTTTTTCCTTTTTGAAATAAAATCCTATATTTTAAGATGAAATTTAACTGGAAAGTAATAAAAATCACAAACCAGAAATAGCGAAATAGGAATACACCCTACAAATATGCACACCATTTAGATATATTTTTGTTTTGTGGGACAATGGTTAAGGAATAGTGATCGATCAACTATATAAAACTTTATTAATTTTCAATGTAAATGCTTCGTCCATTGGTTACCACGTATACAATTGATACATTTATATAATTTGGGAGTGGTGATTCGGAATTATGCACCTTTACTATTATTATTATATATTTTTTCTTTAGTCCACAATTTATTTTTGTTCGTAACGACGTCAATTTATGTCTTAAGAAACTATTTTGTAGTACCGTCGTTTCCTTTATGTTGGTTCTTGTGTTGCTCATTGCCTTTGAAGTAGTTGTAAGTATACCACAGGCTTCCGAAAACAAGCATCCCCATGGGCCATGGCACTAATACCGTCCGAAAAAAAAAAAATCAAAAATTATAGCTCCATTTTTCTCAGTCTTAATAGGGCTTAAATTTACAGGCCCAGTAGAGACGCACAGTTTCTGTCTTTTTTTTTTTCCTTGTTCACGTTAATGAAAATCCGACATCAATCAATTAGTCAAAATTCTGGAATTTCCTGTCAAGTAAAAGCTTTTCCTTCACTTTGTGATGTTTTCTCATTTTTGATCTTCAAGCTTACACTCCTGAGTCGGTGCATCCAAAATTCTTCGAGATCAAAGACCGCCTTCGTAAGCTCATCTTCTTTATTTATATCCATGGGGATATGACCTTCCTGCAACAAAGAGAACATTTATAATCGAAGATGGATTCACTTCTTCTCGAAGATTTTGGGCAGAAGGTGGATTTGACCCGACGAATTCGGGAGGTTTTGTTGAACTATCCGGAGGGAACCACCGTGCTCAAGGAGCTCATACAGAACGCCGATGACGCCGGAGCTACCCGGGTACGCCTCTGCCTTGATCGCCGGGTTCACGGGTCGGGTTCTCTGCTATCGGACTCTTTGGCTCAGTGGCAGGGTCCTTCTCTCTTGGCCTACAATGATGCTGTTTTCACCGAGGAGGATTTCGTCAGTATCTCCAGAATTGGTGGGAGTGGCAAGCACGGCCAGGCTTGGAAGACTGGTCGATTTGGGTAAATTTCGGATTCCTTCTCTCTAAAATTACTCTCACTGTTTTCTTCGTTTCTTGCTTACGAATACAGCGATTGACTTCTTTTAACTAACTAGTGAAACGATGATCCAATGCACTAATTAGCTGTGTCTAAGATGTAAGTTTTGGGGTTTTTTAATATCATCGCAACTTCTTAAGTATGTGTTTAAGTCAATCTCACTGTGTCGTAGATTTGATGTCTTGCTATTTGCCTAGCGATGTATTTATCTTCTCTTTTTACTTTCATAATCTTCCCTCGTTTTCTGATAACTGTTCTGACTTTGATATTATAGGGTTGGCTTCAATTCGGTATACCATTTGACTGATATACCTTCTTTTGTGAGTGGAAAATACGTGGTATTGTTTGATCCTCAGGGTGCTTATCTTCCAAATATTTCTGCAGCAAATCCAGGGAAGAGAATTGATTTTGTTGGTTCCTCAGCTCTCTCTCAGTATGAGGATCAGTTTACTCCTTACTGTACCTTTGGCTGTGACATGAAAAATCCTTTTCATGGTACTTTATTCCGTTTCCCTTTGAGGAGCCCAGAGCAGGCAGCTTCTAGTAGGCTCTCAAGGCAAGCCTACTTTGAAGATGACATTTCTTTGATGTTTGATCAACTTTTCGAGGAGGGCGTTTTCTCGTTGCTCTTTCTTAAATGTGTATTATCCATTGAGATGTACACATGGGATGCTGGAGATCCAGAGCCCAAAAAAATTTATTCATGTTCGGTCAGCTCACCAAATAATGATACTGTGTGGCATCGGCAGGCAGTTCTTAGACTGTCGAAGACATCTATTTCTGGAGACAGGGAGATGGATTCATTCACTCTGGAATTCTTAAGCGAGTCTGTAAATGGAAGCCAAAGTAAACGAAAAACAGACAGATTTTACATAGTTCAAACAATGGCATCAGCGTCTAGCAGAATTGGTTCGTTTGCCGCCACTGCTTCCATAGAATATGATATTCATTTGCTACCATGGGCTTCAGTTGCAGCTTGCATATCGGATGATTCATCAGAGGTACTGTGCGATTTTAATTGTGCCTTTTTGCCATCTGTAGTAATTTCTTCCCATGTTGCAGTACTGTATACAATTGCGCTTATTTATCTATTTTATTTTAGTATTCCTTCATCCTAACGGTTGCGGGTATTTCATATATTTCTGCTGCATGCTTTCGATTATCTGTAACTGCTTTTGGGATTGGATTTTTCTCATATGTCTTTTGGAGACCTTACTACGTTCACTCTGTCTTCGTATGGTTTTGACAGAATAATTTCCTAAAGCTTGGGCATGCTTTCTGCTTTCTTCCATTGCCTGTACGAACTGGATTGACGGTACAAGTCAACGGATACTTTGAGGTGTCATCAAATCGTCGCGGAATTTGGTATGGCGAAGATATGGACAGGAGTGGGAAAGTTCGTTCAGCGTGGAATAGGCTTCTCCTGGAAGATGTGGTAGCACCCAGTTTTGCACGATTGCTTCTTTGTTTGAGAGAAGTGCTTGATCCCAGGGATTCTTACTACTCCTTATGGCCAAGTGGATCTTTTGAAGCACCATGGAGCATTTTAGTTGAGGAAATTTACAAAAACGTCTGCAATGCTCCTGTGCTGTTTTCGGATCTTGAAGGGGGGAAATGGGTATCCCCTGCCGACGCTTACCTTCATGATGAAGAATTTTCAAGGAGCAAAGAACTTGGTGATGCCTTGCTGCAGCTTGAAATGCCTATCGTGTGCCTCCCAAGACCAGTTTTTGATATGCTTTTGAAGCAACCTTCTTTTTTTCTTCCAAAAGTGGTTACTCCGGATAGAGTGCGCAACTTTCTCAAAGGATGCAAAACGCTCTCCTCTTTGAAAAAATCTTCGAAGCTAGTGTTATTGGAGTACTGCCTGGATGATCTGACTGATGATAGTGTTTGCACTCAAGCCAGCAACCTGAAGCTACTTCCATTAGCAAATGATGACTTTGGCTTCTTTTCCGAAAGTGCAGAAGGTGTCTCCTATTTTATTTGTGACGAATTGGAGCATATGCTATTACAGAAAGTTTATGACAGAGTAATTGATAGGAACATTCCTCCAGGTTTATATAGCAGACTTTTTGCCATTGCAGAGTCACAAACAGCAAATCTTACAATTTTCAGTATCCAAAGTTTGCTTCAGTTATTTCCAAGGCTTGTACCTGCTGAATGGAAATACAGAACCAAGATTTCCTGGCATCCAGATTCCAACCCAGACCATCCTTCGTCATCATGGTTTATTATCTTCTGGCAATATCTTGAGAAACAGTGTCAGAGCCTTTCATTATTCTGTGATTGGCCAATCTTGCCATCCACATCTGGCTATTTGTATATAGCCTCTCCGCAATCAAAATTGATCAACGCGGAGAAGCTTGCCGATGCAGTCAGAAATGTCTTGGAGAAGATTGGTAGCAAAATATTAAACAACAATTTTAAAGTTGAACATTCAGATTTGTCCTCCTTTGTTTCGGATGCTAGTTACACAGGCGTCTTAGAATCCGTTTTTGATGCTGCCTCTTCGGATATGGTTGGGGTACAAAATTTAATTTATAATTTGAATGTTGAAGAGAAGGATGAGCTTCGTAATTTTCTTTTGGATCCAAAATGGCACATAGGACATCAGATTGGCGATCTATACCTCAGAATCTGCAAGAATTTGCCCATTTATCGTGTGTATGGAGATATATGTGATCAAGAATCTGATTATTCTGATCTTGTTAATCCTCCTAAGTACTTACCTCCATTAGATGTGCCTGCCTGTCTTCTAGGATGTGAGTTTATTCTTAGCTGTCAAGGCAGCGAAGAAGATATTTTGCAGAGGTATTATGGCATTGAGAGAATGAGGAAAAGTCATTTTTACAGACAAAATGTTTTCAACAGAATTGAAGTTTTGCAACCTGAAATTCGTGATCAGGTGATGGTTTCTATTTTACAGAATCTTCCACAACTGTGTATGGAAGATAGATTCTTAAGGGAAGAATTGCAGAACCTAGAGTTTGTTCCAACTGTAAATGGTCCTCTTAAACGCCCATCTGTTTTATACGATCCTCGTAATGAAGAGTTATATGCTTTGTTGGAAGATTCAGATTGTTTCCCTGGTAGTAGATTCCAGGGATCTGCGATCTTGGAGATGCTTCAAGGTTTGGGCCTCAGAACAACTGTTTCTCCTGAGACAATTTTAGAGAGTGCACGATTGGTGGAGCGGGTGATGCACATGGATCTGGAAAAGGCTCATACACGAGGTAAAGTGCTTTTTTCATTTTTAGAAGTCAATGCTGTGAAGTGGCTGCCTGATCAGTCGAGTGAAGATGATGGAGCTATAAACAGGATTTTTTCAAGAGCTGCGACGGCTTTCAGACCAAGAAATCTGACATGTAACCTTGTTAAGTTCTGGAGTGAACTTAAAATGATTTGCTGGTGCCCCGTTTTAGTGTCTGCTCCATTTCAAACTTTACCATGGCCAGTTGTGACATCTACTGTTGCTCCTCCGAAGCTTGTACGTCCGAAAACAGATATGTGGCTTGTGTCTGCATCCATGCGGATACTTGATGGTGAATGTTCTTCTACAGCTCTTGCATATAATTTGGGGTGGTTATCACATCCAGGAGGAAGTGCAATTGCGGCTCAGTTGCTTGAACTTGGAAAGAACAATGAAATTCTGATTGATCAGGTTCTTCGGCAGGAACTAGCTTTGGCGATGCCAAAGATATACTCAATTCTTGCAAGTTTACTTGGTTCAGATGAGATGGACATAGTTAAGGCTGTACTTGAAGGTAGTCGCTGGATCTGGGTAGGGGATGGATTCGCAACTTTGAGTGAGGTTGTTCTTGATGGCCCTCTTCATCTAGTTCCCTACGTTCGTGTCATACCTATCGACTTAGCTGTTTTTAGGGGATTGTTCGTTGAACTTGGTGTTCGAGAATTTTTAACTCCATCTGATTATGCTGATGTTTTATCTAGAATAGCTGTAAGGAAAGGTATTTCACCTCTGGATCCACAAGAAACGAGGGCAGCTGTGCTAATTGCGCAGCAGTTGGCTGAAGCGCAATTTCTTGACAGAGTCACAATCTATTTACCTGATGTTTCTGGTCGACTCTTCCCTTCAAGTGATTTGGTCTATAATGACGCTCCATGGTTGACCGCCTCAGACAATCATAACAGCTCATTTAGTGCCGAGTCTACAATGCTATTGAATGCAAAAAGAACAACGCAAAAATTTGTCCACGGTAACATATCGAATGAGGTAGCAGAGAAACTTGGTGTTCGCTCACTTCGTAGAGTCTTGCTGGCGGAAAGCGCTGATTCAATGAATTTTAGTTTATCTGGAGCTGCTGAGGCCTTTGGACAGCATGAGGCATTGACCACCAGACTTAAACACATACTAGAGATGTATGCTGATGGGCCTGGGATTCTTTTTGAGCTGGTTCAAAACGCGGAAGATGCAGGAGCTTCTGAGGTGACATTCCTTTTGGATAGGACTCATTATGGGACTTCTTCACTCCTCTCTCCTGAAATGGCAGATTGGCAAGGCCCTGCTCTGTATTGTTTCAACGACTCGGTTTTTACACAACAAGATATGTATGCAATCTCACGCATTGGTCAAGCAAGCAAACTTGAAAAACCTTTTGCGATTGGAAGATTTGGGCTGGGCTTTAACTGTGTTTATCATTTCACAGATATCCCGGCATTTGTTTCTGGTGAAAACATTGTTATGTTTGATCCTCATGCCAATCATTTACCTGGTATCTCTCCAACTCACCCAGGCTTGCGGATTAAATTTGCGGGAAGAAATATATTGGATCAGTTTCCTGATCAATTTGCACCATTCTTGCATCTTGGTTGTGACTTAGAGCATACATTTCCTGGAACACTCTTTCGGTTTCCTCTTAGAAACGCAAGTGCTGCTCCCAGAAGCCAAATAAAGAAAGAAATCTATGCTCCTGAAGACGTGTTATCCCTCTTCACTTCCTTTTCTGGTGTAGTTTCGGAGGCCTTAGTTTTCCTGCGGAATGTAAAATCGGTATCCATTTTTATTAAGGAGGGAGCTGGTCATGAAATGCAGTTACTGCATCGCGTTTGCAAAGATGACCATGTTGGCAAAGATACTGAACCAAAGCCATCTAGTCAAGTGTTTAGTCTACTTGATGAAAATCTTTCTGCTGGAATGAATAAAGATCAGCTACTAAAAAAACTAAGCAGCACTGTGGTTAAAGATGTTCCATATAAATGCCAGAAGATTGTGGTGACCGAGCAAGATTCTTCGGGCTGTACTTCACATGGATGGATAACAGGTGAATGTCTGAATGCTGGGGTAAGTAAAAAGCACTTGAACCTTCCAGAATTGTCCCATAAGTTGATACCATGGGCTAGTGTTGCCGTGCTTATAAATTCTGTCAAGAGTGATAATGTAGAGAACATGGCTGCTAGCAATTCTGATATATTTGGACCATCCGCAATTTCAGTTCAGAATAGAAGAACTTTTGGGGGGCGTGCTTTCTGCTTTCTGCCTTTACCTATTACTACTGGCCTCCCGGCGCATATCAATGCATACTTTGAATTGTCATCCAACAGGAGGGATCTTTGGTTTGGTAATGACATGGCAGGGGATGGAAAAGTACGGTCGGATTGGAATCTTTACTTGATCGAGGAAGTTGTTGTACCAGCTTATGGTCATTTGCTTGAAAAAATTGCATCTGAACTTGGTCCATGTGATTTGTTCTTCTCTGTCTGGCCAGTAACTCTAGGAGCAGAACCTTGGGCATCCTTGGTTCGGAAGCTCTACAGTTTTGTTGCGAATAACGGACTTCGTGTATTATATACCAAAGCAAGAGGGGGCCAATGGATTTCAACTAAGCAAGCAATATACCCTGATTTCAGCTTTCTTAAGGCAGAGGTGCTAGTTGATGTCCTTGCAGACGCTGGCCTCCCTGTTATTAATATCTCAAAGTCAGTTGCGGAAAGATTCGGAGAGGCCTGTTCATCTTTGCATTTTATGACACCCCAATTGTTAAGGACCCTTTTGACCCGGCGAAAACGTGAGTTTAGGGATAGGCATGGCTTGGTATTGGCACTAGAATACTGTCTTCTTGATTTAAAAGTTCCTTTCATGGCTGATCTTCTTTATGGTCTACCCCTGCTACCTCTTGCTGATGGTTCATTTACGACTTTTAACAAGAATGAGACTGCCGAGAGAATTTTTTTCGCAGAAGAGAATGGGTATGAACTTTTGAAGGATTCACTTCCTAACCAGCTCGTTGACCGTGAAGTGACCGAAGGAATTTATAGTAAGCTGTTGGCTGTAGCACAAAGCGAAGAATCATGCATATGTCTTCTCTCTTGCAGTTTGCTTGAGAAGCTCTTTTTTAAGCTACTGCCAGCAGATTGGCATCTCTCAGAAAAGATACTTTGGACACCTGGCCAACAAGGACATCCGACAGTAGAGTGGCTAAGGGTACTGTGGAGCTATCTTAAGTTATCTTGTGATGACCTCTCAATATTTTCTAAGTGGCCCATATTGCCAGTTGAAGATCAGTGTCTCATGAAACTAACTGTAAATTCAAACGTTATTCGAGATGATGGCTGGAGCGAGAACATGTCTTCATTATTGCTGAAATGTGGATGCCGGTTCTTAAATCGTGAGCTTCCAATAGAGCACCCTCACTTGGAAACATTTGTTCAGCCACCAACAGCAGCGGGCATTTTGAATGCACTTCTTACGGTTTCTGGTGGGCAAGAAAACATAAAGGGGATTTTTCGTAATGTTTCAGAAGGAGAATTGCATGAGCTACGGAATTTTATTCTTCAGTCAAAGTGGTTTTCTGGTGGACAAATGAATGATGTCCACTTGGAGACCATCAAACACCTCCCCATATTTGAGTCGTACAAAAACAGAAAACTTGTGAGTTTGAACTGCCCAGTTAAGTGGCTAAAACCTGATGGCATCAGAGAGGATCTGTTGGATGATGATTTTGTACGCTTAGACTCAGAGAGGGAAAGAGCCATCTTCAAAAGATACTTACAAATAGAAGAGCCCTCGAGAATGGAATTTTACAAAGCTTGTGTACTTAATCGTATGTCTGAATTCCTTTCTCAGCAAGAAGCCTTGTTGGCCATTTTGCATGATCTATATGAGCTGGTCGCCGATGATGTTTCCCTTCAGTGTGCATTATCTACAACCCCTTTTGTTCTCGCAGCTAATGGATTATGGCAACAACCTTCCAGGTTTATCTATCTTATTACCTCTTATTCTAATACGTTGAATATGATAATCACAGAATACATCAGCGACTTGATATTAGCTATCTTTGTTAACATTTACACACTCTATACAGCAAATGGAATTTTTATAGTTGTCTTCATACTTTTGTTCTGTTTTCAGGCTATATGATCCTCGTGTTCCTGGGCTACAGGAGCTTCTTCACAAAGAAGTCTACTTTCCTTCTGATAAATTCTTAGATTCTAAGATCCTGGATGCCTTGGTTGGTCTTGGACTTAGAACAACTCTGGATTGCTCTGCCTATTTGGATGCTGCTAGAAGTGTGTCAATTCTACACGACTCAGGAGATCTAGAAGCATCGAGATATGCAAGAAGACTATTTTTCCATATCAAAACTCTATCTGTCAAACTATCATCCAAGACAGGTGAAGCCAGCCATGATGAATCACAAAATCTAATGTCCATGACAAGTGAAGACTCGCCTGATGGAGAAACCTATCCTGAATATGAAACCGAGACTAGCTATCTCGGGAACTTGCTCACTGAACAATCCGAGGATGAGTTTTGGTGTCAACTGAGGTCTATCCCATGGTGTCCTATTTCTCTTGATCCGCCAATAGAAGGAATTCCATGGCTTGAATCTAGTAACTTGGTGGCATCTCCAGATAGAGTAAGACCCAAGTCTCAGATGTTTTTGGTGTCTGCCACAATGCACTTGCTGGATGGTGAGTGCCATTCATCATATCTACTTCAGAAATTTGGGTGGATGGACTGTTTAAAAATTGATGTCCTGTGCAGACAACTAATTGAGATATCAAAGTCGTATAAAGAACAGAAGTCTCGTTCGTCAATAAATCCTGATTTTGAGAGCATGTTACAAAGTCAAATTCCTCTACTCTATACGAGACTGCAAGAACATGCTAGGGAAAATGATTTTCATGCTCTTACATCAGCACTAAATGGTGTTCCTTGGGTGTGGCTTGGGGATGATTTTGTCTCTGCTGATGTTCTTGCTTTTGATTCTCCAGTGAAGTTTACCCCTTATCTATATGTTGTCCCTTCAGAATTATCGGACTTTAAGGAACTGCTTCTAGAACTAGGGGTGAGGCTTAATTTTGATCCGGCAGATTATATGAACACTCTGCAACACTTGCAGAATGATATCAAAGGATCACCGTTAACAGACGAACAGATATATTTTGTCCTTTGTGTTCTTGAAGCCATTGCAGACTGTTTCTCCGAGACATCACAAGATTGTGATAAAAATTTATTGCTAGTTCCTGATATCTCTGGACTTTTGGTCCCATTGGAGGATCTTGTTTATAATGATGCACCATGGGTGGACAGCAGTTCTCTTTCTGGGAAAAGGTTTGTGCATCCTAGCATCAACAATGACATGGCTAATAGATTGGGAATACAGTCTCTTCGTTGTATCTCCTTGGTGGATAATGATATTACCCAAGATCTTCCTTGTATGGAGTTCACAAAATTGAACGAGCTTCTATCTTTATATGGCAGCAAAGATTTCTTGTTTTTCGATCTTCTTGAGTTAGCTGATTGCTGCAGGGTTAAAAAGCTGCACATAATCTTTGACAAGAGAGAGCACTCTCGCAAGTCATTGCTGCAGCATAATTTAGGTAATCAATGCTTTGAGCTCATTACTAACCTTTCAGTTGATTCTATTATGTTCTTTAGATCTTGTTTTATTTGTCGTTTTGCTCTAAGCTTTCTCTTTCGATTTCGGAGAATGGCGGATTTATCTAAGGTGGATAACATTTCCAATACGGCAATACCAAAAAGATCTTGAGCTTCTACGGGATACAAGCTTCTTTGTTGTTTGGTTTTAAATGCGTGTTGAGTATCTCTTTTGTATATTGTAGGGTTATCTACCTTGTCCCTCTTATAAATGGGCTCTCTTTTGTCAGGTGAATTTCAAGGCCCTGCTCTAGTTGCCATATTAGAAGGGGCTACATTGACCAGAGAGGAGGTTTGTAGTCTTCAGCTTCTTTCACAGTGGAGAGTTAAGGGTGAAACTCTCAACTATGGGTTGGGCCTTCTTAGCTGTTACTTCATGTGTGATCTTCTCTATATTGTTTCTGGTGGCTACTTTTACATGTTTGATCCCCGAGGAGCGACCCTTTCTGCATCCACGACTCAGGCTCCCGCTGGAAAGATGTTCTCCTTGATAGGTACGAACTTCTGATGTTGCTATCCTACTTCTCCCTTCCCAATGCTAAAGTCGCGTGACAACGTGGTAGCCAAGATTTTTAAATTAACCGTAATTATTTAGTAACTGGTCCCTGTGGGGAAAGACCACTCATCCCTAAATTGATAGTTTTCTGTTCATTGGTCGTGATTGTGAGGGATCATATTTTAGCTTAATTCACATTTGTCTTATCGTGATTTGTTTGTACTTATCATTTAGTCAAAGCTCCATTTCGACCCTATTTTGATAAAGAAGTTATTGGATTCTATTCAGTTCTCTTTCTTTGAATTTACCGTTTAATTAGTGCTATTGTTCTTTTAGGTACGAATTTGGTCGAGCGATTCACTGATCAATTTAATCCCATGCTAATTGGCCAAGATAAGGCATGGTCATTGACAGATTCTACCATTATTCGGATGCCTTTATCATCTGAAATATTGAAAGATGGGATTGAGGCGGGGTTATATAGAGTGAAGGAAATCGCTGACCAGTTTTTGGAGAATGCCTCCCGAATCCTCATTTTCTTGAAGTCAGTTTCGCAGGTATAATAATATGTATATCTACACCACCCTAGGCGTCATTGAATTCTTTTCCTGGCAGTAGATTGCTATTAAATTTAAAACTTTAATACAAAATATAACCTTGAACGCAGGCTACCCTGTTGTCGTTATATAACAGGTAGTTACGAAGTAAGGAACTTCTAATCTAGATAGATTTTTCTGAGGCCTTTTTATTTGCTGAGAATTTTCGCTTAGGTATCGTATAGAAAACATGATTAGTCTGGACCTTTTGAATTTGCAGAATCTCAAAATAAAATGTGTTCGGCATTCTTCCATATGTTGGAAATTTCTTTTAACTGTCTTTTGACTGTTGGATATTTTGGATAGATATAAGACAGTTGAGCTTCAGATATGAGGAATGAGTGAGGTTCGACATTTTTCCTTGGTTGTATGGAACTCTGTACATGTGTAATGTTAACTTGCGTAATGTATTCTGTGAAATGATTCTTGTTTTATCATCCTGCATCTCGTTTTAGTCATTTGATGTCTATTCTATGTAGCAGATGGATATGATCGAACTTAAGAAAACTTGGCAAATATTTGTTAATTTCAGGTTTCATATTCCACATGGGAGCAAGGAAATGCAGAACCACATCAAGACTACGCGCTGCATATTGATTCAGCATCAGCTATCATGAGGAATCCTTTCTCGGAGAAAAAATGGAGAAAGTTTCAACTTTCTAGGTTGTTTAGTAGCTCAAGCTCTGCTGTTAAATCACACATAATAGAGGTTAACCTTCAAATAGGAGAAAATAAACTTCTGGATAGATGGCTTGTTGTTCTTAGCATGGGCTCTGGACAATCACGAAACATGGCTCTTGACAGGTACGAAGTTGTTAACTATTACTCAACGTAAAATCTTCTGGAAGTAACCTCTCAATGATCTCTTTCAGACGTTTAATCCATCTTTTTAAATTTGAAATATTACAAATTTTGATCAAAATCATGGGCAGCAACACAATCAGTGCACTGTGCAAGTCACTTTTCATACTTGATAACAAAATAATTAGTATGGCACAAGTATATGGAAACTAAGTTTTTTTTTTGTTTTATTATGAAAAAAAAGAAAAAAAGAATTCCATTTACTCACGTTTTTTTCAAACCCTAGCTGATGTGATGAGTGTACTAGAGGTTATCGTGTCTCTATATGTTGTTGAAATATTACTTATATGCAGGAGGTATCTAGCGTACAATTTGACACCTGTTGCTGGAGTTGCTGCACATGTATCTCGAAATGGTCGTCCTGTTGATGTTCATCCAGCCAGCCCCATAATGTCTCCTTTGCCTTTGTCTGGTAGTGTGAATCTACCTGTCACCATCCTTGGATGCTTCCTTATTCGGAATAATTGTGGTCGTTTTCTCTTCAAAAATCTGAATGAGAGAGCTATGTCAGAGCCACAGCTTGATGCTGGAGAGAAATTGATTGATGCATGGAACAGAGAATTAATGTCATGTGTTCGCGATTCTTACATAGAAATAGTGGTGGAGATGGAAAGGCTAAGGCGAGAACATTCAAGCTCTTCAATTGAGTCAAGTACAGCACGTCAGCTGGCCCTTTCTCTTAAATCATATGGTCATCAGTTGTATTCCTTCTGGCCACGATCTAATCAACATGCTTTGCTTACCCAACATGACGGTGCTCTAGCAACAGAAGTGCTCCAGCCAGAGTGGGAATGTTTGGTTGAACAAGTTATAAGGCCGTTTTATGCTCGGGTCGCTGAGCTTCCTCTATGGCAGCTTTACTCAGGAAATTTGGTCAAGGCTGAAGAGGGTATGTTTCTAACACAACCTGGTAGTGAGGTTGCTGTTAATTTGCTTCCTGTTACAGTTTGCAGCTTTGTGAAGGAGCATTACCCTGTGTTTTCCGTGCCTTGGGAATTGTTGGCTGAAGTCCAGGCAGTAGGGATTCCGGTTCGAGAAGTTAAACCAAAGATGGTTCGCGATCTTCTTAGGAAGTCATCTGCATCTATTGATCTCCGATCTGTTGATACTTATATTGATGTACTTGAATATTGTCTCTCAGATATTCAATTCAGTGGAGCACTTAACCCGGATAACATAGAAGAAGGAAACAATACTTCTGCTGCAATGTCGATGCCTACTCAAGCTCAGGCTGGCTCAAGTGATGCTTTTGAAATGATGACAAGCCTAGGGAAGGCGTTGTTTGATTTTGGTAGAGTTGTTGTTGAAGATATTGGCCGTGCTGGAAATAGTAATAGTAGATATAGTAATGTTGACCCGAGGTTTCTATCTGCAATTAATGAACTTAAAGGATTACCATGCCCGACTGCAACAAATCATTTAACACGTTTGGGTATTTCTGAGCTATGGTTGGGAAACAAGGAGCAGCAGGCATTAATGTTGCCTGTATCTGCACAATTTATCCATCCAAAAGTGTTTGACAGATCGAGCTTGGCTGACATATTCTTGAAGTCTTCAGTTCAAGCATTTTTAAAGTTAAGGAGCTGGTCTCTTCCTTTACTGGCCAGTAATATGAAATATCTTTTTCATGACCATTGGGTTAATTATATCTCGGAATCGAATGTTGTACCATGGTTTTCGTGGGAAAGTACATCCAGTTCTAGTGATGATAGTGGTCCCTCGCCTGAATGGATAAGGCTCTTTTGGAAGAATTTTAATGGATCAGCAGATGAGCTCTCTCTCTTTTCGGACTGGCCTTTGATTCCTGCATTCCTTGGCAGACCTATTTTATGCCGTGTAAGGGAGAGACAATTGATCTTCTTTCCACCACCGCCTTTGCAGCCAATCTCTAGAAGTGGTGCTGATATGCATCAGAGAGATAGTGATATGCCCACGACGTCAACATCAGTAAGTGATGGTTCTTTATCTGAGTTAGTACAACACTATGTTTCAGGCTTCGACCTAGCACAGAGAGAGCATCCTTGGCTGATTGTACTGCTTAACCAATGCAACATACCTGTTTTTGATGCTGCATATATTGATTGTGCTGAGAGAAGCAAGTGTCTGCCTTCATCAAGCGTGTCACTTGGCCAAGCGATTGCCTCCAAGCTTGCTGAAGGAAAACGAGCTGGCTACATTGTTGGTATCGCTTCCTTCCCCATGTCTGGCCGTGATGAGCTTTTTACCCTTTTGGCTAATGATTTCTCTTCCAGTGGCTCAAGTTATCAATCATATGAACTTGAAGTACTAAGCTCACTTCCTATATTTAAGACTGTCACTGGGTCGTATACGCATTTGCAAAGGCAGGCTTTGTGCATAATCGCTGGAAATTCCTTCCTCAAACCATATGATGAATGTTGCTTTTGCTATTTTCCAGATTCAGTTGAATGTCACTTTCTCCAAGCCCTTGGGGTCGCTGTGTTGCATAATCATCAGACTTTAGTAAGGTTTGGGTTAGCTGGGTTTGAAAGCAGATCTCAATCTGAACAAGAAGATATACTAATTTATCTATATGGAAATTGGCTAGATTTAGAAGCCGATTCTACTGTGATTGAAGCTATTAGGGAGGCTAAATTTGTTAGAAATTCTGATGAATTCTCCTCTGAGCTGTCAAAACCGAAGGACCTGTTTGATCCTTCAGATACATTACTAGTGTCAGTCTTTTTTGGTGAAAGAAAACGCTTTCCTGGAGAAAGATTCTCTTCCGAAGGCTGGCTTCGCATTCTACGAAAAGCTGGCCTTCGAACTGCAGCGGAAGCCGATGTCATACTTGAGTGTGCCAAGAGGGTGGAATTTCTGGGTATCGAGCGTAATAGATCCTCTGAAGAAGATTATTTTGAAACGGATCTTGTGTATTCTGAGAAGGATATTTCAGTTGAATTATCAACATTAGCAGGATCCGTACTTGAAGCTATATTTTCAAACTTTGCTGGTTTTTATAGCACCGCATTCTGCAACAGTCTTGGTCAGATTGCTTGCGTACCTGCTGAATCAGGGTTCCCAAGTATTGGTGGCAGAAAAGGTGGCAAAAGAGTCCTTACAAGTTACAGCGAAGCTGTTCTTTTACGGGACTGGCCCCTAGCCTGGAGCTCTGTTCCTATTCTTTCAAGTCAACGATTCATTCCACCTGACTATTCATGGACAGCATTTCGCCTAAGAAGTCCTCCGATTTTCTCGACTGTTCTTAAACACTTACAGGTACGAACACCCTTCTTCTCTCTTTGATAAATTTGTGTACGCTTGTCACGGACATGGGAAGAAAGGTCTGATCAAATATGTCCAGGTAATCGGACGGAATGGTGGTGAAGACACTCTTGCTCACTGGCCCAATGATCCAAATGTGATGACCATTGATGATGCTTCTTGTGAGGTTTTGAAGTACCTGGAAAAAATTTGGGGGTCCCTAACTTCTTCAGGTACGTATACTATTTAATCCAACACTCAATTTACATTATTGGATAGAAACATTTCATCCAGATATTTTGGAGTTGAAATCTCTGGTGATATTTTTTCCGGGTTTTGTAATTCTATCATCCAGATATTTTGGAGTTGCAAAAAGTGGCCTTTTTACCAGCTGCAAATGGAACACGCTTGGTGGGCGGAAGCTCCCTTTTTGTTCGCCTACCAATCAACCTATCACCTTTTGCTTTTGAACTTCCTAGTCTCTATCTACCTTTTCTGAAGATCCTTAAAGATTTGGGACTTAACGATGTTCTTTCAGTTGGTGGTGCAAAGGAAATCCTCTCCAAATTACAAAACGTATGTGGTTATCGGCGTCTGAACCCGAATGAGCTTCGAGCTGTTATGGAAATTCTTCATTTTCTCTGCGATGAAATAAATACGACAAAGGCACCCGATGATTCCACCGTTAAATCAGATGTGATAGTCCCAGATGATGGCTGCAGGCTTGTCCATGCACGATCTTGTGTTTACGTCGATTCCTTTGGGTCACGCTATGTGAAATACATAGATACCGCAAGGTTGAGACTTGTTCATCCACGTCTTCCGGAGAGGATCTGTCTAGATTTGGGTGTCAGAAAGCTTTCTGATGTGGTTATTGAGGTATGCATGTAATCGGTTTTTTTCTTCCCATGCTTTTGTTTTTATTATATATTCTGGATGTGACACGATCTCAAAATAATTGCATCTTTACGTAGGAACTTGAAAGTGCTGAATATATTCAAACCTTAGACAACATAGGGTCCATATCACTCAAGGCTATCAGAAGGAAGTTGCAGAGCGAATCGTTTCAAGCTGCTATATGGACTGTGAGCCGTCAGACCACAACCGTGGATGACTTATCTTTTGAAGATGTGCAACATTCTCTTCAATCTGCTGCAGAGAAAATTGAATTCGTCAGAAACATATACACTCGATTTCTTCTCCTGCCAAATTCTGTAGACGTTACCCTCGTGTCGAAGGAGTCCATGATTCCTGAATGGGAGAATGAATCGCATCATCGAACAATGTATTATATCAACCGTCACAGAACATCTATCTTAGTTTCTGAACCGCCTGGATACATTTCTTTCCTGGATGTCATGGCAACAGTGGTGAGCGAGGTTTTAGGCTTTCCAACTTCCCTGCCTATAGGATCTTTAATTTCATGTCCTGAGGGATCTGAAACTGAAATTGCCGCTTGCCTAAGACTGTGCCCTTATGCTCTTACAAACACCGGCGCAGCTGATAGTTCTATTGGCCAAGAGATAATGCCCCAGGATGCTGTACAGGTACAGCTTCACCCTTTGAGGCCATTCTACAAAGGGGAGATTGTTGCTTGGAAAATCCAACAAGGAGATAAGCTGAGATACGGTAGAGTCCCAGAGGATGTTCGACCTTCTGCAGGCCAAGCCCTTTATAGATTTAAGGTTGAAATGTCACCTGGAGAGACTGGTTTATTACTTTCATCTCAAGTTTTCTCCTTCCGAGGCACGTCAATTGAAAATGAAGGTCCCACGACTTTACCCGAGGTGATCCCAACAGTATCTGATGACAGATCTCAAGAAACTTCAGAAAGTTCCAGAACTAACAAAACAAGTTCTAGCCAGGTTTGTTACATTTCTCGTGAATTGTTGGATTCAATCATCTATACTTTTGTTCTTGCCCCCTATTTGGACATTATACATAATGAGACAAATGCATACTGCTTTTTTCTCCAAATGTCCAATTTTCTTGTGGTAGTTTGATCTTGTCTCTTGTTCTTAGGAAGATTGATTGTATTTGTTCTTTGTCACCTGCAGCCTATGAATGAAATGCAATATGGTCGAGTAACAGCTAAAGAGTTAGTTGGGGCAGTCCACGAGATGCTCTCTGCAGCTGGAATCAATATGGAACTGGAGAATCAGTCTCTACTACAAAGAACCATAACACTTCAAGAAGAACTCAAGGACTCTCAAGCAGCATTCATACTTGAGCAGGTTCGGTTACAATCGAAATCCTACATACTCAATACAGACATTATTGATCATAATGATTGATATAGCAAAGACATGTCATTGTCTCTGATTTTCTTGCAGGAGAGAGCAGAGGCTTCCCTGAAGGAAGCAGAGACCGCGAAATCACAATGGGTTTGTAAGATATGTCTGATCAAAGAAGTGGACATGACCATTGTCCCATGCGGACACGTCTTGTGTCGCGTATGTTCAGCTTCAGTCTCTAGATGTCCCTTTTGTCGCCTTCAAGTCACAAGAACTATCCGAATCTTCCGACCGTAATTAACACCAAATATCACCATTTATTTATCAAAGGTTTTGTCCTCTATACAACATTTTCTTGTGTATATAAGTATAGGGTATGTTTTCACTTTGTATCTTCTTCAAGTAAAGAAAACATTATTCCTAGCCGCGATCATCATGTCGTTTTCCCACTATACTCCACTTAACTAGGTCATAATCTGGAAACAAAATTAAGGCAAAACTTGAACAAAATTTACGGTCAAAACGTTTTAAATATAAAAATTCAGATTTTTACCATCTAAAATCTACAGATATCTAAATTTTTTAACTAATATAAACGATTATGAAAATATTAATTAAGTGCATATCAAACCATTCATAACAATGGTATTGTAAGAAAGTGTATAGATCAATCATATGGCGACATGTGTAAAAACGGTGGACTACGTAGACGTTAGATAACCACCACTCAGATAAGAAGGAGAGAGAAAGCATACACACCAAAAGGATATGTGTTCCTCCAGAGGCGCGAGAGAGCAGAGAAGAAGAAGAAGAATAAGAAGAACAAGCTTCAATGGCGTCTCTGCAACTCTGCGACGGTTACCTCCTCTTCAAGCCCTCTGTATCTCCTCGATTCCTCCCTAACCGCATCTCTCACCGTCTCATCCCTAAGGCCTCCGCTTCTTCACCATCACCGTCTTCGTCTTCGTCTTCCTCCTTGTCTCTAAATCGGAGGCAGCTTCTGTACCAATCTGCGGCAGTATCACTCTCGCTTTCTTCCATTTTCGGTCCGGTAAAAGAAGCTAAAGCTGATGAACAGTTATCGGAATGGGAAAGAGTGTTCCTCCCTATCGATCCCGGCGTCGTTCTTCTCGACATTGCTTTCGTCCCCGACGATCCCAGCCGCGGTAACTCTCTCTCTCTCTCTCTCTCTCTCTCTCTCTCTCTCTCTTCTTTTGTTTTTTCTTCATTTTCCGTTTTCCTCTCTGAGCGAAGAAGCTTAAGCTTAAGAGTGTCACTTACTGCTAATAACCAATTAGGGTTTTTACTGGGAACGAGGCAGACTCTCTTAGAGACCAAAGACGGTGGAAACACTTGGGCTCCACGCTCAATTCCTTCAGCTGAAGAGGAGGATTTCAATTACAGATTCAATTCAATCAGCTTCAAAGGCAAAGAAGGATGGATCATTGGCAAGCCTGCAATTTTATTGTACACTGCTGATGCTGGAGAGAATTGGGATAGAATTCCCCTAAGTTCTCAGCTTCCCGGAGATATGGTATATAGCATTTTTTCTCCTCCGTTTCCTTGAGAGATTATGGGTTTCTAGTGCTGTTTTTCGTCTATGAGAATGTCAAACCTTTTGTTACAATGTTGTAGGTGTTTATAGAGGCGACTGGTGACAAGAGTGCAGAGATGGTTACTGATGAAGGTGCTATATATGTAACTTCAAACAAAGGATATAACTGGAAAGCTGCTATTCAGGAAACTGTGTCAGCTACATTGAACAGGTTTGGAGCAAGTTTTTGAAATATTCAGTTGTTATGGAAGTCGAAATGTATATGTTTCGGAACTGGCATTGTGTTTTTGGGGAACTGTGCTTCTCGACCATTTTCAATAGAGACCCTAATTCTGTATTTTCTAATGGTCTTGCAGAACAGTCTCCAGTGGAATCAGTGGTGCTAGTTACTACACGGGAACCTTCAGTGCCGTTAATCGTTCACCGGATGGAAAATATGTTGCTGTTTCGAGCCGTGGTAACTTCTTTCTGACATGGGAGCCTGGGCAGGTGAGCCTCAGTTAACATCTCTTCTGATGTTAAACTTATAGTCCTTTTGCGACATAGCACTTGGTCAAGCTCAGTCAGTTTTCTCATGGCTGAATTCATTTCAGCCGACTATTTAGCACTAATTGGATAAAATGTAGAGTATAGTATAGCATGTATAACAATCAATCCATCGGATTTATGATCTAAGTAATTAGTGGTAAGAAGAGTCAAGTACGGTGTCTAGGCTACCAAAATCATGCGTCTTACATGTGTGTGTTTGGTTGCTCTTAAAAACGTCATTCACCATAACATTGGTACATTGCAGCCTTACTGGCAACCACACAATAGAGCTGTTGCCCGAAGAATTCAGAACATGGGATGGAGAGCTGACGGTGGTCTTTGGCTTCTTGTTCGTGGAGGAGGACTTTATCTTAGCAAAGGCACTGGGGTAAGTACTGCTAGAAGTTTCTCCTCACCCTCAACATTTTTATCTTCCAATGTTCCAATCAATTCTATATCTGACTTTGTTCTCCACTGTCTTAATTAATTGTTGTGTAGATCTCAGAGGAGTTTGACGAGGTTCCAGTTCAAAGCCGTGGCTTTGGCATTCTAGATGTTGGTTATCGCTCAGAGGTACATGAGTTTACGCAACGATCATTCAAATCTTTGAATTCGGCTCAGATATTAACACCAATATTTGTTGTTGTTGTGTGATTGCAGGAAGAAGCATGGGCAGCAGGAGGCAGTGGCATTCTACTGAGAACGAGAAATGGAGGCAAGTCATGGAACCGTGACAAAGCTGCTGATAATATCGCAGCTAATCTCTACGCGGTCAAGTAAGTCTCTAATCAAACTTCAAAACACAGCCTTTTGACTAGCTTACAGTTCCTCCTGATCCATCTCAACCCGTTGCTCAAACTAATTTCCATCTGTTTTGGTAGATTTGTTGATGACAAGAAAGGGTTTGTGCTTGGCAATGATGGAGTCTTGCTCCGATATGTTGGATGAAGAAGGCTGCAATTAAAAAGGTGAATTAAAAAGGCTGCAACGATTGTGCTTGACAAGAAATCGTTTTGTCTCAGTCTTCTCTGTAAAGCGTTTGCTGCGTTTTGATACTGCATTACACTAATGTGTACACTCCCTTCATTAAATATATAAAGTTGTTTATCTTGTTTCTTGTGGAAAGCAGTGTTTGACTGTTAGTTGGATATTGGATCTAATCTGTGCTTATAAGTTATTTTCAGCAAATAATCATTATTCAATTAATTATATACAAATATTTGTTCTTACTTGAAAAACGGTTTATCCAGTGGAGAAATATATACAAATATTAATAAATTTTTTGTCAACCTTGATTCCATAATTTAATATCACGTGTCATTAAGAGAAACATAAAATAAATGGTAAATGTATATCAACTTTGTTTTGTGTAAATTTATTTATTTTATTGTAGCATCAGTTATTTGTTTTTATAAATGGTAACGCGGTTTTATTTTTCACATTAATTAATCTGTTCTTCGTTTTTTTGTAAAAGAAATAAAAGGAATATAATTTTGTGTCGCTCCGGTGGCGACGAGAGGGAAGAGAGATCTCTCGTTCGTTTTTCCCGGAAAATCCGGCAAGAAAAAGTTACATCGAACCTACGAGAAAATTCGTCCCTTTTCACTCCACGAGTTTTCACCTCTCTTTCTCAATCTCTCAGCGTCTCTTCCTCGTTTCTCGTCTCCGCTTTTTCCCCCCTTTTCCTCTTCGATTTCACCGGAATCCGAAAATTCTGATCAGATCTAGTTTAGATTGTATAGAGCAATGCTTACGGATCGAGGGAGACGGATTTCTGTTTGCAATGGAACTCTCGAATATAGCAACAGAAAATTCCGTGGTGATAATGGTTACGGATTCGTAGATCGATCGTCACCGACCTCTGCTTCCAAAATCCTGCGTATCTCGTCACCGACCTCTTCTCCACCGTCGTCGACTTCTTCCGCCACCGTGACTTGCTCCTTCTCCACCGGCGCTGGCTATATCGAACACCGGGTCTCCAAGTTCGATACACTCGCCGGCATTGCTATAAAGTATGGTGTTGAGGTATACTTTCTGTGTTTTTTGGCTGTAAATTAAGCTTGCTATGATATGATCGAAATTGTAAATGCTTTTGCGTTTTGACTCTAACTATTACGTTTCCACCAGAAAATTTGATTGTCGAATTCGTGTAGTGATAAAGGAATTGAATTTTTTTTCTGAATTATAACATAGTGAGGAAGGTATTCGAAAGCGATAGAAATAAATAGTAAAGAGCCACCTTTTTAGATAATAATGGAGTTGAATTTAAAAGTTGGAAGCAATTCTTCTCGTGAGCCCTCACTATCGCAATTTTTCTGAGCTTATGCTTTTGGTGCTGGATTAGGTCTAATTTCCTTTTATTGTTTACTTGTATCCTAAAAATTTCATTTTTCAGGTTGCAGATATCACGAAGCTGAATGGGCTTGTAACTGATCTTCAGATGTTTGCTCTCAAGTCTCTCCGGATACCATTACCTGGGAGACATCCTCCTTCTCCATGCTTATCTAACGGCTCCTTATATCATGGGTACTTTTAGCCTCTTGATCCTCTGTTTTACATATTTTATTTGTATGCTAATTAGAAGGCCTTACTCTGTGACCTGTTAAACAATCTCATAGAACCTGGTTATTGTAAAACCAAGAACATGCTTAACGAAGGAGTTGTTTCCGTTGGATAGTGCTTAAGTAATATGATAAGAAACCAAATGGCTACAACTGACCCTTGTAAATGAGCAGATTCTGTTGGGAATCGACACACTTAACTAGAGCTTTGAATCTGTTGGTTTTGCATTTAAAGTAATCCTATCTCCATGATTGAAAGATGAAATCTTCTTGCAGAGAGGATTGTTCTGAGCAAGCTTCATCATCAGCAAACAATGGCAACCTCCAAGACGTATATGAGTCCTTCCAGTCTTTGAGGCTGAAGCCTTCAGAAACGAAGATTTCTCCAGCCATGAGCTCCTTGCAAGGTTACTATGGACTGAAACCAAGAAACAGAAGGGCTTCTGAAGGTTTAGAGATGGCAGTTTACAATAAAGAAGCTTCTCATCTCCAAGACGATGATCAGTACCTCACACCTTTCCCAGCCACCAACACTCCCTTGAATCACCACAGAAAATCGAGAAGCTTGGTAGATGCAGTTATCGCCGAGGTGAACCAATCGTCCAACCCGTCAAAGGCAGGAGGAGAAGTGAATTCTGATAAGCCAATGAGAAGACGCCAAAAATCCGAAGCCGATTTCACTTCTCGAGCTCCAGAAATGCTTTTGAAGAAGGAGAACAGAAGCAGCAACGGCGCGTTTTCTGCAATAGCCGGGAAAGGTTTAGCTCTGAGAACCAAAGCAGCAAGCAGAACTAACTTGTCAGCAGATACCGAGACCAGTAATTCCAATCCTGTACCAGTCAATTTGATGGAAGCTCCTGTTGTGGGAGACAGCTTCTCAAGCGTGAGGAAATCATTTAGCGCTTCTAGTCTGCAAGAACCGGACTGTAACAGCAACGGTCCATCACTATGGCCAACCTCGAAGTGGACCCTGAAAGCTGATTTGCTCACACAAGCAGCCTTGACGAGCTCTATCTTTGACGGATTGCCTAAGCCTTTAACTGGTCGGAGACACAAAAAGGCTGTGGACTAATGTCAGTTAGGTTTCCTCGGTGACGTTATTGACTGTCCTCTTTGGGTTCTGTTAATCCAAAAGGAAGAAGCTAATAGATGTAGATGGAGGGAGTAAATAGAAAGTACAGTGTATTATTATTGCATTGTATTGCCCATTAATTTAAAAACAAGAATGCAATTGGTTGTGAGTGAGAGTGCATCAAAGGATTTTTGTTTTTGTTGGAATTCACAAGTAATAAAAAACTTACAGTGATTGCCATAGAAGATAGATAGCAAAAAAATTATGTTTTCAAAGCCGAAAAAATGGTATAATTTTTTGTTTTTCTGAACCAAATGAAGTAGTTAATGTGAAAATTCATGATTGCTGTGTTTGTGGTTCATCTGCAGAAATTTATTTTTGCTCTGTAATCATTTTCCCAATAAACAAAAGAAGAGAAAAAACAAATCGAGGAAAAAAAAAAGGTACAAATAAATCTGAAATCCCTAACCTCGAGAAAGCACCCCCGAATCGAGTTTCATTTGCTCGAGCATTCACTCTTCCACTCTCTCTGAGCAGAAACAACGCTTGAATTCCGATGATGAGGGGTCTTGTTTCCGGCGCCAAGAGGCTATCAGCTCCATCCTTGATGGCGACAACCACGGCCTCTACGAGAAGAAGCTACAGTCTGATTCCGATGGTTATTGAGCATTCATCGCGAGGAGAGAGAGCTTACGACATCTTCTCTCGATTGCTCAAGGAGCGTATTATCTGCATCAACGGTCCCATCAATGACGACACCTCTCACGTCGTCGTCGCCCAGCTTCTCTTCCTCGAGTCTGAGAATCCTTCGAAGCCGATCCATATGTATCTCAATTCACCAGGCGGCCATGTCACCGCCGGTACGCTTTGCTTTCCATTTTCCATTTTTTCTTCTTCTTATGTTTAGCTTCGTCAAAATTCTGGATTGGGAATGGAATTGCTAAATGGCGCGACTTTGTCGATGCTTGTATTGCTTAGTTCGTACTTGGTATAGTAGAGTATGTTGTTCGTCGATTTTGGTTCCTCTGTGGATTTGGGTATTTTTGTTCACCGATCAAAAGCCTCTATCTTTTAGAGGCTTTTATCACTTGATTCATGCAATGAGTCTACTGCTGAAATGTATGGCAGCTACTAGCTTGAGAAAATTTTAATTATTGTTATAAGTTCTCTAGTAAATCCACTCCTCGTTGCTGTTAATTTCAGTGTCCACGGTCTCATGATTGTCTGGTTTGTGACGAGTTGACATTTTCTTAGTCTCAAATATCGTTTCCCATGTGTTTTGTGATCCATCATTTATCATTTATCTTTGATGCAGGTCTTGCAATTTATGATACTATGCAGTACATTCGTTCTCCGATAAGCACAATTTGTTTAGGCCAGGCTGCATCAATGGCTTCTCTTCTCTTGGCAGCGGGTGCAAAGGGGCAGAGGCGGTCGCTGCCAAATGCAACCGTTATGATTCATCAGCCTTCAGGAGGATATAGTGGGCAAGCTAAGGATATAACGATTCATACAAAGCAGATTGTTCGTGTGTGGGATGCGTTAAATGAACTGTATTCCAAACACACTGGTCAACCTATTGACGTGATTGCAAAGAACATGGATAGGGATCATTTCATGACTCCTGAAGAGGCTAAGGCGTTTGGAATAATCGACGAAGTAATTGATGAAAGACCGTTGGAGTTGGTGAAAGATGCGGTTGGAAATGAAAGCAAAGATAAGAGTTCAAGTTAGGAAGTAACTGGTAATCAAAGTAATAAATTTTCTTCTTTTCCCTTACCAGTTTTGCTTTGCTTCAATTAGATTACTTTTTTCTATGGATAAGATTATGCTCTGCAGGGCACAATCTCTTAAAACTGTTTTTTATTCTTTCATATATGGATCATGACTATATTTCAGAACTCTTTACCTTGCATGTTTACACAGTCTCAAATCTGATTTTAGTTAATTGAATAATTGGATAAAGAGCGGCCCTGGGTCTCAAAATTCATTGTCCAGTCAGATCCGATACACTCTTTTGATTTAACTAGAAAGTCTAGAATGGTGAGATAAAATCATGTGTCTGCTGTGGTCTGCTGGTTTTTAGGGTTTTGATCAAAATTCTTGGCTGCATTAATTTTTGGTTATTTTGTGTTTAGAACACCATCAGATTCTTATGGTAGCCATTGGACTTTGATTGTGCTCTGAGAAATTAGGGAGAGGCTCTTAAGAAAACTCATGTCATCTTTAAGGAGTCTTGTCTTGATGAGCTGAGCATTTGATGACCAGTGTTTGCTTCTTTTGTTTCTTGGACAGTATAACCCTCATAAAAAAGTTTTAAAAATTCAATCATATTTGTGTTATAGTTTATTTTCTGTATTATATATATATATATATATATGGTTTTGGTGTTCCTATGGAAGCGTGAAGGAAAGGAAGTACTATTTTACAATAAATAGAACAAAAAAAGAAGGAAATATTGATTTGTATGACCAATGTGTTAAATATTTGTTTAGGAATTAGTAGTGAGATTAAACTATACAATTTGGAAAATAAGAAGAAATTGGATTCGATTGGATCTCTCCATCTGTAAAAAAAAAAAGAAAAACGAGAAGGGGAAGAAAACGCCGACAACAGTAACCCAAGTTCTCAGACAAAATTCCTCGCAAAGTTTTTCGTTCATCTTTTAGCCCTAACCAGTAACCACCATCATCGTCTCTCGCGACCGCCTCAATCTATCTCAATCTCTGAATCAATCCCTCTTTTTCTCTCTCTCCCGCTCCGTCGCTGTCCGTGATCTCTTGCTGTCTCCGCTGTCAATCAGCGAAGCTTTCTTCCTCCGGTGGAATTGATCATCAATCTCCGGATTGGAATTTGAGTCTCTTCTTGGTTCTCGGCGTTGGATTGAAATCCGCAATTCTGCTCGGTGCTGCTGTTTTTGCGCTCAAAATTAGGGTTTATAGCGGTCTCGCCTATGGCTCCTGGGCGTAAAAGAGGAGCGAGCAAGGCCAAGGCCAAGGGGCAGTTGATTCTCGGTGATCTGGTTCTTGCCAAAGTCAAAGGCTTCCCTGCTTGGCCTGCCAAGGTACCCTTTTCTCTTCCTTCTCTCCGCGTTTCTGATTTCTGAACTGGATTTTTTTTTCTTCTCTAATTCATTCCCTCTGGCATCTGATGATGGTACACATTTAACTTTGTAAAAATTATTTGGGTTTCTCTTTATTTTGCTGCGTAGCCAATGTTCGGAATACGTACGTTGATGAACTCTAGTGTTCTTCTGTCAGTTAAATTGTTACTCCGTTAGTTGAATTATGAAAAAACTTATATGTTAAGAAAGGTTTCATCTCGGTAACTACAGAGCGTGAGGATCTTTTGAATTCGTTTTTCTTTAGCTGGTCTCGTTGGTGAAGGAATTTGATTTTGAGTTTCAGGTCAGCCGGCCTGAAGACTGGGATCGTGCGCCTGACCCAAAGAAGTACTTTGTTCAGTTCTTTGGAACACAGGAAATGTAAGCAAGTCCCTTATATATATGTACAGATTTTTGGTTAGTTGATCCATGTTATTTCAAAATTCTGGTACCTTCTCATCTAGAAAGATATATTAACTGTGTTCAGTAGATAATGTTGCTAGAATTAGGCAGTAGATCTCGGTGATCAGGTGTTCTCTTACCTAATTGAAATTTCACCTTTTCTCGCCATGTTACCATCATAGTTTGGTTGATCTTTTTTGGCTTACTGTATCTTTGGAGTTGGCTTGTCCCTTGCATAGTGATCATTGTCCCTTGTATCCTCTACTGCAGAGCTTTTGTTGCACCGCCTGATATCCAAGCCTTCACTAGTGAGGCAAAGAGCAAACTATTAGCAAGATGTCAGGGTAAAACAGTCAAGTTCTTTGCTCAAGCTGTGACGGAAATCTGCACCGCATTCGAAGAGTTGAAAAATCACAAGTCAAATGGTTTGGGGAGTGAAGATCCCATGGATGCTGCTGAGCCTGATTTGACGAAGGCTGAGATAGTAGATGGAACCGATCATATATTTACTGAGTCTGATGGAACTGGTAACTTTGATTCTAGGACGGATCCATGCTTCCCCAAATTAGATAAGAGTAGTGGTGAAGAGACAAAGGCTGAGATAGGGACGCGAGATTCATCTTCATTTCTGGGATCAAAGATCACATCCTCGGGTAGCGAGTCACTGGAGAGTGGTTCATGTGACCCCAAAATAAAGGAAAAGGATTTTGCTAAAGGGACTGACGGTGATGGTTGCATTGAACATTTTGGTAATGGCCAAAAGAATCTGGCCGCCAACGGTAAGAGGATAAAGAAGCTAGCAGGTAGCACGGACAGGAAAGGTGAAGATCCAGTTCATAGGGACAAAAGCACTAGCTCACATGTGCCAGATGGTCGTGTTGCTAGTGGTAAATCTGATTCCAAAAAGTCAAAAGGTCTGTTGACAGAGAAATCTAGCTCCAAAGTGTCTGGAGGTAAGCATGAAAATTCACCTGGCTTCAAGGGTGGGGTTTCCGGCAAGAAAAGGAGGCTTGAGAGTGAACACCCTGCACCAAGAGTAGATGAAAGCTCACGTGCTGCTAAAAAGCCGCGATGTGAAGGTACGAATGACAAAGAAAAGTATGAAATTGATAATAAATCTGATTCTGCTGGGACTGTATCAGATATGAAGCGTGCAATTGTTTTAGGATTAAGTGCTCATGGAGGAGATTTACAATATGATAAAGAAGTAGTTGCATATACAAAGCGCCGCAGACAAACAGTGGAGCATGCTACCTCTCCTCCTGGGTATCATGATAAATCCGAGAAAGGTCAACTGGAACAGAAAGACCATTCCTCTTCTGTTAGTGATAAATCCGGGAAAGGTAATCTGGAACAGAAAGACATTTCCTCTTCTGTTAATAATGCTAAGGTCCCAGGTGCACAGTCGCTGAAAAAACGGAGGGCTGTTTGTATTTATGACGAAGATGATGATGATGATCCAAAAACCCCTTTACACGGAAGACAAGCCGCTGTTCCCAAAGCAACATCAGTTTTGACTGATGGTCCGAAAAGTGTTAAGATATCTGCTGGATGTACAGAGAGTACTGGACTAAGGAAAGGACCTCTGCGTAAACATCGTGAGGATGCTTCACGCGTATTATCAGATAATGTGGAGAATTCTACTAACCGCTTACACATGGTAAAACCCATCAGTGAATTGCCGCCAAAAGATATCAAGCAGATCTTGCGATCTCCTAAGATGTCTCCTCAGCTGGTTTCGACGAACAAGTATGTTGCAGGACAGCAGAAAGCGACAAAATCAGATGTCAAAGTTTCTGGTGTTGTGATGGCAAAGAAGCCTAAGAGTGATTCTTGTAAGGAGGCAGCTACGGAATCTGATAAAGTAAGCTCTTCTCAGTTTCAGCCAGAAAATCAGAGACACAAACCAGCTTCAATTGCAGATAGGCCAATAGTGGTTCCAAAAGCTGCGCTACGTTTGAATGATGCTGGTGTTTCAAGAGACACTTCTGAGGACTTGTCTGCTGGCATGTATGTCACATTCTATCTGTCATATTTCTTTTGTTTATGTCGTCTGTTGCTTATAAATTTTTTCCTTTTCCAGGCTTGATATTACTCGAGAAAACTGGAGTGCTCCATATATCAGTTCGAGGACCCCAGATTCGGCTGCATCTATGAAGGAACTAATTGCAGCTGCACAGGCCAAAAGAAAACTAGCACATTCACAAAATTCAGTTTTTGGGAGTTTGAACCCTAGTTTCTTAAGCGTCAGTGATACACAGATGAGGAGCCATAGCCCATTTATGGTTCAGAATGCTTCAGCCTCAGCTGCCATCCCAATGCCTTTAGTTGTTCAAGGACATCAACAAGATTCTTCTCCGTCAAATCATGGGCATCAGTCCTCATCAAGAAATCGAAATGAGACTGATGATAATGAAGAGAGAAGACTTAGTTCAGGGCATAAGTCAGTTGGAAGTTCACTTAGTGGTGGCACGGAGGCTGCTGTTTCTCGGGATGCTTTTGAGGGCATGATAGAGACCTTATCAAGAACTAAGGAAAGTATCGGACGTGCAACACGGCTAGCAATTGACTGTGCCAAGTATGGGATCGCTAGTGAGGTAAGATGGTTGGTTTTCATTAAGTTTTGTCTTAAGGCCATCAACAAACTTAGTGTGACGCTGCACATATAAAATCAATATAGAGTTGCACTTTTCCCGGCTTAACTTATTGATGTTAGCTTGCTACGTTAGCTGCTTTGACTAAATTTTTTACCGCATTTGACATGTAATATTTATACAGGCAATAGTTGTTTTAATTGGGTAATTTGTTTGTGTTTATATTTAGGTGGTGGAACTTCTCATACGGAAACTGGAAAGTGAACCTCACTTCCATCGTAAAGTGGACTTGTTCTTTCTCGTTGACTCGATCACCCAGTGTTCACACAACCAAAAAGGTGAACTTTCTACTTGAATGGATGCCATACCTGTTCTCAATTATATCAATTCCTTGAAATGGTAATAGTATTTGGATTTTTCAATTCCTTGAAATGTTAATAGTATTTTATTATTATTGACTACTTTCAAAGAGAACACCTAATATATTTTATTTTCAGAAACTATCTTTACCGAAAAATATTAAAATTATTTCTGTTTGTAGGAATTGCTGGTGCTTCGTACGTTCCCACAGTGCAAGCGGCTTTGCCACGTCTTTTAGGTGCTGCTGCTCCTCCAGGGACCGATGCTCGTGATAACCGTCGTAAATGTCTGAAGGTACTTTTATTATTTGCTCGTGTCCAGGTTATCCTTGCCTTTTTGTTGGCTGGAGTCAGTGACCTCGTCGCTTTGTTTAGGTTCTGAAGTTGTGGCTTGATAGAAAAATATTCCCTGAATCTCTTCTTCGTCGTTACATTGATGATATTGGAGCTTCTGGTGATGATGCAACCATTGAGTTCTCCCTGCGACGTCCTTCTAGATCGGAGCGTGCTGTAGATGATCCTCTTAGGGAAATGGAAGGGATGCTTGTTGATGAGTATGGCAGGTATGCTAAACGCTTGTCTTGCTTTGTAGACTTGTAGTTTACTATCTGGGATTTATATATATATCGCTGGGCTTTATAAATATCGCTGATGGCAAAAGAACTTGCAAAGTCAGGAAATTTATATCAGTGAAAACCTGATAGAAATGAGTTCATTGTCATTCTGTCGAGTGTTTATGAACGTATTTGCCAATTTTCTGCAGCAATGCAACTATTCAGCTGTCTGGGTTTTTTTCTTCTCATACTTTCGAAGATGATGAAGAAGATGACGATCTTCCAGCATCACAAAAGGAAAAAATTACATTTGCTGGGGAATCTTTCAATGCTTTAGATGACTTGGAAGTACGTGATACCTCGAGTGATAGACGCCGAGTTTTGGAGGATGTAGATCATGAACTTGAAATGGAAGATGTATCAGGTCAGCGGAAAGATTTAGCGTCTTCCTCTTTCTGCGAGAATGAGACAAAGGAGCAGTCACTGGATGTTAGGGAACTGATCACAGAAAAGACAATCGAGGTGCCTCCTCTTCCAGAGGGTTCTCCTCCGCTACCTCGTGAATCACCTCCATCCCCTCCTCCTCTACCTCCTTCTCCCCCACCTCCATCCCCACCCCCTCCGCCTTCATCTCCACCTCCATTGCTGCCACCACCACCTCCCACGGCGCAATTTCCACCTCTTCCTCCACCTCCGTCTCAGCCTCCACCACCACCGCCCCTTTCACCTCCACCTTCGCCGCCACCTCCACCTCCACCGCCTGCACAATCTATAGCTTTACCACCATCATTAACAAGTCAACCGTCCATAGCCAGCCATCATCAGTTACCACGTCAACTAGGATTTCCTCTTCCAGCATATCCATTATCGCATCAAACATACCCAGCATCCATGCAGCAAGACCGCTGTAGCATTTTCACTGTAAAGTTCTTTGATTTACTCTGTTTGATGTTACTCAAGCTCCTCATGTACATTTGCCTTTTTTATCAGTTATGTTTAAATGCATGGGCATCATGTGCAGGGTGATCAAATTGTCCAAGGGCCTGGAAGTTCTTCACGTGGAAGTCATGTTGAGGGCGTTGCAAAAACTGAGTTTTTCATGCAGCAGTCATCTAATTTTTCTCCAGCTGGAGTGTGCAGCTCCAGAGAGCCTTCAGCATTTACTTCCTCCAGACAACTAGAATTTGGGAACAGCGATGTACTTTTTAATTCTGAAGCTTCTTTGCAGAACCAACGGTTTCAGCCGAACACCCCTCTGTCCCAAAGACCTATGGTTAGGAATCTGCCTTCAGCACCGTCCAGTCATTTTCCGTATTCAAACCATGTTCAATCACAATCCCAGCATTCCTACACTCATCCTTACTCTTTCCCACCTCAACGCGATGATGGACGACGATATAGAAATGAGGAGCCATGGCGGATGCCTTCAAGTGGACATAGTGCAGAAAACCAGAATGGTGCTTGGATGCATGGAAGAAATCCACATCCAGGCCTTCCCAGAGTGACAGACAGTATGTAGATGCTTGAATCCTTATAGACTTTTAACTGTTGAGGTTTATTAATTTACATGATTGCTTGTGAGCATTGTAATACATTTGTTGATTATGATTGTCCAGCTTTTATGTTTGTGTCATGGCTATCCTTGTGATTGATGGTCTTATTTGATATTAACCAGGTTTCTATCGGCCACCTCTAGAACGTCCACCTTCAGTGACAATGAGCTATCAGCCTTCTGCTGCTAGTAATTTGCCACCTGTGTCTGCAATTCCAGGTGAGACTATCTCAGCTAATACATCTGATTGTAGACTCACAAAGACTTAGTCAAAAAACTTTGTTCTTGCCTTACCATTTTAAATTACGCATTTAAGGTCATGCTGCTTCCCAGAAGCTACCATCTCGGCCAGACATACCTACCGCTAATTGTTGGAGGCCAGCTTGAAGGAAAGGTAGAATTTCGGTTGCCTGCTCCTGTTAGTATCAATGGAAAAGAAGCTGCGAGATTAACAAGGTTAATCCTCTAGGTTTGAGTTTTTAAATTCTAAACTTAAGTCAGTGTTGTCATCAAACAGTTACAGTTATACATACTTTCTCTTTCATGGAGGAATTTTTCGGATATATCCACTTCCAGAGGCATCAAAACTACTGCAGACTTTTGCCAGGATTCTGTATATTGTATTTTTTCCTGACAAATGTATCTGGGGAACATATTCTTCATAGTACAGGTTTTTGTTTTTTAATTGGTTAGTACTTACGTTCCTCAATTCCTGTAATTATGCCAATCACAATGTGCACAAAGCTTTTCCTGGTTAAATGAATTTTGAACTTCATAGAGTTTTTTTGTTTCATTCTCTAAGCTCTGTAGTTAGTCTTTCATAAATAATCTTTGCTGATCTCTGAGAAATCACATTAAAGAATACGCAGTTAAAGAGTATATTTGACTAGTGAAGCAGAACTTGGTGGCAAGAATATTCAGTGCAAGCCTGTGTTTGCTCCTTGTTGGTTCCCAAATTAGATACCTATGTCTTAGTCTGTATCTTTTTGTTTGAATGAGTAACGTCCCTTTAGGTCCAGGTATGTGGTAGTTCCTATTACATTTTCTATTGGAGACCTCCCATACATTAGCCTTCTTAAGTTTCTTCACCACAGAGGAATTCCCTTCAACATTTCTTTATTCTTTCTTGTAAATTTGTGTTCTCATGTCTTTCTCTTCTGGAGATAAGCCATTTCCCGCTGCCTCGTATATTTAGCAGGAACAAGAAGTATTGCGAGTCCAGCCAGTCCATTTCACAAGTATCTCCATATTGCTATCTTGTGCACTGCTGATCTGAAGAAGTATATCGAAGACTTGTGAGGTACTGCTCCTTATTGCTTGTCTGAAAATATATGTTCTCCACTCAAGGCATATGTGTTTTAGTAACATAAAGAGGTTTTGGTTCTTAATTATGGTGAGCACTTGAAGAAGTGTTTTTACCGTTTGATTTCTCAAAAGAGCCATTTATTTTTCATTTTTTTTGCAATTACATATTCGAGATGTTAGAGGTTTGAAAGAAAGTTTGGCCTTTACCTAGTTTCAAATTATGTTGGCAACTTGGGAAAGGATTTGAGTTACTTGGCTGTGAGCTTATGGTGTTCCTTGCTAGGCTTGGGACAGGCTGCTACTCCTATGTCAGTGTGTTCAAAACAACAGCCTTCTTAACATGTTTTACTAAGCATGTGTTTGCAGCTGCCTCTCACGCCTGTCGTGTTTAATTGTCATGAACTTACCCGTTTATGTGGTACTGGCCATCGGGGTTGCACATGTGAATATGTGTGCTATTTTTAGGATTTGCTCAATAGCTTACAATCTTTGGTTTTGAGAAAGCCTTTCTCATATATATCTCTTCAAAGTGGTGTAGCCCTTCTTTTAAATATGGGTTTGTGGCGTTGATGCGACTTACTTGTTCTTTGACTAATGTCTCTGGGTTTCAATCCCTATTTTCCATAGGTTTTTTACCGCACCTTGTCCTAACCACTAGATATGGTTAAGATAAACAAGCCTCTTCTTTAGCAATCCATTCCAGTCCCCGTTTTTTTGTTTTTTGTTTTTATTTTTATAAATTTTACTCACATCTTTTTTTATATAAACAAGTCCATAGATAATTATTAATTATTTATTCATTAATAGTATATATAGTAGTTACTTTTTATAGTTTTATTTACTTGATTTCAATTATTCTTTTGCACTCCTTATGTGTTTGTTTGTATTGCTTTTATTGGACAAGTCGAAGCACTTAATTTGCTCCAGTTAGGGTCTGAAGATTGTAATTCAGTGCTTATTTTGCTCAATGTATAAGCTCCCTCTCGACCATTCCTATATTAATTTGTCAAACCACTGCTTGCTTGTTCTGTGAAGTACATTCATGTTGGGTAACATACTTAAATTAAGTCGTAGATGGGAATCAGGGACATAATCTCATCACATGTTTCACGATGAACAGCAAGAATTATGCTTTAGAACATAACAAATTGATGTGGACAAAGAAGTATCAGTGATTGAGAGGGATTCAGTATTACATGTTTAATCTCTGGTTCTTGATAGAGTCGACTATTTTGAGGGTATTAAGTACTAGCAACTTGCAGTATATGCAAATTCTCATCTCTAAGAGCATTCACCAGAGAAATTACATAGTTGCAGCACCAGATGGTCGAGTTCACTGTTTTTTGTCTGGTCAAACTACCCCATCTACGGTTAGCTTCTTGGTATATGCAGTAAGTCGCCTGTTGTTTGTGTTGTCTCATTAAATTTTGGGGGATAGATTTCTATATACTTGTGTTTGTGCTGACTTCAGTTGCGAGAACATCTCTTCTTAAAGGTGTTGAGTGACTTGTGTCGTGCAACAGGCTTTTGATACAAAGTTGAACCACCTCGAGCGATGGGAATCATGGTGGTGGGAAATAAGTGTGGATGATACTCATGGTCGGATTATGCAAAAGCTTGATGTAAGAAACTTCTCTTGTTCTTACACTCTTGTCTTCTTTGTAGTGTACAGTGGACTACAAAGAACATTAAGAGCACATATAACGGTATGTTCCCTGTAAACATAGACAATGTGATTCTGTAAGATAGGTGGATCGTCTACTTTGAAATAGCTACAACAAAACCCTGGTTTATTGCGAGTTGGTTTTTCAGGTGTTGAAGTTGTGAGATTGGTTCGGGAGCTGAGAGTTGCTGGTCTTCGGGAACAGACTAGGCTTTAGAAGATTGAGATCTCTGCTTGACAGTCGAGTTTCTCAAGTTCGGAGGTCAGTTTTTTCGTCATTGATAAACATTAATTAGGACTACCTTGTTCCGACTCTTTTAACAGAGGGAAAGTAAAATAAGGCCAAATATGGTGTCGGTGAATGTTGGTATATTATGCCAGAAATGTTGTTTTACAAAACTAATCAATAGGGCTTTCAATTAACAGAGTTTAAAATTCATCAGACTAATCTTGTAACCAAACGATTAGGCCTTGTAACATGTTATTTTTACTCGATTAATAAAGTTAATTCAAAGTTTTTGCTCAAAAATGTGTTGCTTTTTTCCGTGGTTTCCAAAGGCCATTTTTACCTTTTTAGCATCACTTAGCGCCAAAATATATGCTTGTTTCACCCCCAAATCTGATCAACCCTAATTCTACCCAAACTCATCATTGACAGTCCCTTTATATCTGTAGCAATCCTGAATTAAAAAACTGGAAACGTGGTTAAGACATTGATTAAGCAGAAGAATGCGTGGGGACAGTTATGCAAATTTTGTCACGCTGTGTCAAATATTATGGAAGTCCAGACTGTTGGATTTGAAAGTATTTAAAAATACAATATATATACTGTATATTGACAATGGATTTTGGAAAGTGTGTGCACGCATGAATGTGTGATTTGTATCAATCGTGATGGTATATACATTTTTTTAATGTGCATACACATTCGCCATGTCAAAACAAAAAGAAAAATTTAGAAGATACTACCAAACAAAATCAACGGATGAACAAGAAATTACGTCTATAATAGAGGAAAACAATAAATAAACAAAACAAGTAGAAAAATATATTAAAACGTGGTCACAGTGAAACGCGGTGTTGCCGAACAAGAAATCCTTCCAAAACGACTTTTTTCTTATAGGCCTCGGAGTTCAAATCCAAATCACCCGGAAACGATACACCATTCGCTTTGCCGCCACCACTGCGTTTGCGTTTGGCCGCAATCGCAGCTTCTTTGAGACGAGGAAGAAAGTAACACCAAGTGGATGTACAAAGAATCGCGCACAAACGTCCCCACATCAACATTATCATTAGCGTTAGCATTATGATTATTATCCCGATTACCGGGTCAACCCGCGACACTTTCCTGACCAGTGACGACTTCTTTTCCTTCGACTCCTTCGGCTTTGACCCGAACCCGACGGTTTTAACCGGGTCGAGTTTCCCGCCATGAACTGTAGTCCACGCCCGTACATCGTGACATGTGTAGTATCCTGAGAAACTCAGTGGATCCGGGTTTATGTCTCTTACTTCGTTAGTGTCTTTCTGGAAAATGAAAAAAAAAAAAAAAATAACAGAATTATTCTCTAATAATTAGTTATATATTTTTTTCGAAATGAAGTGAAAAATATGATAGGAATAAGCAAGTAAATAAGAAAAATTCTCTATGTTTGTTTTCTAAAAGACATTTAGTTACATTAAGGAAAAATAAAGAAATAAGTACCTCTTTAGTTTCCTGTCCAACGGCAACGTTATTCTTCCGATCAGTAACTTGACGTATCACCTGAAACAGATTTTGCTTATCATCTTCAATAGTCAGGTTCTGTTTCTGCGTCTCGTAGATCGTTGTCGTTGTGATCTCGCCGTTCTTAAAACGAAATTTTGTCGCTCGCGAGAACCAACGACTTCTCGTCTTCTTCTTCTTCTTCTCTTGGCCAATTTCTACCATCGGTTTGTCTACGTGTATTTTCCGGCAGATCCCAAAACAACGAAGAAAATAAGAAGACGAAGAGCAGACTCTCTCTCTCGCTTTCCTCTCGGGTTTGCCCATTGAAGTTGAACTTGAATGGAATCCAAGGATCGAGAAATATTGTAATAATGTTTCAGAGTCTTTGAATTTATATAATCAATGATTCTGAACGGTTGTAAGTTATCCCATTTTTGAATTAATTAGAAATTAGTTTTAGTGTTCGCACGCTTTCGGAAATGCGATGAATATATATACTTATTTATCTAAAGTCTCCAAGTATTCGAAGTATTAAGGTCATGCCTTAAAAAAAAAAAAAATACAATGTCCTAACTTATAATCCTAACTTATCAAAACAGGAGTATATAGGTTATTACAAAAGATCACTGATAACTATATCATTTAACTTAACTATTTTTTTTTCTTGAGGTCGATCATTTTGTTTTTGGTTACAGTTTATGATGGTCGATCATATATTAAAAAAAAAAACAATTGAAAATAAATCATAAATTTGACGTTTTAGAATATGTCCGACCTAATACCTTTACAGATATCCACGTTTACCGGCAAAATGCCAAACAAAATTGATATGCTTAATATATAAATCTGATCCTGTCTTAATTACATGTTCATATATCTTTCTATAGAACATGGTTTTATAAACAGCATGTGTATTTTAGAAACTTCAAAAATCTGGATCTATAAATCCAATCTTGATATATATATATATAGGATAAAAGCGATTTGGTGAACATTTTCTTGGTCCATCACAATATTTCTAGAACTATGGCTAGTATCATAAGACGTAGTACGACCTGAGGGAGATTCAACAAGAAAATAGAAATATTAAAATATAATTCAGAGTAAACAAAGTCGATAGAAGATTTTGCTGGTGGCCAGCCAAAGTCTTTCTTAATAGTTATGGTCGTGTCCACGTTTCTAGTTTCTACATCGCCAAATCTTCACTTGCTGTCTGTCTGAATTTTCTTTGATAACTAAGACAATTTAGTACTGATTCAACCAAATTTACAGAATATATCATCTTAATTTCCACAATTTGTCGGGGTTCGAATGCTATTGCTAGTTAAAAACAAAAGGCCCAGAGGCTATTCAATATGTTCTTGTGCTTTGGATGGTTTGTTTTTGTAATCACCCCTTTGGGCCTAGACCCGATTCGATGTTTGACCCGGCTTGTCTTTTACAGCTCACCTAACGCGACAGGTTTGACCCGGCCACGTCAGCGTCTCTCTCAACCGTTTTTTCCGCCGTTTCAGCTTAACAACCCCGCGAAAGAAGCTTATCCACAACGGGAAACTCCTGAGAGGCTCCGCCAAACACGTCACCATCTCCGCCGTGATTTCCCCGGAAGACGGTCGCGATTCCACATCGGAGGAGACGCACCGCGCCGCCATCCGCAGCAATCGAAGATTCGTTCCCATGAAAACGCCCGATCCTCCGCCGCAGCAGATCTCTCCGATCTTCCCCTCTTCGATCAGCGGAATCGCCCAGTCTACTATCGACGCCGGCGAGCGAGACACGTCGATGGCTTTTCTACAGCTGAAAATCTCCAACAAAACGACGCCGTAGCTATAAATATCCGTCTTCGTGCTCAGTTCATCCGGAGACGTGTAACTCGGATCTAGATAACCGATGGTTCCTGCCGGCGCCGGTTTGACCTTACCGGTTAAGTCCACGGCGAGTCCGAAATCCGCAAGCTTCGGTTCCCAATTCGAATCGAATAGAATGTTTTCGGATTTGATGTCACGGTGGAGGATGCTCTGTTCATGGAGGAAGTGAACGGCACGAGCGATCTTGAGAGCGATCTCGATGCGATTGAGCCACGTGGGAGGTGGAGGATGAGATGTGGACACGTGTAATAACTGGTGCAGTGATCCGTTTGGCATGAAATCAACGACCATGAGCCTTTTCTCGGCATGGCCAAGAAAGCTCAGGACGTGTGGGCTACGAGGCAGCGACGACATAACACTGATCTCGTTTTCTAGTTTCTTCGTTTGTTCTGATTTCTTGAAAAGAGGTGAGGATGATGGTGAGGGAGACGAAGATGGTGTCTTTATGGCTACGACTATGTGTCGTTTGTTGTCGTCTTGGTCTTGAAGAAGGCCTTTGTAAACAAAACCGTGGCTTCCTTTGCCGATGAGCCGCGAAGGAGAGAATCCATCGGTGGCTACAACAAGCTTCTCGTAATCAAACTCTCTCATAAGTCGCAGAGAAATTAAGAAAGACGGCTTGTTAATTGTGTAATGTGGTGTGTATGTAACGTGAATAAAAAAAGACACTTGAAGAATAAAGTTGCGTAAATAATAACGAGATAAATATTGAGAAAAGCAAAAAAAAAAAAATGATGCCGAGGGAAAGCAGAAGGAATAAAAGAATAAAAACTTTTTTTTCTCTCTCTGTTTATATAAGTAATGATGATACTAGTCCTTTTACATATTCCTTCGGACATTTTTCATGCTTTTAAGACAGTTGGGTTCAAAATTTAAGGTCAAAAGCTGACTCACAATGTTAAACAACTTTTCAAAACACTCCTGCTCTTTTTCTTGCATATGTTTCTGGCCTAACCGTGACACAACACCTTAACCGGTACGTTTAGCTAACCCGAGAACTGTGAGTCACAGAGATTAACAAATTCAGTGAATACTTAACAACAACAACAAAAATTTAAGAATAAAGTAACGTTTAATGAAATAGTACTAAACAACATGAAGCTTGCTTTCTTCATAACTAATGCTCTGCAGTAAGCAAAATTATCAACATGGACCTTCAAAATGGGATATGTTCTGTAAAATGAAAAATTGCCACATAATTGCCACATGTATTCTCTTCTCACATATTGCACATTGCCGGCTCTGGAAAGAGGCATTCTGTTTTACATATAGTAGATTTATACACATGGTATCGTAATAATAGTTTGAGTTTACTTAACAATTAACATTATTTTATATGTTTTTGCATTCTATAACACGTTTTAAAGTTTTCTTAGATCCCTAGCATTTGTTGATTTTATTTCGTGAAATAGCACCTTGTTAACTGTTCATGTCTCTTTCGTTCTCGTGAAAATGGTAGAGATAATTAAATGAAAAAGTTATTGTGACGTGATGTTTTTTTTTTTTTTAGTCATTTGATACATATTCGACTTGATATGAACGTCCTCCAATATGAATAAAATATGTGTCTACGTCGACCTATATGCAGAACAATATTCATCTATCATTTTTGATTTTCAGGATAAAGTATGGATAATTTTCACCAAGAAGTGTTAGTTTCTTTAAGTTTCCCAAATGTATTCATTCATCAAAATGTCATCATATAAAAATATTATTCACGCATAGGAAACAAAATTAAAATCCCAAGTAATATAGTTATTATTACAAGCCCAACCAACCATACTCCGAACAATCACCCTTAAAGTTATACATATAAGGTCTACGTATTTGATATAACCAATCAACCTCCTCCTCATTTCCACAAAGTCACAAACTAATAAACCCATATAGACTATACACATCATCGACTAACCAAGATAATGAAAAAAAAAATACATTATTAAAAATTCAAATGACCCAAAAATAAGTAAACAATATTCTTAATTATGATCACCATCTTAACTAATTAACAAATCTCAAACACTAAACAGTAATAAAATTGCCCACATCAATAGACTTGGCATAGTATTGTTCTATCTCGGAGACACTCCTTTTGATTAAATTCACCATCAAGCCATGTTTCATGTACATTGTAAGAGCCAGCTTTGGTTCCACTTTGTGACCCTCCACCACGTTCACCTTGTACCGGTAAACTATTGCAGCCGCCACAGATTTCATCTGATAATAAGCAAAATCTTTGCCTAGACAAAGGCGTGGACCACCGTTAAAGGCCGTGAATTTATAGGCCGACTCACTCATGAACCGTCCGTCTCTCAGCCACCTCTCTGGCCTAAACTCACGACAGTCTTTTCCCCAAATAGCTTCCATACGACCCATTGCGTAAATCGCGTATATAACTTTTTCTCCTTTCTTCAGTATTGTTCCATCTGGAAATACATCGTCTTCTTGGACCTGAATTATAATTATAATAATAATTAGCTTCAGAAAATCTACAGTAACCTCACGCGCGAGGTGATTGGGTTAACAGAAAATTTAATATGAATGAGTTGGTCGTTAGGTATCATGGGGAAACAGCAAAACATAACATTCTTGTGAGTTACCAAGAAGTCAAACAGATAGTTATTTATTTCTTCCTCGAAGGAATTATATTTTGAAGACACATGTATATTTCTGACCAAAAAAAACAAAGATACCAGTGTATTAATTAGGTGTCTTCCCAAGAATTTTCATACTACTTTAATTTATCTGGTTATTGATTAGGTAACCGATAAGAAATCAAACAGAAATTGGAATTTGAAGTCATTCTCTTTTTTTTTTTGCCATCTAATGGTTTAGTAGTTTATACGATCCAATATTATTAAGGGTTTATCCTCTATCTTGGACAGTCTGAACAGGAACTATAACAAGCAATCTAACTTTTATTTAGTCAAATTGGCTTTCTTGGAAAGTAACTAATTGAAATTTAGAAGAAAACAGATCAGATTTAGTTAAGATTTACCTCTTTATGATCCACAGGAACTGAAGGATACAATCTGAGAGCTTCAGACAAAGCAGCTTGTAGATAGTCCATCTTCTTGATCTCTTCTGGTCCAAAGACAGGCTCATAATCTATATTCTCTGAATATCCATGGTCATCTCTCTGCCTCAGAATCTTACACATCTCCACCATGATCTTCTGTTCAACCTCCGGATTCTTCTCTAGCAACCAGAAGAACCAGCTCAGAGCCACCGAAGAAGTATCCCTCCCAGCAAGTATGAAGTTTACACAGATATCACGAAGAAACTTGTCTGAGAAACTCTCTCCCTTCTCATCTCTCAAACCCATAAACACCGTTAAGAGATCTGATCTCTTTGTTGATTCACCCTCAAGAGACAGTTCTTTCTTCCTCGTCCTGATAACTTCTTCAGCGAAATCATCAACACCTTTTATTGACTCCTTTAGCATCTTCTCTGTTCCTACATTAAGATACCTCATGAGCTTCCACACGCAAGTAGGAGTGACGAACCTCAAAACCGCGGCTTCTGTCGCATCCTCAAAGGCTTTCGCAAAGGGTATTACAGGTTGATCAGGACCGAGGCAGCCTGGATCGACGCCGAAAGCAATCATACATACGTTATCGAACGTCATTCTCAACAACACGTCTTGTAGATCGATAGGAGAAGAGCTCTTGACTGAAGTTTCAAGAACCGGTAAGAGCCTCTTGTGCACTAGCTCATACAACGAATTAGTGGTTAACTGTCTGAATTTAGCTGAATGAAACTCGATGCTCGCGGTTTTCCTTTGCCTCTGCCAAGTGTCGTCATCTGCGTTGAAGATTCCGTCTCCTAGGAGGTCTCGGAGGTTGTCCCGGAAGTAAGAACCTTTAGGGAAGACAGAGAAACGGTTCTTGAGGAGATGCTCAACGTTTCTTGGATCGCAAGTAATAGTGCTGTTGAGGCTGCTAAACCAGGGTCCTCTAAAGCGGAAAGTCCCGTTCTGAAGACAGAGAACTTCGGATAGCCACTCGTATATGTTTCCTCTGAGGCCAAAAGCTAGAGAAGGAAGCATCCCAAGAAACGGCCACACTGGGAGACCATGGCGTTTCTTCTGACGCAAGGCATGTATGGCGACAAAGGCGAAAAGGGCGATAAAGAGCTCAAGAACTTGAACATTTCTCAAGAGAAACAGCCTCCGTGAAACCAGAGGCTCACGGGAAGAAGAAGAAGAGACGAAAACGTCATTGAAAGTGAGATAGTAAGAAGAATTAGTACTCATTGTGACAACGAGAAGAGAATGTAAGTCTCAGAAATGAAGAATGGAGAGAGGAATCGAGAGAGATTAATAACAATGGAGGCCGTTAGTTAGCTAGTGGGTGAAGAATATTGCATGAATTTCTTGTGGGTGACAAAAACTTGGGCTCTCAGGAGGAAATGGGTTTGATTTGGTGAGCAGAAAAATGTCGTGTCTTTATATTCCTGCGGCTCTTGATTCTCGTGCATGTATTACTTTTCTTACACTTTAAGTAGGTGTTCTTTTGGGGTTTTGGCTCTGTTTTCGGGAATTTCAAAGGCCGAATCTTTTTGGGGGTTTAAATAGAAAAATAGGGTTTTTGGTTGTGTTTTTGACCAGAATTTTGAAATTGTTTAGAAAAGGATCAGATGAAGGTAGTTGGCGATGGGTAACCTAAGTCCCTTAAATAATCCATTAGTATATTTAGCTCCTTGCTTCTGCCCACTTTGCTTTCTTTTCTTTTTTTTTTCTTTTTAGTGACGAAGTTAATGAATTTTATATTCCCAATAAATCAAATTAAAATGGGGGTATCAGATCTATAGAAATTGATTTTTATTTTTTTAAAATTTGGCCACTTTATCGTTGATTTTTTTTTTTTTTGATAATGGGTTATAGATGACTAAATTTTGAGGTACTATATCATTATGCAGTCAGAATTGGAAGATCGATTTGTAAAATAATCAAAAGGTGGTTCGAAATTTGACGTAGATATACTAGAATTTTCTTTTAAGAGTTTGTAATTTGAAATATACTTACATTGTATGACTATTGATTTACGTAGTCATCAAAATCCCGACGTCTATAGTAGTGCCTAGTTGGTAGCTTTTCTCACAAATAAATTGCTGTTATACTTTTTCGAAGGTTTATGTTTAATTTGTGTCAATCTCGAAATATATTTTGTTAACAACAAAGAAAAATCTCGAAATATATTAGAACCGAGTAAAGAGATTTATAAACCAGACTGATTGACCTAGTCTCTTACTGGAAGTCTGTAACCCAAATTTTTTTTGGCTCAAAATATGCTGCTCAAAATCTATCAAAGATTTTTTTTTTTTTTTAATTCATGAATGTTTTTAGATTTTGAAAGTGGTTTTTGGTTTTTGCTTCCTACACCTATTGAATGATAAATCCAGTTACTATTGTTTGCATTGGAAAGATTAAAAAAAACTTCACAACAACAAAAAAGGAAAAAAAAATGTGGACGAGAAAATGGGCCAGAAAGATATAGAAAGGCTCTAAAAGCCATGGAGGTGTTGGGCCCATTAATAAGAAATAGGCCCATACTGGTGATGCAGCCATGGTGTGCTGCCGAGTAAGTAGTAAGATGCAGATGCTGCCATCTTCATCAATGGAGGTTTTGGACCCAAACTTTTACGACTCCTGATGTTTTTCAGCCTGTTCTAACGACCCTCATAACGAAGAGGTTAGAGAATCGTTTCTGAAAAAGAAAAGGAGAACATGGCGGCTCTTTTCAACAAGTTTCAGCAGGTTAATGAATCTCTTGCTTCTGTGTTTGATCCTGTCGAATTTTCTGAACAGTTTTTCCCTCTCTGGTTCGATTTATAATACTGGGTAAGAAGAAAGCTTGATTTTTTCGTTCGGATTTTAGTCTTTCGATCTGAACCAATTTGTTTGAAGTGTCCTCATGCTGTTTTCAGTCTGTGGCATTGCAAGAAATAGATTAGAATAGTTGAAATTAGGTTGTAGAGGAATCATAAAAGTTTTTCTCTTCTCGTTGTTAAATGTCTTATAAATTTGCTCGTTTGATCAATTTACTCTTCCTGAGGCATTCATGGGATCATTTCAGGACTTGGGAGATTGCAGGGTTTTAGTAGGAGTTTAGGCAGTGCTAATTGAGATTTCGAATTATCTTACTTGTTGCTACTGTTACCGTTCGTTCAATTTGTTTCATTACTTTGCTTTTTTCAGGCTGTTGGAGTTCTTGCCAAAAGTACCACATTTGCTAAGAACCCAAGGCAACTGCAATTTGAAGCAGACATTAACAAACTGTTTATGTATACAAGGTTGGTCATTTATCATAGGAGAGAAAATAAGTTTGGTTTCTGTATCTGTTTGTGTACTAGATTGCTTATAATCATTGCGCTACAGTTTTGATCACAGTCGAATGATTCAATAAAATCCTTAAGTTTATTTAGCTCTAGCTATTCCTTGTAAGGTATTCCATTCTTGTATACACGTCCATCTTTCTGCGCTCATAAAGACCAATTGTGTTTAGCTATAATCGGTTGGGACGAAAAGCTGAGGAGACGGATGCAGAAGAGATCATTGAGATGGCTGGTAAAGCCTCTTTATCTGAGCAGCAGAAGCAAGTTCAAGAGAACATTCACTACCAAGTTGAAAACTTCTGCTCTTTGATGGATGGAATCCTTCTTCCTGATGTTCGCAAGCAAGAGTCGGTGTCACAATCGACAAGCCCTCCTCGTCGTCGAAGTGGTCTTACTTTCGCCATTGGTGGGAATAATGCTTTCCCAACTTCAGATAAGCCCCGTAAGTGTTATAGTTTACATGAGTCAATTTGTGAACTTTATACTCGTTAACACTTTCTTTCATCTTAATTATTATTCTCACTGATTTTTCTTCAGCACAGTTGTTCCCGAGACAAAGCCTTTGACACTCGCTGAGGTCTCACAAAGATTAATGGATCAAATAGGCTATACCCTCGAGATCAAACCGTCTGTAATACCTCACAAAGACGCTGGTCAAGGTTGTTTCATCAAAGGCGAAGCAGATGTTGGAACCGTCCTAGCTTTTTACCCTGGAGTTATTTACTCCCCTGCTTTCTACAGGTACATTCCTGGGTACCCGAAGGTTGACTCACAGAACTCTTATCTCATCACGAGGTATGATGGGACTGTGATAAATGCTCAGCCTTGGGGTCTCGGGGGAGAATCTAGGGAAGCATGGACTGGTTCCTACAAACCTGCGGTCAAAACAGACACCAAAACCGCAGAAAACGGTTCAGACAGGTTATGGAAAGCGTTGAGCAAGCCACTCGAAGGTTCGGGTAAAGTAAAAGAGGTTCTTGAGAGGAGAAATCCGTTGGCTTTTGGTCACTTGGCTAACCACCCGGCGAAAGAAATGACTCCAAACGTTATGATATGTCCATATGACTTCCCCTTGATGGAGAAAGACTTGAGGCCTTACATTCCGAATGTATGTTTTGGGGATTCTGGAGAAGTAAAGATGAAGAGGTTTGGAAGCTTTTGGTTTAGGACAGGAGGTAAGAACGGTTTGGATGCTCCGGTTCTAAAGACACTGGTTTTGGTGGCAACTAGGGCGTTGCGTGATGAGGAGCTTCTGCTGAATTACAGGCTGAGCAACTCTAAGAGACGACCTGATTGGTATACTCCGGTTAACGAAGAGGAGGATCGGAGAAGATGGAGCTAAACCTGTCCAGTTCTCTTGAGAGCCGAAAGTTCCAAAATTGTTAGGAGCCAATTTGTGAATTGGTCTAAAGTTTTTTTTTTACATCCGGGTCTAAAGTTCGAGTTTATGAGGCTATGTTTTTCTTTTTCTTTCTTTATCATTTTGCTTTAATTAAACAGGTTGAAGTGAGTTTTCTATTAGACACTTTTTTTTTAAACTTCAAATATTTTTCTATAAAGGGTCAAATTTCAAATTACTTCATATGATGTGATTCGCATCTATCAAATAAGTATTTTCTGTCATAGGTTGTGATTGTATTTTGACTAACTATTTTAAGTTGTCATCAAATGTATAGTATTGATTATATTCAATTTTTCTTTTTTCTTTATAATGTTTTAAAATCGATACAAAACAAAATGTAGTTACAAAAAAAAATCTGATGAAATTTCAATTAAATACGAGAAACATCCAAAAAAAACATATTCTTGATTTGATAGCATTGTATCATCCAAAAAAAACTGTTAGAAATTTTTTGAAAAGTTATCTCTATTTCTTTTAAGAAATTTTTGCTTATCATTGTATCTATGATGTATATTCACAAAACTGAATCTTTATTACGCAATCAAATCCGTAACATTCTTTTATATATCACAAATATAATACTTCATATATCACCATTATAATATTATGATATATTACATGTAGATCGGTCATTGACTCATTGCTAATATCAAGGAGGAAGACACATGAGATAGGGAGAAATAAGTAACAATGTTTGGTCAAATCTCTCTACAAATAATCTTATGAACCGTCACTTTCTTCGCTTTCCTCTTGCTTTTTATTTGGATCCTTCTATTCCAATCTATTGACCAATCACTTCATTATCTCTAATTTTCTCTTATCGTTTTTTAATATTATCTCATTCGTAAAGTCCTTACAGAAACGATATTGCGGACATCGCACAAGTTGCGTCTGAACTTGCCCATAAAGAGAGAATTTGCCCATAAACCCTCCCAAACGGCCAAACAAAACCTCTGAATCTGTTCAATATCATGAGAAATCAAAACAGAAAAACAAAATTGCCCATAATAAAATGGGAAACTCGATTTATTAGAAACCTTTCTATTAATATAATGTAGATACTGTAATTAATCATTATAAACAAATAAATTATTTGCTTCTTTCACATTTGAATTTTCTTTTTTCATGTGTCCGTATCTTATGTAAAAATGGTAAAGAGTAAAACACATAAATAATCATCATAAAATTCCAAAATGGAAACGGTATTAAAGACAGAGCACAAGTTGCGTATGTAATATGGTTTACCTATTGTAAACAAAAAGAGAAATGCTGTAAAAAAAAGGAAACTCAATCTATAACAAACCTTTCTATTTATAAAACACAGACTGAATTAATTGAAAAGAAAGAAAGAAAATTGTCTTACTTTTCAAGATTTTGATTTTTCTCATCTGTCTTATCTTATGAATATGGTTACCACCCACTCTCTCTCTCTCTCTCTCTCTCTCTCTCTCTCTCTCTCTCTCTCTCTCTCTCTCTCTCTCTCTCTCTCTCTCTCACACACCACAATATATAAGCGTACACAGTCACTTCACAATTTCCACAGCCAAAAGTAATTTTGATTTTATATGAATTGAGAGTTCAACTTTTTTTTGTTCTAATAAAACGAAAAAGTATGAGAAATTCTCATCATGCTGTGTTCTCTGTTCTTGTCCTATTTCTTGTGTCCTCTCTTCTTGGCTCGTCATTAGCAGCAAAGCTCTGCAACAACGACGGCGACAGTGGTTGTTTCCGGTCTAGGGTTTTGGCTGCGCAACGAGCTGATCGAGTGAAGGAGCTTCCGGGACAACCGCCGGTGAAATTCCGGCAATACGCCGGTTACGTGACGGTGAATGAGACACATGGAAGAGCACTATTCTATTGGTTCTTTGAAGCCACTCATAATCCAAACAAAAAGCCTCTTCTTCTTTGGCTCAATGGAGGTAAACTTACTCACATCCACTCGTTGTTTTTCTGTACCCGGCTCGGTCTCACGATTATATTCCTAAATTCTTGGAGTCAAAAGTCATGGTGAAAGGATATTTTAGTTGTTTAAGTGTGTGTATCATGCTTCTTGTGCATTTCATCTACTTGTTATTGAATTTCGTAATAAACGGAGGGTTACATTTGATGCACCCTTTTTATTTTCTGAATTTGGAAACTATTTATGTACAAAATAAAAGTTTAATGAGGATTACAAAGATAATAAATAAATAGGAATGTATGTAATCCTTTGTATGCACGGAGACAAAAGGTTACAGAGAGAGAGAATATTAGGTGAAGCTTCCTAATAGTAAGACCTGTCTCATTTGGCACGATGTCAAAATCAATGAAACGTTATGTGGTTAATAATTACCATCATCACCATTATATATGATGAGTTTTGGTTCTATTGGTTGAAATTTAATTTTGGAAGCTTGCAATGATTCAACATGCTTGTTACTTGTTGGTTGTTACATGATCCTATATTATTATATGCTCTTTATTTTATTTTATTTTCTGGGTGCAATCCTTTATCCTCTTTTCGACTCATGTGCTATATAGTATAATTATTATAAATAACAATTGGCTAAACATAACAACATTCCCCATTGTAGTCTAAGAGATATCATCGCTTAACTTTAAGACGATTTTTTTTCTTCTTAATTTCGACAATGGATGATATTTAACATGCATCCATAAATACGATATCTAATCCACATATTTGAACGTTCCATCATGCTCTGTGTTGTATATGTTTATGGTTTGTTTTAATAGATGCTTCAAATGCTTGATTTTAACGTCATTTTAAGAAATTTTATTTATATAATATAAAAATAATAAAGGTAAAAAATCTAAATTTGGATGAAAAGTGTCATTAAATCATTTGATATGGACTAAGAAAGTGTTTAGTATAGTACTATATTTTAAGCCTGTGTTAGCGTAACATGTTGGTGAAAGAATGTAAGGTAATTAGTAAATTACATGTGTATATATATAATATATAAATTGGTTCATAAGCATGTGATGGATATAAAATTTATGTCGACGTTATATATACTCCCTAGTCCCTCCACATATTTAGGCTTTTATAGGCTCCCGTGGGCTCATGCGCCCTTTACTTTAATAGTAAGGCACAGTAATTATTGACAAAAAAGGTTATGCATCATCTATCAAAAGTCAATTACATGAAAATTATACGGTCCATTTCATCATTATTCGAAACTATACACATGGTCCATGCACGTATGCACGCCCTAAAAGTGTCTCAACCTTTTTTCTATTTGTGTGTTTGTTGATAAAAGAAATTTATCATCATAAAGAAACAAACCCCTTAAATTAATTTAAATGGACCCAATATGCAATAATAGTGAATAGAAAGTAAACTAGAAAGTGGAAGAGTAGGCCTAGATCACTTAAGTTTTTGGTAATTACGTTCGAAAAATACAAAATATATAATGTGATCAGTTAATATTAAAACTGAGGATTCCATGGTAAAAATTAAATGTAACTAGGACCGGGATGTTCATCGGTCGGATTTGGAGCATCAGAAGAGCTCGGACCATTCTTTCCTCAAAATTCGACTCAGCCTAAGCTCAAGCTAAATCCATACAGCTGGAACAAAGGTAGACATATTCATAAATTTTTCAGAATATATTCGAATCTATTAATTTCATCACTACAACTGAAATAATCCTTTTGAAAATATGATATGAAGCGGCGAATTTGTTATTCTTGGAATCTCCGGTGGGAGTTGGATTCTCCTACTCTAACACAAGCCGTGATATAAGCGAACTCGGCGATTCCATCACAGGTTCAATCTCTATTTTATCAGTTTATAAATAAAGTGTTCATTTTTTTTTTTTGGTAAGTAAATTAAGATTGTGTAACCAGCGAAAGACTCGTACACCTTCCTCGTCAACTGGTTCAAGAGATTCCCTCAGTACAAGTCGCACGACTTTTACATCGCAGGAGAAAGCTATGCCGGTAATGTCAACTTCAAAAAACTTTGTCTCTTAAGTATGACGTCATTTCTACAAGTGGTATAAATATAAGTTAAAATGTATGTTTGCATGGGATTAGGCCATTACGTTCCTCAACTTTCGGAGTTCGTCTACAACCAAAACAAGATTGCATCCAAGAACGACTTCATTAACCTCAAGGGTCTAATGGTCAGATATTTCTGAAAATCACTAAATTAAATCAATAACTAGTAGCTTATTAAGGATCATGATGAATTTGACATGTATATATACAGATAGGAAACGCGTTGTTGGACGACGAAACGGATCAAAAGGGGATGATAGATTACGCATACGATCACGCGGTGATATCAGACGGATTGTACCAGAGAGTGAATCAGCACTGCGATTTCAAACTAGAGCACGTGTCCAAAGAATGCGATGGAGCTTTAGATGAGTATTTTGATGTATACAAGATTCTTGACATGTACAGTCTCTACTCTCCCAAGTGTGTCCCTTCCACCGGTAACTCCTCCATTTCTCAATCCGTCGCCGGAAACCGCCACCTTCCTGCTGCCCGAGGCCTCTTTCGGCCTCGTCTCGTCTCCCACAATGTAATTTTTTTTCTTCTTTTTTCACTTATAGTTTTTTCTTTCTTTTTGTAACGGGTTTGACTTGACCGGTTTACATATACAGGAGGGATGGAGGAAGATGGCGGCCGGGTACGATCCATGTGCATCCGAGTATACAGAAAAGTATATGAACAGGAGAGATGTTCAAGAGGCACTTCATGCAAATGTCACCAACATCCCTTACCCTTGGACTCATTGCAGGTATTATCATGATGTTCAATCTGTTTTTCGGTTACGTGTTATGTAGAGTTTGAAGATTTATTTTTTTTCAATGAAATATAAAAACCTCATATAGTTAATTTTTTTTTTTTTTAATTCGGTTTTCAAACATACTCTTAAGGACTTAATCTATTGATTTTTTATTTCCGTTGCTTGGTTATGGTTTGTTAGGATATATGAAAAGGGAACTGAAACGGTTTTGACCAAATCAAAAAAAAAAAAAAAAAGGATCAACGCAGTGTATGTCAAACCTAAATATTACTCCTACTAGCTAGCTCTCAGTATCATAGTTTAACCAAAAGGGTGATAAAATGTTTGATAAATCGGATATTTTGTGTTCGATCCTAAGCCAATACATGAACCTTAAACTATATATATGTGCAGCGATCGTATCTCGTTTTGGTCTGACGCTCCCGCTTCCATGCTTCCTACTTTAAGAACACTTGTTTCAGCCGGATTACGTGTTTGGGTTTTCAGGTATATAACACTTAATTAGTCAATTGGTGAATTTTTCACGTTAGAATTTGACTGAATAGTAGCGATAACCGGTTTAAAAAATTATGGTGAAAAAGTGGGGATACAGACGGAAGAATACCGGTGACCGCAACCAGATACTCATTAAAGAAGCTTGGTCTTAAGACAGTCCAAGACTGGACTCCTTGGTACACCAACAAACAACAGGTTTGGTTCATATACTATTAAGTTATTTTATTTATTCTTGAGTAAAAGTGTGTGATATTGATCATTGACTAAAAAATGAAAAAAAAATAAAAGGTCGGAGGGTGGACGGTGGAGTACGACGGGCTAATGTTTGTGACGGTGAGAGGAGCGGGACACCAAGTTCCGACATTTAAACCTAGAGAGGCTCTTCAGCTTCTTCACCATTTTCTTGCTAACAAGAAACTTCCTTCTTTCCCCTTTTAAACCTTTAATTAATTCTCTACATACCCCCTGCAGATTCTATATTGATGATCCCCATATAATTCTTAAGAAAATTAATAAACAGATTTGAGCCAAAAACAGGCCATTATTAGAATTGTATATATGGCTCTTGCTCTTCGCGTTTTACTTGTTTCTTGTGTTACGACGACATCAGAAACTCTCCTTTCTTGGATATTTCTTTCACAAAAACCCAAGAACTACTACACAACTCTAAGCTTATATATAAAGTGTAAGAACAATCCAGATGTCAATATAAAGGATGCCTCTATAAAACATGTTAATAAATGAGTAAAAACTCATCAGATGGCCACATAAATGGTACCATTTCTCAGTTTACAGTCTATGTATGTTTGCAATAATTATTCATGTACATCTAATATTTGGGTGGACGATTAGGGGACATCATAGATTCACAATGGCAAAGTCACTTGACTACAACATCATCGCACTAAACACACATTTTTTTATTGATTTATTGTTAACATAACATATAAAAGAAATTAATATCGATATCATGTAACGAAAGAGTACGTACTTTTGATACAAAACTATTTAGACGACAATCTTATATATTACATAAAAAGCCCTCGCCTGAGTCTTTCGCAATCGACGAGATAAGCGAAGCCATAAGCAAGATTCATGAGAGTCGCGTCGTGAAGCTCCTGATTAACCGTCGCAGTCGCGTCCGTCGAGAAGAAAACCCTATAACCCCTCACAAACGCCTCACGCGCCGTCGTCTCACAGCACAGATTCGTCATCACTCCAATCACGATCACCTCCTCAACCCCGATCTCCACCAGCTTTTCCTGGAGACGCGTGTTGTGGAACGCGCCGTACGTGCTCTTCTCCACGACCTCGTCTGGTCCGCTTACCTGGCGATCGATCTCCGGGATGATCTTGGAATCGGTGGTTCCGTCGAGGATGATATCGCCGTTCCACCACTCGCCGAGCATGCCGAGGTCAGTAGTAGCGGATTTGTGGATGTGGCGCGTGAAGAAGACGGGGATAGAGGCGCGTCGGCAGAGGTCGATGGTGGTGAGAGCGTTGAGGAGGATGGGCTTGGCCATGGAGGAGAAGTAGTTCTGCATATCGATGACGAGCAGAGCTGCGTTTTGGGGATTCGGGTCTCGCTTTCTTGTCTCGTACTTTCTCGACGATGAAGCCATTTTTTTGCCGCTCTTCTTGTTCGGTGGAGATACACTACTTTGGGAACTGAAGACAGAGAGGGTTGAAGTTTCTAGTTACGATTATTGGGCCAAAATTATTGGGCCCAGTGTTATATAAAGTGGGCCTAGCCCAAGTATGACATTCCTGATTCTAGTTTTGATTCTGAAAGTTGGTTTTCGACCATATTGGTGGTTATTGCTTATTCAGGCATGATTCAGTATAAGCATTTGTTTGTTGTATAGTATAATCTTCGTTGTTACATATGTTTAACATGCAGGTAAACAAGTACCTGCGCTAAAAAAGGATTTGCTGTACATATATATATATTTATCTAACGAGCCTATGTTTCTTTATCTTCTTGCTTGGATTGGATAGCTTCCACAAGTTGGAGTAGCATTGCACCAATGAAGTACCAGGTTATCCCGGCTAATAAAATCTGCTGCCATGGGCTGTTAACTATGGATAACGCCAGAGAGCCACCGATATGGTCACTGAGCTCAGTTGCTCTGTAGCTGGCTTGGAACTGAACCAGGAACACTGCTACTGTGGCTGTTCCAATTGGAAATTTCTTTATCCTGAACTTCTCTCTTCTAAATTCTCTTCTAGTAGTAGAATTCTCTTCTAATGGAGATTTCTTATGAGTCACTTGCGGAATCGAGGTAGTCTTGGAACTGCTATTGTTTTCGGATGAGGGAAGTGCTTGGTTTGATGGAATCCAATAATCTTCTCTGACAAGGGAAGCTGGTCGTTTTTCTTTGGTTTTCCCTCTCTGTTCTGCTTCTTTCATTGCTGCCACAGCATCTTGAAGCTTTCTGATATCAGGATCAGCCGATTTTTTTCGTTTGGTAAAAGTGAGGCTCATGTTTGAATCTGAACTCAACGGTTTTGAGTATGGTGATGATCTCCAGTATAGCCAACTGGAAATAGACCTAATTGCCTCTACTGCTCTCATTCTTACTTCACTCTGCAAGTCCCTCTCCTGCGCAAAACATCTCAACACAAAACTAATTATTATCTGACTTGGTGAAGTTTATAATAACTTGGCTTTTATTTCTGCTAAGGACAATGGGAAAAACTCACCTGAGAGCTCTCTCTTGTGGTTCTACTCATGGCTTCTGCGTATCTTTCCTGGAACTTCTTGACATCAACAAAAACATTGGAGACACGCTCGCCAACAGTGTTTCCAACACCGATCCTCACTTTACCTCGAGGTTGTTTTGACATAAGGAACTCCAATGGCGCAAGGTCAGATCTCTCCACCATTCTGCACAATCTCATCAAGAATCAATCATACTTGTGCATATACAGATGGAAAACATCTTACCATCAGTATGTTGCTTACGAAATGCAGTCTATTGGACAAGCTTCGATGGCTTCTTTGATTTTGGGTTCAGGATCAGCCCATTGAGCGACAACTCTGGCTCTCCCGTGAGCTGTTTCGATAGCAAATGTTCTCTCTGCAATCAGCGCACACTTCAAGCAACCAACGCACTTGACCTCGTCCACAAACACAGCTCGTTGCTCAGTCTCTGATCCACACCAAACCGAGTAGATCGGTTTTCCTGTGTAGCCTCTTAGTTCTTCCAATTTTGCTTGCTCCTGCAACAAGCAATCGTATTTACTTGATTTGGCCTTTTTTACAAAAAGTCAAAGAAAGCAATATGAGAATTATAACCTTATCATAGGCTTGGCGAGAGATCGGATCAGATAGAAGCTTGTAAGCCTCGTTGAGGATTATGGCCATATCGTGGCCTGGGACTCCTGCGATATCTGGATGACATCGTTTCTGCAGAGAACGATAGGCTGCTTTGATCTGAGACTTATCGGAGCTCCGGTCAATACCCAAGAGATCGTAGAGATCGAGGTCTGTTATAGACGATGATGAAGAAGTAGCTCTACACTTGAGCTTGAGTGGTGATCTAATGGTTGTCAGCTTTTGAGTTGTGGTACATGGCCATATAGTAGACGACGGTGGAAGAGTCGTCGGAGTAAGGATAGTCGGCGACATTTTGTTCTCTCTGGCTCCTCTGCTCCGGACGGTGGATGGAAATTGAAAATATCTATTGGTAAGCTATTTTTCCATCTCTCTGGGAAGATATTTAATTTGAGACGCATAAAGAAAATTCCAAAATGAGTCTATTGTTAGGGGTTATTGAATTTGAGAAACAAAAAAATTGAGCACGAAAATTGAATTAAAGCCGACCAAAAGTTGTTTCGTGGCAATAGAAAGAGTTGAAACTTTTTGTGATGTTATCCATTCATAGGAATAAAAGTTTTAAGGCTGAGAATCATCAATCATGGCGTAAAATATCATAATTTTGTTTTAATCCTTGAAAATTTGTCGACGCTTCATGGCTATTGTGACGATTAATATTTTGGATATCTAATTTTTGGTTTCGATTTCAGAAGATCCTAGTAATTTAATGAGAAACCTTGCCACACTAAAACTTTCTATTGAAAAAAATACATTATGATAATAAATACTTTCCTGAACAATTTTGTATGGGCTTTTGAAAAGGAAATTCTCAAATCTGGGGCTTTAATATCCAATTAATTAGGCCCATAAGCTTTCTCACTTTGCACGGTCGACCAGGATCGCTGCAAATTCTTTTTTTTTCCATTTCGCGTATAGGGTTCTTCACTACGAGATTCGGATCATCGAAAGCCATGGCTAGGCAGGTCACGAGACTTCTCGGATCTCTCTCGTCCAAAGTTCGTTCTTCCGGCGGCGTCTCAGAGGTGTACCCTTCATGCTGCTATCTCACTTCGTTGACACAGTCTCGCTCCTTCGGGACGACTCCTCCGCCTCCTGCGGCCGTTTTTGTCGACAAAAACACCCGAGTCATCTGCCAGGGTATCACCGGAAAGAACGGGACTTTCCACACTGAACAAGCTATTGAATACGGCACCAAAATGGTATTGTATTTTAAGAAATTACATAAATTCATTGTACTACTAACTGGCAATTTCGATTGAAAGTTTTGTTATTTTGCCAATTTTCATTTCACAGTTGAACTCTACGAGCTTACTTTGATCAGAACTGTTCTCGTTTCTGCTGGACACGATCCCTTACTATATCATTTCCCAAATTGAACTTGGAATTTGGTTGATTGCATCAATTTGTGCACTCGCTCTGTAGATGAAAGGTGTGTATTTGCTGAGAGTATGTTTCAAAGCTTGTGATAAGCTAATTTTAGGTTGTGTTGTTCGCTAATAGGTAGCAGGAGTGACACCAAAGAAGGGTGGAACAGAACATTTGGGTCTCCCTGTATTTAACACCGTTGCTGAAGCTAAGGCTGAGACTAAAGCTAATGCCTCTGTGATTTACGTTCCTGCTCCTTTCGCTGCTGCTGCTATCATGGAAGGTGTGGCTGCTGAGTTAGATCTTGTTGTTTGCATTACTGAAGGGATTCCTCAGCATGATATGGTGATAGTTGTTACGCTTTCGTTTTCTTTTTGTGATGTCTGCTTCTATGCTTAGTCGATAGGTTTGCACAAGTAATATAAGTGGCTCTACTGATTACTGTGACTTTTGTAATGTAGGTTCGTGTTAAGGCTGCTCTTAACAGTCAATCAAAAACTAGGCTGATTGGTCCTAATTGCCCTGGTATTATCAAACCTGGTGAATGCAAGATTGGGATCATGCCTGGATACATCCACAAGCCGGGAAAGATAGGGATTGTTTCGCGATCCGGAACATTGACATATGAAGCTGTAAGGTTCTTTGTGTTGCCTTCATGTTTGGCTCTCTTTGTCTGTCTTTCTCAACATTAATCTTCATGGCCTGTGGCTTTCTTCTAAATCCAGATGGCTTAGTGATCAATTATAGAGTTACTACCTTTGTTCTTTTTTTCACCTAAGAACCGATTCTCCTTCCCATTGTTAGATTAAGCTTTCGCCGATGAGAGTTTTGTTAATTCGTGTGATGAGAGTTTTTATAAGGATTTCTAATGGTTGCTAATTTGGTTATCTTTCATGCAGGTTTTCCAAACAACTGCAGTAGGTCTGGGGCAATCTACATGTGTAGGAATTGGTGGGGATCCTTTTAACGGCACAAATTTTGTTGACTGCTTGGAGAAGTTCTTTGTTGACCCTCAAACAGAAGGTCTCGGTTTCTGGACACCAAAATTTCAAATTTTTTTTTTCATTTGACTAACTTATTCGCTTTTCCTGTTTTTTTATCTTACTCTCATTACTGAAAGACTCCAGCGTTTTTTTTGTGACTAAGAAAGAACTGACTTATTTTCAGGTATCGTTCTCATTGGAGAAATCGGTGGTACTGCGGAAGAAGATGCCGCTGCTTTGATAAAGGTAACCGCAATGCATATCTCTTGAGATGCCATTTTTAGATGATCGAGAGTAAAAACATGTCCTGTTTTTTTTTTTATCAAACAGGAAAGTGGGACAGACAAGCCTGTAGTTGCTTTCATTGCTGGACTTACTGCACCACCCGGTCGTCGAATGGGTCATGCGGGAGGTAAACAAGCCTTACTCGGCTCGTTTATTCATTTACTGTTTCTTTCTCACTCAACCACGTGGTTAAATCTTGTTTTGTTTTGTATCGATGAAGCCATTGTCTCCGGCGGTAAGGGCACGGCTCAAGACAAGATTAAGAGCCTAAGAGACGCTGAAGTTAAGGTGGTTGAGTCACCAGCTAAGATTGGTGCGGCGATGTTTGAGCTTTTTCAAGAAAGAGGTCTTTTGAAGTAGAAAGTTAATTAATATCCCATATTGTGATCAATCAGCGAACCTCTCTAATAACAAAGAGTTTGCAAAGATGAGAGAAAGGCAAAACCCCAAATTTCATTGCCATGGATCAACATTTTTGGGGTTGTTTCTCTCGCTAAAAGATTATTGCAGAGAGATGGTGTCTCTTTTTGATGCCATTCTATTTTGGAGTTTATTGAAATTGGCCCCTGTTTCTTTTGTTTTTATTTTCTTTATATTACAACAAGAAACGAGAATAAAACAATTTCACGAATTTCTTCTTCTATTGAGCATCAAATCAGTACATTTTTCTAATTAACGATGTGTTAAATTTCAAAACAAAAATATATTTAAAGAAACCTGTCTAATTGTGTTTCATATCATTCTCTTAATCACTTTTTAGTTTTTATTAACTCTAAATTTGAACATGTCGGTGTTCAGGAATATTTTTCAGTAGAGATGTAAATAACTTACGATCAACTGTGTATATGTTTTAAAAAATAATTAAAGATGTTGACAAACAAAAAAGCTAACAAAACTAAGAATATGTAGAAAAGTATTTATTAGAAAACAAATGAATGACATATCATGTTTACAAAACGAAAAAGTGTACATATAGTTGTATTCCAACAAAAAAAACAACAATTACCTCTAAAAATTACACTCGAGCCAAAAAAAAAAAAATTGTTAGCTTCGTAAATGATACATAAGAGATGACTCATAAAGTTGTTTTACATAGGAATATAACTAAAATGTGAATGACTTTTAAGAAAGAAGACAAAACAAAAGAGAAGAGGTCTACTCGGTCCTAGTTAATCAATGGTAATCCATGAGAGGTTCTCATTAATATTAATGATAATCGCATAAAGACGCTGACGTCAACTGAACCATCTCACTGTAACGTGTAATTATATGTCATATGATTTACTCTTTCTCCGTCTAAAGTTTGCGTAAGCCTCAACAAGAAAAATCAAAACATTTATCAATTAATTAGGGATATTACTAAAAACGAAAGTTTTTTTTTAAAAAAAAATTAACCCCAATAATTACATATCTGCTATATACAGAAGAGTGGGATAGTTGGAATGACAAAAATAGGCTTGGACCCAACTCTTCCTCTCTAATCATTAGTTTCCTAATATAGAAACCATAACATGTTTCCTGTGAGTCTCTGACAGGACAGACGAGACGACTACTCACGAGTTCTCGATCTCTCTACTTCCTTAAAAATCCTATATGACCCAAAATTCAAAGGAAAAGACTTTACAATTCAAACGGACTGATATGACATGTATATATTGCTTAGACCATTGCGCTCATCACGTTTCTTCAATTAGCAAGGCAATTTCCATTGATAAGGATCTAAGCACGTCACATAAGTACATTATCTACGCCACTTCATTAAGGAGTGCGTTAATCCTTTCGTTACTTAATCGACAATATGATATTCATCAATTTTATTTGGCGTATTTGTTACAAGAATGATTCTTGATATGCATATCATCAGACAATTCTGTTCTCAATCTGATGATGTAGCTAGCGGCTGATTACCTTATGGTGTTTCTATATACTATAGTCTATATCACATTGTTAGAAAACTCTAATAATAACTCGAGGATCTGAATGCCAATTTCCTTTTCAGAAGTTCAATAAGTTCGATTTTCAGCATAAAAGATAAAAACAAATCATCAAAAGAGAAACATTCAGAGGTCATCCCATAAAATTTACACTAAATATACTGGAAATCCTAATTCCTTTCTTGTTTGCCTTGCTTTGTGCGTTAGTGGTGCTGTATAAATATTTTTACAGAATTATAACAATTAGTGTTACTTCCTACTTTAATTGTAAAAGAGCGTGCCATGGACGGTACTTTAACCATCACAGATTTTAATTAGATTTCGTTATATTGAAGTTGAAATTAGGCAATACAACTCAAATTGATAGGAAATGATCTATAATTATCACAAATAATCCAGCAAATTCTATAATGGTTTATTGTTAGAAGTGCTCGCATTTTTAGAGATTCCAAGGTTCAAATTAAACCCCGATCATACTATCATACGTAAAATGGTTGTTTTAACAAAAGTACACACATAAGCTGATGTTACTGTTACCAAAGAGAAAAGAAGAAGAAGAAGCTGATGATACTCTTTAAAAAAAGGGAACAAAGGGCGCTTATAGAGGTAGAAGAGGTGGGTAAGAAAACTTTAAAATAAAGTCACTTTCAAGCATTGTTACACTTTGTCCTTTCCCATTTGGCTAGTCTCTCTCTTTTGCCTTTTGCCTTTTGTGGTAACTCTGTTTTCCTTATAACATCGTTTCATTAAGTTTCCATTTATGGATTCTTTTCTAGTTGCGTCATGCATGGCAGATCAAAGAAATTAGTGGTTCGAGTTTTGACTAAAACGGTCTTTTTTGCTAAAGAAATTAGCGGTTCGAGATCTGACACTACCATTAGGTCCATCACATGTTACAATTAAACATTTAGCTCAATATTTTAATTTTTGATAGATACAGTTACTTCAAATTTAGTTTTACAAAACCTTAAATCCTGTCTATATTGAAAGGGAATATGTGAAGGATTTTTAATACAATTTTAGCATATATACGAAACGTAAGTTGTGACCGTGGTATGCGGTATTCCATAATGCTGTAACATTTCAAACCCTAAGAAATTGTTGATATTAAATAGATAAGCCATTTGTTATTGTGCTCTGTTCTTTTTCGGTCCCATGTTTTTTTTTTTTTGTTCGTGTTGATGCTGGTTTGTACTCGATTTAGTGTTTTCATAGGGTCTTTGAGTCTTTTAGAGGTTTTCAGTAGTTTGGTTTTTCTCTGAGTTTATAACTTTCTGGGTCAGCTTTGACGTCTTTAGTTTTCTTGGGTTCAATCGTAGTAACGTTTTGGTCCAGCCAGCAGTAAAGCTTATGGTTCGCTTGTTTTTTTGTCAGCGATCCTTAATTTCGTTATGTTAGATCTATTTGGGGTACTTATAGTCGAGTTTATGTTGTTTGTTTAGTACCTTTTGTTTATTTTCGCTCAGATATTGTTTCTCTTGGACTTTCCTTTTGGAAGATAAAATCCTATCAGCTTTGTATATAGAAACCGTATTTCACATTTTCATTCTTATTAATAATATTCATTTTTGTAACATCTGTTTCTAATAAAAATCATATGACAAAATAAAATTAAATGATAGGCATTTGCATTGCCTAATTTACCGAAAAGTATGTTTTTTTTACATTAAAAATTATATATGTAAGAAAGTAGGAAAAAAAAAGAGAAAGCGAAACCCAACTAGAAAATGTTGTGAGCTGAATCATTAACAAAACAAAAAATGGCGAGCTAAAAATTTAACAAAACAAAAAAAATGGTGAGCTGAAAATACACGCCACACACAGCATTATATTGAAAAGAGAAAGTGTAATTAAGCACATTCTTCCGCATTAATCTCTCTCCTCTTTGTGTCATCCAACCTCATATACTACTGATCTCCATTTCCAGATCCCCAAGAACACAACTCAACAATAAGTACTTTAAATACTCTCTCTATATATATATATACACACATACACACCTATATATATCTGTCTCTATCTATCTATTTATCACCACACACACACAAACACAAACATACCTTCTCTCGCTTCTCTATAATTCACACATCAAGATTCAAGAATCAACCATCCTTGAAATGAATCCTGTAATTAATTCTAGGGTTTCAGATTCTTTTTTTTTTTTTTTTTTGCTATTAACTAGGGTTTCTTTTTAGTTGATCTACCTTGCATATATCTCTTTATGACATAGACATACATGACACTGAATCAGGAGGAAGGGGAAGGGACGAACAAGAGGAAGAGGAGAGAGATGGGAAGAGGGAAAATACAGATAAAGAAGATAGAGAATCAGACAGCGAGGCAAGTGACCTTCTCCAAGAGAAGAAGTGGTCTTATCAAGAAGACTCATGAGCTCTCTGTTCTCTGCGATGCTCACATCGGTCTCATCGTCTTCTCTGCCACCGGAAAGCTCTCCGAGTACTGCTCCGACCCACCCAGGTTTACTTCTTCTTCTTCTAATCTTCTTCTTCTTCTTCTTCTTCTTCTTCTTCTTCTTCTTCTCTCTCTCTCTCTCTATATCAAATTAGGGTTTCAGAGATCTATACATACATGTGTATATATGTTTTGATCTAATTAAATGAGTAAAGAGATATGTAACTCGTGCTTGTGAACAGACAGTTTTCATCATTAGTTTCTGAAGTATAGCAGGTACCATGAATAATAATATACTATGTCTTAAGATTTTAATTTGGCCCAGAAGTTAAGGATATCTCTGATGCTTTATATTTATTCTTGCAGTGTTTAATTTGTATATATGTGCACATGCATGTATATAATCATTGTTTATAGATATGGGCAAATTCTATATTTTCTACAGATGCCAAACAGATAGATGTTTCTGCAAATACTTGACATTTCTCGATCAATTCAAAAAAGAAAAACATTTCTTGATCAACCTTTTTCATAAAAAGATCTCAATTTGTGCAGTATATTGTGTGAAATATTTATAACATATATACGTACATATATATAAGTATTTTTTTATGTAAGTCTTATTTTTAATGATTCGATACAAGTACAATTAATTTGAAAGGGTTGTTAACTTAAGTTTTTAGATCTAAGTTATGGATGATGTCCCAAAAAAAATAATATATATAAGTTATGAACCAGAAGACGAACATATAGCCTTATAATATGATGAGACGAAAAATATGCTTATAGTTTTTTGTTTTGGTAAAATGCTTATAGTTTGAAGTTTGCTTTCACAAAACAAAGATGGGGAAACCACCTTTTACTTTTGTTTTTTTTGTAACCAATATTTTTGGCCAAAATATAGATCCTAATAGTGAGAACTATATTCGTTATTTGAGTTGTCTGTTTCCTCCAATAATTATTGAAGTCTTGACGTTGTTAAGATTAAAGATCCTAAATTAATCACAAATTATTATTACCAATATTGAATAGGATGCCTGAGCTCATTGAACGATACTTGCAGACCAATGGATTGCGACTTCCTGATCCTAATGATGACCGGGTAATATATATACTTATATGTACAAAGAAATAATATTTTCAGAAAAACCAAGAATCATTTGGAGTTTATGTGTGGTGTAAATATAGGAGGAATTGTACCATGAGATGGAAGTACTAAGAAGAGAGACACATAAGCTTGAGTTCCGTCTGCGTCCATACCATGGACAGGACTTAGCCTCCATTCCTCCACACGAACTCGACGGACTCGAGCAACAGCTCGAACATTCTGTCCTTAAAGTCCGCGAGCGTAAGGTAATTAGTGTACTATAAATGTTCATATCAATATATTCCTAAAAATATACTGATTGCAGTTTTTTTTGGTTCTCTCTTTTTCATCTCTACTGTTAATATATTGAAGAATGAGTTGATGCAGCAACAATTGGATAACCTAAACAGAAAGGTCACTCTCTAATCACTATTTTAAGTACTCTTAATTAATTTCCTCTAATTAATGATCTTTTATTCATGCGGGTTTAATGATCTTTTATACATGCGGGTTTAATGATCATTACCGTGTCTATAGAGGCGGATGCTGGAAGAAGATAACAATAATATGTACCGTTGGGTAAGTTTAATTACTAGTTAGAAAATGTTAATTTGTTTGGCACATTTCCGGTTAAATGACATATTTTTCTAATGTATACCGGTGTGGTTAATTATTGCAGCTTCATGAGCATCGTACCGCGATTGAATTTCAGCAAGCTGGGATAGACACCAAACCAGGGGAGTATCAACAGTTTCTAGAGCAGCTTCAGTACTATAATAATCATCAGCAACAACCAAACAGTGTTCTTCAGCTTGCTACGCTTCCTTCTGAGATTGATCCTAATTACCATCTCCAGCTTGCTCAGCCTAATCTTCAAAACGATCCAACGGCCAAAATTGATTAATCCTCAACAGAGCTACACTTTCTTTGTGGAGACAAATGAATGAAGTTCTCATATCTTTCTTTGATTACCTATTGTTGATTAGCCAATGCCTTCTTTTGTGTCTGTTTTCTGTGAACCTTGTTTAATTTGAAGTACAATTCCCTTGAGAAACATAGTGGTCACATTTGCCAACTAGAGATCAACTGTTTATGTAATCGCAGATGTGTTCCCATATTATGTTTCTGAAAATAAGGTTTATAAACATTATAATATATTTTATTTGGAAACTTAATAGTTGGCTATATAAAGACAGAGATATCTGAGCATGTGTAAGAAAGCTAATTAACCTCAGGGTTATAAACTAAAAAAAAAAAACAAACTAATTATTGGCCAAAACAAAAACTGTTGTTCTGTTGTTTCATAGTGAAGATTGACGTTGTTTTGAGTAACGTTAGAGAAGAACAGCAATTTTCCAATAAGCCCCATAAGATTCCGAATGCGAATTTTTCCACAATGCGGATATTGAGATAGCCAGGTTAGACTCAGCTCAATATATAGCTGTCGCTAAAGAGAGAGTGAAACAACACATATGAGTACACACTATTCTTAGATTATTGGCCGAACAAAAGGAAAAATCCAGCTCAGAATCTTTGTATTGTCTAATGGACAAGCTTATCAAATATTTTCACTGAAATTACAGCGTGGATCACAATCCCAAAAATAACTCTTATAAACTCAGCCAAGGTTGAGATAAGAAAATCAATTAACTTTATTTATTTTTCTTACAGAGGAATGCAACGGCGATCAAGAAGCAAGAAAGGAGTTTCGGAAGAACAATCTTCCTTTCCTCTTTTCCTCTTCAATCTTTTCTCATTATAAAGACGAGAAAACTCGAGCTCTTACCTTCTTGACCGCTCGAACAACCATCATCATCATCATCTAAATCCCCCCTCAAAACGCTGCGTTTAAATCCATGGCAGGAGGATCTTTTGTAGCCGAGAGAGGCCATGGAGGAGACTACGAAGAAGGCCGTGTTACTGCTTTTGTCGTGATTACCTGCATTGTGGCTGCAATGGGCGGTCTTCTCTTCGGTTACGATATCGGTATCTCAGGTTTGTTTGTTTCTTCTCAACCAATAAACCAGATTTCTCTCCTTCTCTCTCTGCTTCTTCTCTTCTCATGTAGAAGTATTAAACATGTTTCTCAGGAGGAGTGACATCAATGGAGGAGTTTCTAACGAGATTCTTCCCCGACGTGCTTCGTCAAATGCAGAACGAAACAAGGCACGAAACAGAGTATTGCAAATTCGACAATGAGCTTCTCACTCTCTTCACCTCCTCTCTCTACCTCGCAGCTCTATTCGCCTCTTTCCTCGCTTCAACAGTCACACGGCTTTTCGGCCGGAAAATCTCAATGACGATCGGAAGTCTCTCTTTTCTCTCCGGAGCTCTTCTCAACGGTTTTGCTATCAACCTCGAGATGTTGATCATCGGGAGGTTACTTCTCGGTGTAGGCGTCGGATTCGCTAACCAATCTGTTCCTCTTTACCTCTCTGAGATGGCTCCTGCTAAGATCAGAGGAGCTCTCAACATCGGTTTCCAATTAGCAATCACGATCGGGATCTTAGCAGCGAACCTTGTCAACTACGCGACGCAGAAGCTCACGAACGGGATCGGGTGGAGATTCTCTCTCGGTTTAGCTGGTATCCCTGCTGCTTTAATGCTCGTCGGATCTTTTCTCTTGCCAGAGACGCCAAACTCAATCCTCGAACGTGGAAACAAAGAAGAGGCTAAGAACATACTACAAAAGATCAGAGGAACCATGGAGGTTGATCATGAGTTTATGGATCTTTGCAACGCGAGTGAAACGGCAAAGAGAGTTAAGCGTCCATGGATGAACATAATGCAAGCTCGTTATAGACCGCAGCTTATATTCTGCATCTTTATACCATTCTTCCAGCAGATGACCGGGATTAATGTCATCATGTTCTATGCACCTGTCTTGTTTAAGACCATCGGTTTTGGAAGCGAAGCCTCTCTCATATCGGCAGTGATTACTGGTCTCGTCAATGTCGTCTCTACGATCGTCTCCATCTACTCTGTCGACAAGTTCGGACGTAGAGCTCTGTTTCTTGTAGGCGGTGTCCAGATAATGTTGACCCAGGTGCGTACAAACACTGAAACAGAGTATCCTGCTCTGTTTTAAGAAAAACAGAGTATCCTGCTCTGTTTTAAGAAAAAACAGAGTATCCTGCTCTGTTTTAAAAAAAAACAGAGTATCCTGCTCTGCCTTAAAAACAGAGTATTTAACATAGATTTGTTCTTGCTTCGGTTTCAGATCGCAATTGGTTCGTTGATCGGGTGGAAATTCGGATTGAATGGAGAAGGGTCCTTGTCACATGTGGATGCAGATATACTCTTGGCTTTAATATGTCTTTACGTGGCGAGTTTTGCGTGGTCGTGGGGACCGTTGGGATGGTTAGTGCCGAGTGAGATATGTCCATTGGAAATCAGATCGGCGGGACAATCGTTGAACGTTTCGGTGAACATGTTCTTCACGTTCGTCATTGGACAGTTTTTCTTGACAATGCTTTGCCACATGAAGTTTGGTCTGTTCTACTTCTTCGCCGTCGTGGTCTTGATCATGACGGTTTTCGTTTACTTTTTGTTGCCTGAGACGAAAGGAGTTCCGATTGAGGATATGGGGAGACTGTGGAAGGATCATAGATTCTGGGGGAAGTATACTCTTGATGTTAATGGCGATAATGATGATGATGATGATGTTTATGTTTTTAATTTAAAAGCTTGATTTGATTAAGATTAGTTTGTTAGGATTTGATTAATTTTATTGAAAAAATGCATGTACTTACCAATGTGCGAAATCGAAATGAGGAAAAAATCAATAAAGGGATGTACATATTTTGGGATTCAAACCTTACAACCTTTCTTCTCTTATTAAAACAGTATAACAAACTCTGCCATATTTTGGTTAAACCTAATCATACGGCTAATCCAGATTAATTTAACAACATAGCAAGACTCTATCGTATTTTCGTAAATTAAAGCTTTTTTTTGTTGCTTAAAAAATTAAAGCTTCTTAATTACGAACATTCAGAGCAAATATCTTCGCTAAGTATGGAAATCTGCTGGATAAGCGATCGGTGACTAACATCAGCCCAACCGTTGCGGAACAAAAATACGTATTGCAAAAAGAATTTGATGGATTCAGCCCAACATTAACCAATATGTAGTCAAGTTCATCAAAAATCAAAAGTTTTCATCAATACCATATTAATTAGTTAATTCACCAGAACAAAGAGAAAACAGAAAATGTTTTTCTTTTCATATTCATGCTTAGAAGTGAGAATTACAGTGTTTCTTTATTTTGCAAGTATCTGTATAACTTAACTAACCCTCTTACGAGTCAACTCCCAAAGTCAACCAGTCAACCTCCTATATTAGTTACTTGTTTATAAGAAAATAAAATAAACGTCATGCACATGACTTCTCAATTATCTATTATAATCTGCCTTATTCACTCCAAAACATTCGTGTTAGATTGGGTTTCAAGTTTACAGTACAGTCTTTACAAAAGACTGACATGAGGAGACATCGCTCATGGTTGCATATTTGCCTTGGCTCCGTTCATTAACAATAAGAAGTTTCGTTTGATTAAAATATCTGTTAACGTAGGATAATAATTAAACAAATGCACCTTGCATAGATCATAAGTCATAACTAAATTCTTTTTGCGATATATAAGAAAAAGAAATCTTGATGAGACAAAGTGACAAACGACATAACAAAATATCTCGTTAGTTCTACATTCTATTTAGCAGTTTCTTCTACCTTCAAATATCGGTTTATCCCTAATTAATAATGAAAATTTATCAAATTAATAATTTTTATTGACAAATTTCTTAGTCTATGATTCCGCCTAAACATATGTCGTTTAATCGATATTCTGCATTTTAACATGTTAAAAACGATGTAAGTATATTTTCTTTAATGTACAACATGAAATTTCAAAAATCTTTCATATCGAATTCTCATTCATTCTTATATAAACTGTCATCCATTCTTATACTTCTCTTTTATCATAGATACATTTAAATCATGAAATTGTACATGTCTTTGGGTTTTCATCGTCTTAAACAATCTAGAAAACGAAATATTAGTTATATACTTATATTGATTGATCGATTCAGATTTTTAATTAATTACATCACATTTTTGATCGTGTTGTTTTACGTAGAGACATCCGTTTTTTACTAATCAAAATGCACATGAGTTGTGACGTTACTATTATATATTAACGGAGAGATTAGATTGGGTTTTTAAATGACCTTTATTTTAATTTACTTTATCCCAAAATAAAATAAATGTCATCTCCCTTTAGCCGTTTATACATTTGTGTTAGAGTATCGGTTCAAGTTTACGGTCCAGACTTTACAAAAAGGATACATTACCGGTAAATCTACACATCGCTCATGATTGTAGATTTGCATTGGCTCACAAGAACGGTAAATTGACAATTAAACAATAAGAAAATCCATTTTTAATGGACTACTGTATTTGTTAAGGAACGACAGTTAAAACATATATTAATTAGCAAAAATGCTGGGTGCATAGGTCATAAATAAATTATTGTCGCGAATGACGACATAAGGAAAAAAATCTTGATGACACAAACGACATAACAAAATCTTGCGTATCTGCCAATTGGACTAATCACTCTTTCTTTCTTGACGGCGACTAATCACTTCTTCTCAAGGTCAGACTCGAGGGGAATTATTAAGTTAATGTTCGCTAAAAATAATATATATATATTATATACACACTAAAAATAATACATGTATTATATACACACAAATTAACAAACTCCTTGATAAAGAAATTCAAAATAAATGTAATGTGATTTACGATTGGCCTTGGCTTGCAGCTTATTTGTTGTATATTTATTCGTACGTTTTTACAAATAGATAATTCATCTCACAACCTTTTTTTTGTTTTGTTTTTGATATAAACACAGCCTTATTTATATATTACAAATTGAGTATAGAAGATCTAACTTACTAGATCTTACTACAACGTTTCCTGAAACATATTTAACATTTTAAATATAATATTTCTACGTTTTCAACATGATATGTGCAGTGTGCTGTTATTGTAATATACGAAGCTTCTCCAACTTACGCCAGTTTTCTAATAATATACGAAGAGATGCATAAACGTATCGAGCAAACTCAAATAATTGACATTTTTCTATGGTGTGGACAAAGGAATTTTGGATGATAGAGCTTTCGTTTTTTGCCATTTCACGTAAAACACGTGATAGTGCAGATATTTAAGCTGATGGCAAAAAATATTGCCAAATATATGAAGAATAAATAAATATGCAGGACAAAAACTATAATTTAATAAGTTTCTTTTTTCTTGCTAAACATTACTTAATACGTTTTGATGTCAAAGTCTGCTTACCAATCTATTACCTCACTGATTGTCTCCTTTTCAATCTTTTCAATTGCTAAATAGAATAGCTTTTTTCTTTCTAAAAGATCAATTTACACAAATTTGTTTTTCACATTAAGCTAAAAATAATTACTTGCCAGATTAGTCGCCCCAAAATTAAAAAGTTTTGAGGCTTTTGAAAGAGTTTTACTAGACCGAGAACATCGTGTATCCAGCGGATTTGCTGTTTTGCAAGTATCCACCAAATTCAAACCCATATACATTACGTGGTAAATCTTTACAAGTTAAAAAAGGAATGGTAAAATCTTTGGTGACGTGGCAGGGAGAAAAAAGCATGGATAAACGTCGCTTAAATGCACGTAGCAGCCTTCAGCAACCACAGAAAGGACCGGGTCCCACCTAGCTTAAATTCTCCTGCCGGAGCGTGGTCCCCACGCGACTACTTCACCGGAGGCCGAGTGCGTGAAGTCCACCGCGTCGTGACAAATAATATGTCCCCTCAAAAAAGCAAAGGAGGAAAAAAAAAGAAAAAAAAAAAAAAACCAGAGAGGGTGAGCTGTGAGAGGGACCCACCACCCATGTGCCCTCCTTCCTGTCTCCACCAGCTCCTGCCTCTCAATCATTAGCTTCCCCTTCTTCTCCTCCTCCTCCTCCTCCTCTCCCTCTGTATCTGCTTCAGAGTATACTAGTCAAGACACTGAGCAACAAGTTTATCTCTTCCAAAAATCAACACAAAAACCAGATCGTCTCATGTCGAATAACACCGAAGGAGTTATGATCTCGAACGGAGCAGCTATACAGAGACAACAACAGCAACAGCAGCAATCCTCCGACGGAGCTCTTGTCGTGAAGAAACCTCCGGCGAAGGATCGACACAGCAAAGTCGACGGAAGAGGGAGGAGGATCCGTATGCCAATCATATGCGCAGCTCGTGTTTTCCAGCTAACCAGAGAGCTTGGCCACAAATCCGATGGCCAAACTATCGAGTGGCTACTCCGTCAAGCCGAGCCTTCTATCATAGCCGCCACAGGAACCGGCACAACGCCGGCGAGTTTCTCCACCGCATCTGTCTCAATCCGCGGCAACTCCACCACCAATTCGACTTCTTCAACCTGCACTTTGTCCTCTTCTCTTCTTGATCATAAACCTTTGCTTGGATCCTCGCCGTTTATACTCGGAAAACGTGTGAGAGCCGATGAGGATACCGGAGGAGGTAAAGACGAGACAATGGGATCTTTTGCTACGCCGGCTGGGTTCTGGGCGGTTCCGGCGAGGCCAGATTTCGGACAAGTTTGGAGCTTTGCCACTGGAGCTCCACAAGAGATGTTCTTACAACAACATCAACAACAACAACAACCAGGAGCTGCGCTTTTCGTCCACCAGCAGCAACAGCAACAAGCTGCGATGGGTGAAGCTTCTGCAGCTAGAGTCGGGAATTATCTTCCGGGTCATCTTAATTTGCTTGCTTCTTTATCCGGTGGACCTCCCGGGTCGGGTCGGAGAGAGGATGACCCACGTTAATGGTGAATATTAAGACCCTTTTATTAGTTTGGTATATATTATTATATATCTCTCTGTTTCTCTCTATTGTCATTGATCAATCTCCTGCCTTTTTTTTTCTTCTTTACTTGAGTGGCTTCTCTCTCTCTATGTGTGCGTTTTAGTTTTCAGAGATTGATTGGTTCCAGAAGTGATTTGAGAGAGTATCCTTAGTGTTTAAGTTAAGATTAGGGTTAGGGTTTAAGAATCTGGTTTTTGGTTTTTGTGGGAGATCGATTTCTCATCGGATCCAAGACTACTTTAGTAGTAAAGCTCATGTTTTTTCTTTCTTTAGGAAAAGGGTAATTGAGAAACCGCGGAGGCTTCGCCCTTTTTGTCTGGTTTTTCCGGCGAGACAGAGCCGTCGTCAAAAATTCCAGATTATATTGTTTGTTTTTGTTGCTAATTGTGTAATGTGTTTACATTTGTGGTGAGCAATTGCGCAAGCTGTTAACCACGTTTATTTTTAATAAATGTTTCCCGACTTCATTCATACAGACAGTAATTGTTTTTGCGAATTTTCTGCATTTATTGATAGACAAAAGCTTTATTGTGAGTGTGATTGTTTCGCTGAAATCGAACTGCTCCAGGATGCACATAAATCTCTTTAATGAGGCTTCTTCTTTTGGGGGTTCGAGTTGTGATTTGAATGTGAGAACAGAGGATTAAGTAAAAAAAAAGACAGACCAGCTGTGTCGTCTGTATGAAGTCTTCTACTTTTTATTGCCTTCTTGTTTCATACGAACTTTTGTCCTATGTTTGGAATTTGGAAGTTTGGTTTGTCACGAGAAAGATTGATTCATTGTTTTGAAAACCTTATGGCGACAGGACATCTTTAAATTAATTTCTCCATATTTTTTGTTTTGGAAACTTTATAACAGAATTCAAAGAAAAAGAGTTAGAAGGATGTCTCTTATCTACGATTAGCTATTCAAAACGTGGCGGATCCATAATCAGCATTTCTAATCATAGCGTGGTGTTTATACAAGCCTAGACTAACTACTACACTTGAATTTGAGGGAACTCAACTGTTATTTTTTTTTTCCAAGAACTCAACTGTTTATACATTATTACTAAATGACTATTTCGGCCAAAAAAAAACCACTCTTGTAATTTAAATCTTGGTGAAGGACAGATACACGAAATAAACCTGGTAAACAAAAAATAAGTAAAAGGAATACGAAAAAATTATGTTTATTTAGCCCTGGTATATTTAATTAAAGCTTCAAATAGAAAATTTCTTATCCCAAATTAAAGCATGAAAATACTCATCAAATATAGTTGTTTTTTATTTGTTCAAAACTCATCAAATTTAGTTAATGACTAACGCGTATCGTAACTATTATATCTGCTGAATGAATTTATTAAAAATAATAATGTGTGTATCACAATTATATCTACTATCAAAAGTGTTTAGATAGGTTTCAGTTGGCAAACAAAATGTAGATATGTTTCTTGGACTGGTTAGGTCGCACTAACTAATCAATAATCAAACAAATTTTGCCATAAATTAAGAATCCATTAATGGAAAGGTCTTAGCTAAAAGTAGGTGTTTTTATTTCTTAATTAGTACGAGTAGTAATTAACACTTTGGCTATATAATATAATGCAAATAATTATAGGTGGGGATGTTAGTAATCAACTCGTATCAAAAACATACCGTACCTTTTATTGTCAATTCATCTAAATGATCCTAACCCCAAATCCCCAATAATTGATATGGTCCCATTCTTTCTACCGAAAATAATGTCTATAGGTTGGCAATATTTTAATTTTGTTTTGTGAAAAAGGAAATATATTTTGCATTTTGGACCGACACACGTAAGTAAATAGCCTCTCTTTCACCTCACTGTACCAGCTCTATGCCTTATTAAATGTACTGTCAAATAGTTTCCCAGTAATCTTATTTTTCAGCAGGAATTGATTACTAAAAATCATTTATAGAGATACTCAGATTTGTAAATTCTACGGACATAATACATTCGCACATTTAAAGAGATAGAGCCCTAAAAGAACATCGACACTTATCCTTTGAGGAAAAAGAGATAAGGAATGTGAACAAACATCCGACACGTATCGATTTGGGTCGAATATGTTTCTTCTTTTTTTTTACAAAATAAAATAAATTTCATTCTATCATTATGCATTAATTTTTTACTAGTGCGATGAAAAACGTGGATTTTTTTAGGTGGAATTGTTAGCAACGACGATAGCTAATTACTAAAAAGCCCTCAAATACCAAATGGACCGCTATGGGCCTTTGTATTGGGATTAATGGGCCACAATTCACTCTAACGCTAAACTCAAATTAATGGGCCACAGCTCGTCTCGATGCTGAGAATTGCTTTTGGCGCAGAGTTCAGCGATTCCGCAACTCGGAGGACGCGGCTGTGTGAGTGAGAGAATGGCGTCGTCATCGTCGAGAGGAGAGATGGAGAAGATGGGAATCGATCAGCTAAAAGCGTTGAAGGAGCAAGTGGATCTGGAAGTAAATCTCCTCCAGGATAGTCTTAACAACATCCGCACAGCCACCGTCCGCCTCGATTCCGCCGCCGCAGCTCTCAACGATCTCTCTCTTCGACCTCAAGGTCCGTTCGCATCACTCTCTGCTCCAATCGTTTTACCGCCTCTCGTTCTTCAGTAGAGTAAATGATTTTTGAATTATAGGTAAGAAGATGCTTGTACCACTCACTGCCTCTCTCTACGTGCCTGGAACACTTGATGAAGCTGATAAGGTTCTAGTTGATATTGGCACTGGTTACTTCATCGAGGTATATACAATCAATCACAATGGGCTTATGAATCCGTTCTGTATCGTTCCTGTGTAGCTAAAGTTGGTTCATGTGTTTATGCATTTTATGTGTGTTTTGTAGAAAACAATGGAAGACGGAAAAGATTACTGTCAGAGGAAGACCAACTTGTTGAAATCGAACTTTGACCAACTTTTTGAGGTACGTTTTTGGTGGAAAATATATCCAAATTTGAAAATTTTCACTCTTGGCAACTTTCAAATGCCTGTGATTTGGTTTTTAGAGCGATCCTGAGGGAAAATAAAGAAAAAGAGCTATAGATTATGACTGCTCGGATACGGAAGAATAACACAATTCTCATCAACATTTATCAAAATTGTGATATTACTAAGTGGACAGAGTTCAAATGAAATGGAATCTGATTCTCAGACACTCCCTAGAGCCGTGCATGCATACATGAATAAACTAAGTAGAGTCTCCACTCGACTCTGCATTTGAATCGCTGATCCAATACTTGTTACTGTGTCTGATTATTCTAGAATCCAATGCTATGATCTCTCCTTTCCATTTGCTTTGTCCTTCACAGCTTCAATGCACATTTATCGACATCAATCTTGCACATATATTTGAAAAGCTATAAACTTTACTGCTATAGCTTACATATGTTCCATTCAATGCAGGTGTTGGCAAAAAAGAAAAGCTTGGCAGATGAAGCCGGGATGGTTATGCAGGCCAAATTTAAACAGTTACAAGCTGCACCAACGTCATGAAAATCTTATTCTCTAGTGCATTTACTATTGACACCTGTTTTGAGATTGCAATTTGTTTTAGTTAATCGGTTTTGTTATGACTCTTTTGTTCTCAATCGGGCAGTGTACTATGTACTGGATGAACTTGTGCTGTAATACTTGAAAAAAATACAAATGATAAAACTAGTGACTATGAGAAAATTGCTCGTTATTTCTCATAAAACGAGGGAAAAGAGACAAGCTATGAGGTTATCTTGTCAGGGAGAAAGAAAACAACTGAATCAATGAAATTAAATACAACGTTTTTGTTTTTGTTGTATGAAAACGAAGACACTCCTACTCGGCTTCGTGATTCATCATCTGTGATCTGCACCAATTGCTTCTTGAATCGACTTGAAACCATCCCTTTCTAAGCAACTCACCAGTTCCTCCTATTGCACCAAAAATACACGGATTTTAGTACCCATGAAGGCAACATGCAGAGTTGATTATGATTACAACAAACATATGATTTTTTTTTTTTTTTCAGTTTTTGACACCAAGTGCTTCAAGGATTTGGTCTAATAAGAGTTTAAACTTTGTGAAGGTGAAGGTAGTCTTAAGACTTTCTCTATGCTAATTAAACTTCCATTATGGAAGAAAAGACCAGTCTTTATGGGAAAGGATATACCTTTATTTGTGGGATGAGCGCGGGTCCTCCATACGCAAACCCCGTGTACAGCTGAACAAGAGTTGCTCCGGCTCTTATTTTCTTGTAAGCATCCTCACCACTGAAATACACAAAGATTCATCTGAATCAAATTTTTGTGTGTTTTGTTTTCCTCACAATCTACAACGTTTTGAGACGTTTACCTGCTAACACCACCGCAGCCTATCAGTGGAATCTTTCCCTAAGTAGAGCCAAAAACCCGAATCAGAAATGTTTTAGTTCCTTGGTAGAATAGCAAATCATCTCTTTTTAGATATAAACTTACTCGTGTCAAAGTGTACATCTCTCTCAACATGTTGGTGGAGAGAGGAAAGAGCGGTTTCCCGCTCAAACCACCTTTTTCTGTTGCCACGGGGTTGTTGGTTACAGGCTCTGGCCTCGAGACTGTTGTATTTGATATGATCTACGGGAAACAAAGACAGTATCATCATCATACGAAGCTCTATGGTCTGCAACATACCGTGACTTACAACAGAAATCAAAAACTTTTCTAAACCTTTGGTTGCTTTTTCAACACTACGTTATATTGACACTGATGAAACAGAAGTCAGTTCGTGTATGAAGATAACTTACCAGCCCATCCAAGTGGAGAGCAAGAGCAACCTACACAAAACAAAACAGAGATGTAAGACCATTTACTTGGAAAGTATAGAATTAGTTTCGTTTTATTTTTAGTACAACGCACCGCTGCAATATCTTCGAGATCTCCTCTGGACAGATCAGGAGCAATCTTCACAAGAAGAGGAGGAGGACCATCATCACCCCATTGCATCTCATCACGAGCAGCTTGAACCTTCTTCACAAGGTCCTTCAACTCTTTCCTTCCCTGAAGCATACGCAGCCCTGGCGTATTGGGTGATGAAACATTGATTACCTGCAGAGAAAAACTAAAATCAGGAACAGAGAATAAAAGGGTCGAAAATCAGGAACAGAGAATAAAAGGGTCGATTAGATCAAATGAATGCTCGACAAATCCGGACAAGAAGTTTGTACTAGGTAATCAGCATATTGGGATAAGTTATGAACTCCTTGGACATAATCAGCAGCAGCATCTTCACTTGTCTTGTTCTTTCCAAGGTTGACCCCAAGGATACCAGGTCCAGATTTTCCCCCCGGTTTTACTTCATCGCTTGGAGATGACGAAGTGCCTGATGTTTCCGCCAACATTCTTTTACCATGTTGAGCACCCAACCGCTTGGCAACGACAACAATCCCTTCACTGTTAAATCCACACCTATTGATAATGGCTCTGGATTGACAAGAACACATCCGAAAAGCAAAAATTTTGAGTCTTTTGATTGAAAATTTTGATTATTTGATCATTAAAGGTAGTTTGTTACCAATGTACAAGAAAAGTGGTTTTGAGATTCTCACCCATCTTCCTTTAATCTGAAGATACGTGGTTTCGGATTGCCTTCTTGTGGAACTGGAGTTACAGAGCCTACCTCAACAAAGCCAAATCCAAGTCCTAGCAATCCCTCGGTAGCCTCAGCGTTTTTGTCAAACCCAGCAGCAAGCCCAATTGGGTTTGAGAATTTCCTTCCCCAAACTTCGAGTCCCAAGATTTGTGGATCAGGCCTCTTTTCTCTAGGCACCCACCCGCGAGCAGCAGCCGTAACAGCCAGCTTATGCGCAAACTCAGCATCCAGAAGAGCAAATAAAGGATTAACAACCTTTGTTGCTGAGAACAGCCACCCACTGTCCAACACAAGAGATGAGCAAAACGTAAAAACAAAGTGATTCTCTCAGAGTGACTACAAGTTAGCCTTTGCAATGTAGACTAACAAAGAGATTATAAAGACAAAAGTATGTAATGTCTCAGGCAAGTATTAAGTACCAGAAGGTTGCTTCATCTGCAGTACTCACATAAGCTCCTCCAGCTATGGCCAGACCAATGGTAGCTCCTGTCAATATCCTTCCCTACAAATTTCAAGACAGGCGAAGATAAATACTTGAGACATGAAAATTAATTCAAAAATGATATAGCTCTACTACAACAGATATAAGCATTTGATCATAAAAGAAAAACCGATGTAGTGTAATTGGAAATCTTCTGCATAGCTTCATCTTAACGAAATTCCCGAAGCGAATACGATTCCAATATGAAAAGAAATTCGTTTCTCAACCGCAAAAGATATTACTTTATCAAGAAATTCATCAAAGCTGCTTACTTTCTTGGAAAAATGAGGGACTTTAGGTGCAGAGGAAGCTCCAGGAACCGAAGAACAGTTTCGAATCGCTCCAAGAGAATTCGACGAGACCCTTCTGAACAAAAAGTCTCTCGCCCATTTAACCGACGATGTCGCAGCCCTTGCGGCCATTGAAACAATCAAATGGACAGTGGAAGCAAATCGAATTTCAAAAGGGTTTATTTGCTTTTTGAGGTTTTACGCTTTTAGCTCACGGCGTGACAGAGAATACGCTTTGTTGGTCGGTTTCAAAAGATCATCAGTATTTGCTAAAACCCTTGCTTTGTTGGCTGTTGCTGCACAGCTTCCTTCAGGTTGATCTTTCCGGTTCCATTTACCGGTTTAATTTGGTTAACCGGATGGAAATTTTCAAAGTTTGTAGTTTATAACAGCAATAACCGGGTCGAACCAACTGATTGATAAGGCCCTTTCTCTGAGAAAGCGAACCCAAGAGTGAAGCACTCTGTCTTCTAATTCTAAGAGATTTTGGTGACGACAGTGGAAGGAAGTAAAAATGGCTTCTTGTGTTGTGATGACAAGCAGTTTCTGTACTATTTCAGATTCTAGAATACGTCTGAAATCCTCCAGGCTTGTCCATCTGGTTCGATTCCTCTTTTGCTTTCCTTACGAGTCATTGAAGTCCCCTGTGGTTTTGGTTCTCGTGAATCTGTCCCTTTCAATCACTAAAGCTTTCAAATTTCGTTGTTTTTGGTTTCTTTTTAGAGTAATCAGCAGAGAAGACGCTCTCTTGGGTCTCGAGGTGGTTTAAAGGTGGAAGCTTACTACGGTCTAAAGACACCTCCTTATCCACTTGTAAGTCTAAATGAGCCAGATACGCTTAGTTTTAGTAGTTTTATTTTAGTGAAATGCTTTCATCTTCTTGTTGCATACGGATTCTCAGTGTCTTGCTTCTGTAAAGCCATTTGATGTTCTATATCAAGCACAAAATTGTGGAAAGCTGGTTAATTTGGGTGAAATGTCTGTTGATTTTAGGACGAACTTGCATCTTCATCTGTGTATCTTCTCTCTCTTGAAATTACTTCTGATAGTTGATCTTAGGGCCTTTGGTGATATGCTAAAGAACATACTTTTGTTGATATTCTAAACATACTGTCAACAGGATGCTTTGGAACCGTATATGAGTCGAAGAACACTGGAAGTGCATTGGGGTAAACACCATCGAGGTTATGTGGAAAATCTAAATAAACAGTTAGGGAAAGATGATAGACTCTATGGATACACCATGGAAGAGCTTATCAAGGCGACATACAACAATGGGAATCCTTTGCCCGAGTTCAACAACGCTGCACAGGTACTTACTTTCTAAGCTATTTGTACATCACCCGAGACACAAGCTAATGTTGGAAGGATTGTTGTTTAAGGTCTACAACCATGATTTCTTCTGGGAGTCGATGCAACCTGGTGGTGGAGACATGCCTCAAAAGGGTGTTCTTGAGCAGATTGAGAAAGATTTCGGTTCTTTCACAAATTTCAGAGAAAAATTCACAAATTCAGCTCTTACACAGTTTGGTTCCGGCTGGGTGTGGCTCGTCTGTGAGAAACTCTACAAGCTTTTCACTTGAGAATTTATAATCTGGAAAGTAAAAACGGGAAATCTTGATTCTCTTTTTGTTTTCTGGAATTTCAGTGAAGAGGGAAGAGAGAAGACTCGAGGTGGTCAAGACCTCAAACGCCATTAACCCGCTCGTGTGGGACGATATTGTATGTTATTAGAGTACCATTAGTTTTCTTGTTAAACTTGAAGTTACCTCTTTGATCACATCTCTTTTGTTGTTACAGCCAATCATCAGCTTGGATGTGTGGGAGGTAAACTATCCCTCTCTTCCCTCATACTCCCAAGAAACACTTACAAAAAGAAAAAAAAAAATACGAACTTTGCTAATTTCTTCCGTTTTCTTATCTTACATTGCAGCACTCTTATTATCTGGACTACAAGGTAAAAGTAGCTTCAATGTCGACGACCATTTCATGTTCTTTTTTGATCCTTCAGAAGGCTAAATGAGTGTTTTTTTTTTCGGGTGCTAGAACGAGAGGGCTAAGTATATAAACACATTTCTAAACCACTTGGTGTCGTGGAACGCTGCTATGAGTCGGATGGCTCGTGCAGAGGCGTTTGTGAATCTTGGTGAACCCAACATCCCGATTGCGTAAGCTAAAAAATCTTTTTTGAGAGTCCATGTTATAGCAGAAAACAACTCCTTGGCAGGTCTCATTTTTGCAACAGAGGTCTCAAGACTCTCTCAACCAACAAATAAGAGCTTTCTCATGTGACCGATCTTTTTTTGTTCTGTGTAACTCAGCAGTAGTTTTTCTCTTCTTTTGCCTTTGAGAGAATCTAATACATATGCCATAGACTGTTTTCTTTATTTATTTAGTAACAATTATATTTTGTTTGTGTTTTTTTTCTTTAACGACTAAGTTAAAAGTGATAGCAGTTACCCTTTATTTTATTGCTTCGGGGTGTTAAAAAAAAAATCTGTTAAAAACGTTTTTTTTTTTCGTTAAACGAAAGCTTCCGACGACAAAAAAAAAAAGAAAAAAGAACAAAAAGCTTCTGATAAGGATGATTAATTCCCATTAATTTACCATGGAAAGAATCGTTCAGATTTTTCTCATTAGTTAACTTCCATACGTGTATGATATGTGTACAGATGTTGAGTAATTTAAGCTATACGACAAGTAATCACGGTTGATGAGAAGGTGGAAGAAGACAAGCAGCAAAAGTGGGAAATGTCTCTCTGTCTCAATCTCAAAGTCGTTGACTTTAGTTTGTTGAGTGTCTCTTACTGACCAAACATAACAAACCGCCATTGGAAGTGCTCAAATATAAGACGCATTTCCTCCTTTGTACCAAGTGTCAAAATCCCTGAATTGCCCATCCACCGAACATGACATGGTTTCAGAGGTGAGGTTCTTTGCGTCATTTTCACAAATTCTGTGTTGCTTTCCTTGTACCACACGATCCGTAAGTCTCATCTGATAATGCCCCTTTAACATCAAGAGAGAGGAAGAAGATAGCAGCTGAGGGTGGGGGAGTGAGAGACTGATTAGATTGGATTTAGGGGTTTTCATTTCATAGCAGCTCTGTTCCTAATTCGATTTGTCTCTGTTTAATTTGATTTTGCCTCTCTCTGACCATGGCATCGGTCTGCGTTAACGATACTTTAACCGACGACGAGCTGAGATGGGTATTGTCGAGGCTAGACAGCGACAAGGACAAGGAAGTGTTCGGTCATGTCTGCAAGCGGTGGCTACATCTGCAGAGCACCGACCGGAAGAAGCTGGCGGCGCGTGCTGGTCCACACATGCTCGGCCGTCTCGCCTCCAGGTTCACTCGAATCGTGGAATTGGACTTGTCTCAGTCAATCTCAAGGTCCTTTTATCCAGGTGTCACTGATTCCGACCTCGCTGTCATCTCCGAGGGATTCAAGTGCCTCCGAGTTCTCAATCTCCACAACTGTAAAGGTACTCTTTTTTTTTTTGGATTTGAACTACAAAGGCTTCTTCCCATTTTTTTCTATCTATTTGGATTCCATATATCTGACTAAACTTGAAAGGAAGAATTTTTAGACAGTATAGGTGTTAGATATGCTTTCCGGTTATTATTGCTAACTTCAGTGTTGTTTCCCTTATGGGATAAAGAAGAAATAGTGTTTCAGCTGTGTGTTTCATATAATTACATCTCTATGATTCCTTGGCTCATTGCATTGGTATGGATGTTTTGGCTGAACTTCCGAGTGTCTGTATGAGCCTCTTTGTTTGCCAGATAGATGACTTATGTGTTGTCATGATAGTGGAACAATTCTGTGGAAGATAGGTTTCTGTTATTATCCTTGGGTGTTGTGAATTCTGGTAATGATTTTGACTTCTGGAAACAGGTATTACAGATACTGGTTTGGCCTCAATTGGACGGTGTCTATCTTTACTGCAGTTTCTAGATGTATCATATTGCAGAAAGCTCTCAGACAAAGGATTATCCGCTGTTGCAGAAGGCTGCCATGATCTAAGGGCATTGCATTTAGCGGGTTGTCGTTTCATCACTGACGAATCGCTGAAATCACTTTCTCAGAGATGCCGTGACCTGGAAGCTCTCGGGCTTCAAGGCTGTACCAATATCACTGATTCAGGCCTTGCTGATCTCGTGAAAGGATGTAGAAGGATACAAACTTTAGATATCAATAAATGCAGCAACGTAGGAGATGCTGGAGTTTCCACTGTGGCGAAAGCTTGTGCATCTTCCCTCAAGACGCTCAAACTGCTAGACTGTTACAAAGTTGGGAACGAATCTATATCGTCCCTGGCTCAGTTTTGCAAGAATTTGGAAACTCTGATAATTGGTGGATGCAGAGACATCTCTAACGAATCCATCATATTACTGGCAGATTCATGCAAAGACAGTCTCAAAAACTTGAGGATGGATTGGTGCTTAAATATATCCGACTCTTCCCTTACCTGCATTCTCAAGCATTGCAAGAACTTGGAGGCTCTTGATATCGGTTGTTGCGAGGAGGTTTCAGACACCGCTTTCCTGGGATTAGGGAGCGACGATTTTTTGGGATTGAAGGTTTTAAAAGTGAGCAACTGTCCAAAGATTACAGTAACAGGGATAGGCAAGCTTTTGGAGAAATGCAGTTCCCTGGAGTACCTAGATGTAAGGTCTCTTCCACATGTGACAGAAGTAAGATGCAGTGAAGCTGGCCTCGAGTTCCCCAAATGTTGTAAAGTTAACTTTTCTGGAAGTTTAACCGAGCCAGATGTTCTGCTTTGATCGTTCTTGTTGGGATTTCCTTGGAGGAAAGATTGTCTGTCTGCCCTAAACCCTCTGTGATCTCTCTGTATCTCTCTGTCTCCTGTATGTGCACACTCATGGCGTATGGTCCATCAGTGAGTCCCCTCTCAAGCTCTTGTACATTTTTGTGCATTAAATATTTGGTTGTTGCGGCTCCTTTAATAATCTTCAGTAGCTTTGCAAAGTGTGTGTAGTTTTCTTTGGATCTGCTTCTCCTTAAAGTGTATAAAAAGGTTCAGCACTTGATATTTGAAGACTCTTGATTCTCTATGTAATACAATGGAGCAATGTTTGCGATAAGCTTTTGTTGTGGAACTCTCCAAAGTTTCTACTGGAGCCTCATTGTTGGTTTTTATTTCACTTATGGGGAAGATTGATCCTGTGTATCTCAAAGGATCAGATTATCAAATGGTCTTATGTACTACTCATTTCTTTAAATCTTTGTTGTAAAAGAGGAGTTTGGGATTAGCTAAATAAATTCATCTCTTACTCGTGTCTACAATGGAAAGAAAAAAAAAAAAATGGGTACAGCAAAAGAAAATATGAGTTTGTACAATAGTCTCTCTCCTAACGTCCTCTAACTGAAACAGAGGTGAAGAGTAGAAATGAAATATATTTCCTCTTCAAAACTCCGTGGTTAGCTCCTCTTGAGAAAAAAAAGCCACTTGCGGTTTATTGCTCATCATCGTCTAGCGCTTGCTTGAGACAGTTGAAAGCTTTCTGGTAGCTCAAGAAGCCCATGAACCAGAAGTCGAAGTCATCGACCGTGACCACTTGAAGGTACTTCTGAGATGGCGTCTTCGTGTTCACACTCTGGTTCACTCCATTGATCTTGCACAATGGGATTGACACTTTGTAGTGAACCCTGACGAGATCTCCCTGAGGAGAAGCCACCTTGATCGATCTCTCGCTGCAGAAAGCAATCTTCTTTGATGAGATGAAGAGTAAGCCCGCGATGGGACCTGCTGTTGTAGATAGATAACATTGGTACGCCTTGAGCAACTTCTCTTCATCACAAACTCTGAAGAGCTTTTGATAGATCTTCTCTAAGCTTCCCATTTGAACGATCCTAGCTCCTAATGATAGCTTTCTCTTGACTGTTTCGGTTAGCTTTGGTCCTAACTTGCTCTGATCTCTAGCGCCACTCGTGAAGCTATCGCTTCTCTTCATACGCAGAATCGATTTTCCTTTGCCTGTTGAGAAAAGAAAACCATTCCTGTTAGCCTCCATAGAAATATTTCCAGGGAAAAGAAGACAAACAATGGAGAGAAAGGTAAAGGTACTAACTTTGTTGTTCAGATTTCTTGGAAGAAGTTGGGATTTGGAGCTTGTTGATGGAAGCTGGATCAGGTAAGTAACCCATTGGAGCAGTCTTTACTGCAGGTAATGCTGTAACTTCTTGGTGAACTCTGCTCAATGTCATCTTGGAGGATTTGAGTAGTGAACTTGATCTTGATCTTGATTTTGAGAGAAAGAGAGAGAGAGAGAGAGAGAGAGAGAGAGAGAGAGAGAGAGAGAGAGAGAGAGAGAGAGAGAGAGAGAGAGAGAGAGGGAGATTGTGAGTGAAGGTGATGATGAAACCGTGTTGGTGAGAAGGTATTTAAAGGGAAAGACAAAGAGACAAGAGGCAGTTGAAGCAATGCTCTGAATCTTTGAGACTTGAGGACCTTTGTGGTAATGGATGAGTCATGGATGGGTCATCAAGACACCCATAAAGCAACTTTTTTGGGGTTAAAGGCAATAAGAAGAAGATCAGGCATATGCTCTGTTTTGCTTTTTGCAAGAAATACATAAATAAGGTTTTACAACCACCTAATTCGTGTTAGGGAACAATTTGTAAAGCACATAATTTCAGTAACTGATGAAATGTTTTTGTTTTATGTTTTGGCTTTTCCAAACAACAAAACAATCTCAGTACTCGAAAGGGCTCTATGGATCTTCTTCACACAATTTGTAAAGTATTTTCGATAATTTATTTTGAAAATTTAAAAGATGACATTTAGAAACTGATGTTCTGTTTATCGTCTTAAAAACCAAATCACATTTTAAGCTTATAATAAAAAATTAGGAGATGACAAAAAAAGTAAGTAAAGAAAGAAAGAAAGAAAGAAAGATGATCACACGGTATGACGTTAGACTCCGACAAGCTTTTTAACCTACAAGTTGGCCAAACAGCAAAGCTTTTTTATTTATTTTTCTCTTTATTTTAGCCTGATTTTAAAATTTAACAGATATGTCTACATATGTATAAAAGATACGATATGTTTCCTTATTAACTGGAACATGCATGAAACAAGAAAAAATCAAATCAGATATTACGTAACACCTTTTTATAAAATGTGAGAGCAAATTGAGTCATGCAGAAGGAGATGTCGTGGCTTTGGAAGCTTTTTGCGTCGGCAATGTGACTTTCTGATGCCTTTATCTCTTTGATTTCATGCTAAGATAATAAAAGATTTGTTTCCATTTTTAGTCGCCAGTAAAGATCATCGTTAATATTCGGACTAAGTAAGTAACTAGTATAACTTCGTTGTATTTTTTCTGCATGTTTTTTCTTTTTCTTTTATGTAAATAGAAACTTGATTCTTTTATTGCCATGAAAAGTACTACAGAAATCTACAGATCAATTTTGTGTTGCCGATAGTCGATGGAACATTTGTTCGTAGACTCTTCGAATGTTAAATAGATAACCTCAAGAACTTACATCGATTTTGATTCAACCACTATCGCTAGGTCATGTTTGTGAGTTGTTCATTTTTCTGTTTCGTTAGCATATCTCTAGAACAGCAAAATAAACAAACAAACATTACGTGCGAGTGATATGTCGCTTTCGCTCATCACCATCTCGTTCAACGATGTTGCATGTTGTTGGCAATAGTGATAGTGAAACTAACAAGACCATATAGTTTTATTTTCGGATATGGTTTAAATTGATGGAATAACTGTCTTTATTTTGGAGATTAATTTGTTAAGTTTGGGAAAGTGTTTCTTATTTAGTTAATATCATTATTTGCAACTCTTAGATGGTTATAAAAATTTGTAACAATGGTCAAAAAAAAAAGGAACAAATGATTGTCTGTCAAATGACTGTTAATTAACTTGATTTTTTTTTCGATTAGTGACAAAGAAAAATGACAAGTTTAATTAAATTTAGATGACATTTTTTTGATCTCTCGATTATTTCTTCTTTTGACATGCATGTTATGGTGTTGTGCACGAGGGGACTGTGAATTAGGACTACATATGAGATGAGCTAAATGTATACATGAATCTCTTATGCTCTTGTCAACAATAATGGATAACAAAGAGTTAAGGCCACAAAAAAAAAAAAGAGTTTGTACATATTGTCTGTCTTTTCTAGGCTCTTATCTAAATATTCTCTGATAAAAAAATAGGTTAAAGTGGAAATGAAATATTTCCTCTTCGGCTTGTTATTAGCTCAGAGAAAGTGCCTGTTCGAGACAGTTGAAAGCTTTCTGGTAGCTCAAGAAGCCCATGAACCAGAAGTCGAAGTCATCGACCGTGACTACTTGAAGGTACTTCTGAGATGGCTTCTTCGTGTCCAGACTCTGGTTCACTCCATTGATCTTGCACAATGGGATTGACACTTTGTAGTGAACTCTGATGAGATCTCCCTGAGGAGAAGCCACCTTGATGGATCTCTCGCTGCAGAAAGCAATCTTCTTCGATGAGATGAAGAGTAAGCCTGCGATGGGACCTGCGGTTGTTGATATGTAACATTGGTACGCCTTGAAGAGTTTCTCTTCGTCATGGACTATAAAGAGCCGTTTATAAATCTTCTCTAAGCCTCCCATTTGAATGATCTTAGCTCCCAAGGATAGCTTTCTCTTGACTGTTTCAGTCAGCTTGGGTCCTAACTTGCCCTGATCTCTAGCTCCGTTCGTGAAGCTGTCACTTTTCTTCTTTCGCAGAATCGATTTTCCTTTGCCTGTTAAAAAAAGAAAGAAAAAACTGTTAGCCTCCATATATATTTCCAGGGAAAAGAAGAACAGAAATGGAGAAAAAGGTAAAGATACTTACTTTGTTCAGATTTCTTGGAAGAAGTTGGGATTTGGAGCTTGTTAATGGAAGCTGGATCAGGCAAGTAACCCGCAGGAGCAGTCTTGACTGTAGGAAATGCAAGAACTTGCTGGTGAACTCTGCTCAGTGTCATCTTGGAGGATTGAGTAGTGATCTTGATTCTTGGTCTTGATCGAGAGAGAGAGAGAGAGAGATTGTGAGTGATGGTGATGATGTTTCCATGTGGTGGGAAGGTTATTTAAAGGGAAAGACAAAGAGACAAGAGGCAGTTGAAACAAAGCTCTGAATCGTTGAGACTTGAGACCTTTGTGGTAAAGAATGAGTCATGGATGGGGTCATCAAGACACACATAAAGCCACTTTCTTTGGGGGTTAAAAGCAATGAGAAGGTCAAGCATATGCTCTGTTTAGCTTTTTTTGAGAAATAGATAAATAAAGTTTTTGCAACTACCAAATCCATGTAAGGACACAATTGGTAGATTAAATTCAAAAACTGATGAAATGTTTTAGGTTCTTGTTTTTGATTTCCAAATAACATCAATTAGGAGTCCAAAAAAGGGCTCTATGGATTTCTTCGAATGTTTCGAAACATTTTATTTCTATTTAAGATTTAAATTAAAAGATGCTATTTACAAATCACATTTTGAAGTTGTGATATAAGATATGCCCAAAAAAGTTAAACGAAACAAAAAAAGTGAAAAAAAAAGAAAGAAAAAAGAAAGATCACACGGAATGACGTTAGTCTCCAATTAGCCTCTTTTTTTTCACCTACAAGTTGGCAAATTAGCAAGCTTTTTTACTTTTCTTTTCTTCGCTTTTTAGCCTAATTTGTTTTTACACGTATATGTATAGGAGATAAGATATGTTTCCTAATTAATTGGAACATGTAAAAACTAAATCAAATATTACGTAACGCTTTTTGAATGTACGAGAGCAAATTGAGTCATGCAGAAGGGGATGTCGTGGGTTTGAAGCTTTCTGCGTTGGCACTGCGACTTTCTAGTGCCTTTATTTCTTTTATTTCTTGCTAAGATAAAAAAAGATTGGTTATAATTGAATTTTTTTAATATATAAAAAGAACAATATAAAGAAGCAAGAAAATACTTAAATGGAAATACAAAAAGGAGATCCATTTGAAATGGATCCCACCATATAACATACATGTTGTTTCATCAAGTCGTCACCCATGTGAAATTCACATGGTGTATATACACAAACACAACACATATATACTTTTTCGTTGTTGTGTTTATATATAGGTAATGAATGTGCATTTAGTGGACATTGTATTTAGCTATAGATGATTATAAATAGGTACATGTATTTCGAAAAGCATATAGGTGAATGATTAATTAGTTGTTCAGACTTGAATGATTCGGTAGTTGTTGTTAAGAATTAACTTCAAAGAAAGAATATATGTCACAACGACACCTAAGATGCAAACATATATTTTTATTTAAAAGTGTAGATTCTGCGAAACCCTGAATAATATTCAATGTACTATGATAAACTTAAGTAAGATTGGACTTACTATGTTCTATGTTTTATCTCACTATCGAGTCTTTGTAATTCATTAACTTAACCATTGTACTGGAAAATTCAATATATATATATATATATATATTCTATATTCTGTATTCTATATTCGAATGAATCACGATATTTCTCGTGTTCCGTAGTGGCCACGTGAGATCATACAAATATCGTCATAAGACAATAAATTTTGATATATAGCTAGTCTAATCTATCTAATATAAAAGCTAATGTTTTAGCCTAATGTTTAGCTTTACATTATGCTATATTGTTAGTTTATGAAGGAGAGCTAGTTATAAGAAATCCCAATAGTTTGATGAGATTTAGAGTAGTATATAAAAGATGTAGTTTATCTATTTATTGTCAATTAATTTTGATATGAAAATTTATGATACTCAGTGTAAAACTGTTGTTGATATCCAAATATGTCCAAATAAAACATGTGGCGGCTTATGTATGATATGTTACCGATTTTAGAATGAGATCTGGTTTGAAGTGGATCACAATAACCATCATCTCAAACAAAAAAATGTTAGAAATCCTACAAATTGATTGGACTTAGAGTTTTATATAATGATTTTGTATTAATCAACCCACTCACTACTAAATGATTTTGAATTGAATACTCATAAAACTCAACATATTAAGGTGCATTACAATTTCATCACAATTTAATAAAAGTAAAATTAATTAGCGTGGTGATTCGGCATTGACATTGGATCAAGTAAATTTCGAAACAATGTATATGTAAGTATGTTTCTTTGGTAAGGGATATGTGAAAGCTTGACAGAAAAAAGGGTAAGGATATATATGTAATGTAGCTAGCACTGGTTTTAATAATATTATTTGTAAAAATTATGGTAACATCACTCTAACTGTTTTACAAACAGTTAAAATTCCATAATTTTATATGATTTTAATTTACCGGTCAAATTTTTCTCATCTCCTTAAGTTGATTATGCGAACTTTCAACTATATAAAAACCATATATATTATTTCTACAACCATTCAAGCTTTGTATTGTTCATGATTTTCGGGGTCCATATGTCCTTAGTCGGATAAGATATTTTGACTATAATATACGAGCAATAGGATATGTACATGTCGACACGTAATTATGAGTAAAAAGATACATGGTGGGGATTGGAGAAATAGTTGATTGGTCAAAGAAAAGTTACAAATAAAGGGAATATAAAGAAGAGTCCATAACAAGACATGGCGGGTCACATTCAAATATGTAATTAAATAGTTTATCCTGTAATCGTTAATATGTTCTGACGTATGTGATGGAATTTGACATTAACAAAAACTATATAAATAAAAAAATATAAAAGGTAAGAAATGTGACGTGAGAGAAAATTTGCCTTAGCCTAAAAGAAATATTGGGTCATTGGAGGATTCCAGACTTTCCTGCATGTAAAAATGGGTTGGCCTTGCCATGCACTTTCTTTGTGCATAGTCATTTCCACGTAGATGTTCTAAGTTACATAAAAAAATACATTAACAAAAACCGAAAATACAAGATATACAACAATACTAGAGTTATACTTTAATTGCTTTGTCGTTTAGAGCGTAAATATCTCATAGATCGCAGAGGACAAGAGAGTTAACAAAAGATGTATATTAAAAAGAGAAAATGATACTGATGTATTTTCAAGATGAATTTTAATAGATGTTATTTTACGTTAAAGAACTCTCCTTCACCATTTACAAGCATAAACTAACAATATAACATAATGTAAAGCTACTCTTTCATTGTGAAAAACTATATATTTTTGTTAACTTAAAATGATTTATTATGATTTAAGCGACTCGTGTTCTCTATATTGAAATGTAGGCATGTTTTCACTTTCGATGTAAGAATTTACACTTAAATCGGTGAAAAACACAGCCGTTCAAAACAAAGCAACCAGGCCAGATGTTCTAAAGTGTAGAAGTGTTTACTAATAGATGTTTTTTGACTTTTTCTTATTGCCCTATTATATATATTTGATAATTGTTGGAGAACTGAAAATTGATAGTTCTAGGTCTTTCCAGATAAGGTAATCACACAATTTTTTTTTTTTTAGTGAAAAACCGTTATAACTTATAAGAGTAAATACATCCTCGCATACAAAGAAATGAAAGTACCACCTAGCTACAACATAGTAGTCTAGGAAAATTTTGAAAAATCGGAAGTAGAGTGAATCCGAATCGGTTCATAGGTTAGTCTCGGAAACCCGATAAAACACCCAATGAAAATCTGATAAGTATATCCGAGAAAAAGCTTTTGCGTAGACTGATCTATATATATTATTGTCTAAACTTGTTATAGGCGACGTTATAAATGCACAACGAAAAATGACGTATACAGTACTGTATATGGAACTATATTGCGTTGCCTTGGATTCTTGTAAAGATTACAAAGCCACTGTTATAGAAAAAACTCGAAACACTAAAACCAAACAAAAAACACTTTATACACATGTTACGTACAGTCCTTGTTTAATTAACGGATTAATTCAGCACTAAAATTCCTCTTAGTCGACACCAAATCGTATGGTTATGAATTTATTTTATTTTTGGCAAGAATAATTAAACTAAAGTTTAATCTCATTATTCAGTTCCAAAGTTGAGATTGAATATTAACGTAATTTCTTTTTATCATTATATAGATATGATAGTAAATTTCTAAGAAGTAAGAAAACTTAAAATAAGGACTATTCAATAACGTATATTTAATAGAATGGCATGTACTTAAAAGTATATTTAAAGAAAACACTAATTTATTTTATTTCCATTGATTTTTTCTTTCTTCATAGTTTCCTATATATCTAGTTTTCATATTTCTCATAAAACCCCCCCCCCCCAAAAAAAATCTCATACTCCATTTTTCATCTACCTCTTTTAAGAGTGCAGAAAAATAATTTCTTGAACTCTCAGTTTCCATCTTGCAGGTCCTAATAATATTTGTAAGAACGTTTTTTCTTTTCCTTAGACGGTTCTGTCATTACTGTTGCTTATTCGGAGGGCAGAAAATGTTCACCAGGGGTGAATCTAATTTCGAGAACTTTCTTGGATGGACTTCTCCTCGTGTTTCCGTTCATTATCATACTCAGGTAACGTTTTTATCCAATTACATATTTTCTCCTTTTTTATCAAAAATTCGGTGTGAATGAATATTTGCAAATATAATGCGAAGCTTTACAAGAAGCTCAAAATTTTGATTTGGTTTACGTACATTTGAAACTATAAAGAATCTTATAATCTGAAGTCCTCTATTCTAGCAACCACATTCGACAAAAGTGTACTATTACTTTGTGCCTCACTTTTAAAATGATTTTCTAACAGCAAAAAAAATCTAAATGTTTATACACGTAGAGATTAGTCTGAATTTCAGCATGAATTTTTCTTGAGTTAAAATGAAAATTGCCCAAAACACATTGGGTCCAACTGGTGACCATAACTGAGGAAAGGAATGATAGGAAATATGATATTCTTCTCTATTTCCTAATTTTTTTACCATTTAAATAGAATTTTTATTACACATAATTCCTCTCTATTCCTTCTTATAAGAGGAATTATAGAACAAATATATTCCTTATTAAATTTGACTGGGAATACAGAATGATAAAGAAATAATAAAAATTGGTAAAAATATATTGTTTGACATCAATTTAACGTGAATTTGTTCCACTTTTTGTTCCTGTTTTTTAATTACCATTTATTATGATAATCTGTTTTATTCTTTCTCTACATTGATTTTTTATATTTTTTTCTCTATGATTCCTTATATTTTTTTTTTTTATCATTCTTGTATTCCCCAAATAGTCACCTTGGACCCATTGTTAACACAGAAATGGAATAGATTGGTCAAAGATTCAAAGTGCCATAGTGTGAAGACTTATTAACTACGTTGACTTCATTGCCAAAGATATCGGCTTAACTTTTCTCTCTAATCCATTTTGTAAATGTACTAAGATATATCTAAAACTAAGTAAAAAACTTGATATATATATATATATATATATATATATTAGTCAAAGCTAATTCCAAATCATTCTCTAAGGTAAACAAATAATTAAAATAAATTATCCGAATGGAAATTCACCTACGGATTATTCAAAAGATAAACGGATCGTATACATAAAATAAAAACTTAAAAACATTGGGTAGTATAATTAGATTAGATTATAACAATATGGGCAATTCATAGAAATACCAAACATACAAGGGCGTCTTAAACTAACTAAAGAACATTTCTAACCCGGTTTACGGAACCGGCTAATGTGATGATCATGATCGAAGAAGACGTTAAACCCAATTGAAAATGTGTGCAGACAAGAAGATCGTCTTCTTCATCAGAAGAAGTGAGAAGGCCTCGCATAGGCATCAGAGATATTTGGTCTGCCTATGAAGAGTGGAGTTACTTTGGTGCTGGAGTTCCTCTTTCGCTGGAAAACATCGACTCAAAGGTCACCCAGTACTATGTTCCTTGACTCTCCGCCATTCAGATCTTCACCATCAAACCCTTCGCTGCTGATTCTTCTTCAAGATCTTATACCAACTATAAGCATCGGTTTCTGCATGCTGATCATTTGGGTTACCTTTATTTCCAATATAACGAGACAAGAAAACCGTTTGAGAGAGATCCTCTTACTTACAAGGTATCTTATACTTATCTTGTATTTTTACGTTCTGATGTTGGATAATTGGTTCTCCAAGTGATTTTTTCCAATATATATATATATATAGTAGATTTCTGAACTAGCTGAGCAGGACAATGGATTGTATAGTCTGATGAGTTCAGATCTTTCTCCATATAGCTGGATTTCCGTAGCTTGGTATGTCGACTCTTCTATTAATCAAGTTTTATTCTGTTTTTATCTATTTCTTGAATGTATGTTGCTTAGTAATGAGTTAATAACTCACCTTTTACCCAAAAAAAAAGTTAATAACTCACCGTGTCCCCATGACAATTATCTTTCTTATGATTCATGACGTATATATATATATTCGATGTTGGTACCTTATATTCATAACAACGAAGAGATTTATTAAAATGAACTTTAGGTATCCCATTTATCAAATTCCATCAGTGACAAGCAGGCCGGGATTATCTGCCTCTTTCCTAACCTACCATTCATTGACACCCTACTTTCCAGGTACTTTGGTGGTCATTTGAGAATTAGTATTACCTTTTCAACCCAAGCTTCCTTTAATTTCTCATATTTATGAAATATCATAATTGTACTCAAGCTAAACTGTCTTGCATGGTGTGAGAGTTTGCAAATGTTACGTTAGGCACTACTTTGACAAATATGCACATACAGCTCCTGGTGCTTTGTTCTTGTTAAGTTGTATGCTACTTTAGCGTAGGATGAATCCTAATTAATAGTTATACACTGATTCTCATATCCGGAAACTATCTTTGTATAGCTAATACTGTGTGCAGTGTGATCGATATTCAGCAATGATTGAATTGGTGGTAATATCCAGGCCGTGCCTATGTTAATCAATAAGAAACATTAGCCTACGGGCCCTACTTTTACAAAAAAAATGGAGGGTCCAAAATAATAATACTAGCATAGGTAGTAGCAATAGATTTTAGTTAAATATTGAATCCAATTTTTAACTATTAAAAAATTAGGGTAATGAAATGGTAATTTAGTTGGCCGCTTATTAACATATACAATGTTTATTATTTTTTTTAAAAAAAAATCCCACATTGGTAAGATGTTAGCATAACTAAAGTTTTGTAATATTATATATACCTCTCTATAATTTATTCTCACTATTCACAATACATTATTATCAGAACAATAGTCTTTAGATATTTGTTTCTATCTTGGAAAAGTTGAGATTTAGTTTAAAGAATTAAGTATCGTAATTTTTATATATTTCTCAGCTTTTTCGGCCTTTTGGCTAAGATCAAGTATAATATATATTCTTATCATTTTAATATATGATATCATGATATTAACTCTATCATAATTTTGTTTCTTTTGCTAATTTTTTGTAATTCTTTTTTTTCTTCTAGATATCTTTGAACAACTTTAAAAAACCATTAAGTGGATATGATAAAAGAAAACTTAAACAAAACAAAAAAGAGAAGAAAAAGACAATTCTCAAGCAAATGTGTTTTAAATTTTGTTAACTTTGTTTTTTTTAGGATTATAATTTTTATTTTTGGTTTTATATGAATTGAGACGATGATAATTATTATTTATTCAATACGATTTGGATTGATTTTATATGGATTTGCGATGATGAAGGTG